TTTATTTAAAAAACTTTTTTTTAATTTTCCAAGAGAAGATTTTTGAAGATGCTTTTAAAATTTGTTAAATAATAGTGCAAACAAAGCGGTTTTGTAAGTGTTAATAATTTTAAATTCAATGCTATTGGGAGGAAAAATGTCAGAGTTGAGATGTGTGCAAATATTTCAGTCTAGATTTGGAGATGATGTTAAAGAAGGAATAAATTAACGACTCGTGAAATTATTTCGCAATTATATTTATTTCGAAAATAAAATATGACATCTTCGTTCATCCACTGAATTGTGAACTTACTTCTTTAAATTCATTATTTATATTAATTTTTGGAAAAAGTTCTTTAAGACTTTGAGGACTTTCACCTAAAAAGTATTAAATAATGTCTTTTACTTTGTGAAATGGTTATCATTGTCGCACTTGATAACTTTTCCACCATTTTCCACTTTTGTTTATTTTGTGACCTTAGTGCCTCTTCTTTCTTCAACTCTACGCTGCCTTGATCCTCTTTAGTTGCCCCGTCGTCATTTTTCCTTCGGTTTATATCATTTTTTTTTGTTTTTATTTATTCACTTGTTATAATTACTAAAAGTTGTAGAAACAAGGGAGTTAAAATAAATAAAACAACAAAGTTTAGCACAAATTTGAATACATTACAGATTTTGTACCAATCTTTCGAGCATCATCGGTTGTGATATCTTCTGCGATTCAGTTGGACAGATTCTGTACTAAAATCTCTGTCGTCCCACAAGATAAGGCAGATGCGGAACGACCTTAATTTTTATGCTTTTAAATTATTGTTAAGACAATTTTTTTATCTTTTGAGTTGCATAATTAATTATTTAAAGGGAAAGAAATATTTTACTTATGCTAAAGCTATGCTAAAGCTATAATATTCGTTCCCAAAACCTTTTTTTCGTATGATACATATTCTAGGATGAAAAAGAAAATTTTCTTTTCTGAGCATAAATTTGCAAACCGTTAGTTCTCAATGATAATATGACTGTGTTTGCGTGAGAATGGTATTTTCAGACTTGTCACAGATGCTGACGTCCACGTGCTCGCCTGCACCACATGCGATCTTACCTCATCTGCCATGCAACACTAATTACAAAGTAATTATCAAACAATTTCGCGTACAAATAGCATTTGATCCGCTCTAATGGAGAATGATAGACGACTTAGTATCAGGGGTGTTAAAGCCGTCACTTTAATGCTCGCTTCAATGTAAAACGAACAGATGGACTCAAACGCAATTTACATTATTTCCACAAAATAGGAACCCTAAAATTACCAATTTTTCGTCTCTCTCTCGTTCACATTATCGTTCACAATCATTAACAAAAAAAAAAAACACAAAATGTGTTTTTAATCCCGTCAATTTTTAATAATTATAAATTATAGTGATAAACGATAAGTGAAAAGTCGGTATTGGGATTTTTGAAAAATTGACTGAATTAAAATTATCGTTTGTTGTGTCTCTTGACTACTGTACAATGTGCAGGAAAAGTAATTTGTTTTATGTACACACTGCAAGTGTGATGGCTAATGTCAAGGGCATATTTGCTAATCTTTCATCGCAAGTGACTTCATACTCTTATTCTGTAAAATAGAGGTCATTAAGGCACTGCATTATTTAAAGGCTAGGTTGCCCTTTATCAAAAAAAACCCTAAACTATAATTATTAGCTTTTAATTAATTAAGTTCTTTCAAAAATTTTCATTAAAATACCAAAGGTACTTTTAAATGAGGTTTTCGATCCAGGCGCGGATCAATAGAGGAAATTTGCATAATACTATACACTTGGCAGTATTAACACTGGATTTGATGAGTATTTTTGAAATTTTATTTTTTGGAGCAAGTCTGCGAATTCATTTAAAAAACTCTCTTTCTTTCAACTTTTTAGGGTAATAATATTTTAATAGGGTTTCGAACTAAGAGAATAGGCTGAAAATAAAGGCTTTAGTTTATTGAAACTTGGAAACGTTTTGTTCTTTCTAAATAATAAGTTTGGAACACACTTGGCATAGATTTGGAAATTTGGTATACGGTTAAAATAGTGCTAAAGGACCACACAACAATTTCTAATTTATCTGTCACTTCACAGTTTTCTTAAAAGTATCAAATTGATACTAAAGTGGATCAAATTGATGTCAAAAATTTGGATCAATTCTTGATTCGATCCGCATATTTGGTATCAATTCGTTGCAATTTGATACTTTTAAGTTAACATGGTTGAAATTTCAAACGGCGCTAGTAGGTAAGTCCAAGCAAAGACAGACCAAACAGAACTGAAATTAGCGAAAGTGAAACCGAGCTATTACAATCAACAATTTATCCTCTTTTATGAAATCCAAGTTTGCAATTATTCAGTTTAAAACACAAAGAACCTGTCATATTTTATTATAGCTATGTTGCTGAAATAAATCATTGAGTGTCAAAAGACATTGTTGTGTAAAATTATAAATTGAAAAGTAGTAAAACTGTCGAATAGAACTTGTTATCTTGCGTATATAGATTAGGCAGCCATAAAAACAGTTTCTAGTTGTGTGTAAGTATAAAAAAATAAATTATTTCTTTCACGAGGTCACTGATAGCGAGTTTTAGAAATAGTTGTTTTTTTTGGTACAAAAAAACCCGAGATCAAGAGACTAAAAGTTTTACACTACGAAAAAAGGCTAAAACGTTTTTAATTCCCAATATTGAACTTATTCCACTTGCAGGGCTCGAACTAGGTCCGTAAATTCCGTAAAGGTCCGTAAAAGTCAGGTTTTTTGAAAAAAAGTCCGTAATTTGATAGAAAAAGGACGAAAAGTTCGAAAATTGTACGATATAATTTGGAGAATTTTAGAAAAATTACAAATGAATGCAGAAGTTCAATTATTTTCAAAAGTCATCAAATTCTTCGCAGAAATTCAATTGTGTTCCAAAATTTTTAAAATTCTCATCAAAATTTCAATTATCTTTAAAAATAATTAAATTCTTCTCCAAAATTCAATTACCTATTTTTAAAAATTTTAATACAATTCTTAGAAAAAATTTCAATTATCTTTAGAAATATTAAAATTCTTCTCAAAAATTCAATTATTTTAAAAATTTTTTAAAAATTCTATTCAAAATTTCAATTATCTTTAGAAATATTAAAATTCTTCTCCAAAATTCAGTTATTTAAAAATTTTTTTTTTTAATTTTTGTCAAAATTTAAATTATCTTTAAAAATATTAAAATTCTTCTTTAAAATTAAATTATTTTAAACATTTTTTTAAAATTTTCGTCAAAATTTCAATTATGTTTGTAAATAATTAAATTCTTCTCCGAAATTCAATTATTTTCAAAAATTTTAAAACAATTCTTGGCAAAATTTCCATTATTTAAACAAAATTTAATAAAATTCTTCAAAAAGATTTCAATTATTTTCAATAATTGTTATAAAATTCTTTATTACCTATAATAAATTTCAGTAAAATTTAAATTAAATTCCTTAAAAGAAATTAAATTTTTTCAAAAGTTGTTAACAAAGTTTTTCGTAAAAAATAAATTTTAAGAAACATTTAATTATTCAATAAATTATTTATTTTTATATCTAAATAATTGAATTCTAGTAGAATTTGTTAATGAAAATTGATTTAAAAATGAATTTCATTTATAATATTAGAGATATTAGATTATTTTTAATACAATTTTAATCGATTTTTTTCGAAAAATGTAATTATTCTTGAAAATTTTATTAAAATTCGTCGATAGGATTCAAATTTGTTGATAAAATTCTTTATGAGAATTAAATTTTAAGAAACATTTAATTATTCAATAAATTATTTATTTGCATTTTATTTGTATTTAAATTATTGAATTCTCGTAGAAGTTTCTAATAAAAATTGATTTTTTCGAAAATTTTTAAAAATAATTGATTGAAAGAAGAATTTTAGTTAAAAATTCTTAATAATAATAATTTAATTGAAATGATGATAATAATTTTTAAGAAGTACAATATTCTTATAATAAATAAAAATTATTTTATCAATTTGCCATCTTTAATTATTATAAAACAATTTAATTTATAATTTTAAAAATTTATAGGTTTATGAAAAATTTATTTTATAGTTTGAAGTAAAATGTTCTCTTATTTGACTCGTTATATTTTTGTCAGTTGGTCCGTAAATGGTCCCTAATTTTTTATTTTTGGTCCATAAAGTCCGTATTTTTAAATACTTTAACTGGTTCGAGCCCTGTACTTGAAATTCTTTATTTTAATTTTTGATAATAATTATTTCTATAAAATTTTGAAGCAAATGAAAGAAATATAATGTTTGTGTGTGCTCGGGTACACTCGGGTAGTTTGAGCAAGGTCACGGAAATATTAGATTGTTACGGATATCATCTGTCTGCCGTCAATGAATTCAATACATGACCTAGAAATAAGATTAAAAGAAGTTGTGTCACTATATCGCGTAACCGTGTTGTCTATCCAGTTTCTTTTTGTTGCACTAAATACATAAATTCCCCATATATACTGTATTTGTTCGCCAGGTTTAATTGTGATGATAAAAAATTTAAATTTTAATGAAAAACTATTCTGACTAGCGAAAACGACGCTATTTCTCGTTGAAGCCCTTTTGGTAGCCGGGGTTCAATTTTAAACAATTTAAATTTAATACTTAAATTTTGTTCTTATTAAAATTTAAGTAAAAATAAATCCCCTTTCTTCGAGAGGGATTCCAAGAAAAATTGCTAATGACTATAATATAAATATATTGCCTCAGAGGTTTCATCATAAAAAAAGGGGGAAATAAAGTAATTTATTATAATTATTCTGGAATTTTGTACAAGTTTTTTTTTAAAAATAGATTAGAATTCAAGATGTTCGTGTTAGAACACGTGCGCACGGAAATTTTTGTCATAAAGAAAATGTTATTAATAGAAAAAGTAAAAAATGACAAAAGGTACCAGGAAATGAAAAGAATATTTTCATTCTTTATTAATATCTATTATTTATAAACTGGATTCAGATTATTTGCACTTCAATAAGCAACATTAACTTATTTTTAAAAATTCCTCTCTGGCTTTTTAATATGTAACATTATTAATCTATAAAGATCGAATACTTTTTCCTCATCCAATGGATTAGCATTCTTTCTAAACAACACCGATTCCTCCTTTAATGTTTCCTCCATTAAATTGTCCATGAAATCATTTTTTACATCATTTGGCATTCTCGTCACGAAAGGATTAACAGAAGCAAAGAGTCCTGAAAATTTGCAACAATTTTTTTGGTTTTTTTTCAATTTGTTATTAGTTGAAAATATTATTATTTAAAAAAAAAAATAATTCTTTATAATATTAAAGAAGATTGTAATTAACCTTTAGAGGGCCGGGGTGGCCACCATTTATTTTGAAGAATCTTTTTATCGAATTGACTTTCTATTTATATTTCTATTTATAAATTTGTGCAAATTTACTGGCTCTCTAAAGATTAATTGAAATAAAACTGCGATAGTATTTAGAAATAAAATGACCTTTTCTGTCCTCCTGAGATTTGTAGCCCGTTATTTTTTCCCTTATGCTGCAATGCAACACTTGAAAACCAACATCCTCTAATATTTTTATTAAAGTTTCCCTCGGATCTTTGCTAAAGTAAAGAGGAGTTATGAACTGCCTAACATCCTAAAATTAAAAATAATTACAAGTCTTATGCGATTTTGATTTCGATTTGAATTAAATTTTTAATCTTTTAATATTTTGATTAAATTTTTAAGCTTTTAGTTAAATACCTTTAAATATTCTTGGTATCTTGTCCTTTTTGACAGTGTTAAATAGGGATTGTAGGCATTGAACGATAAAATATGTTGACTTAGCAGTGTTCCTCCAGGTTTTAGAAGTTTGTAAATATTTTCAAAAGCGCATCTAAATGTTAATTGAATAGAAAAAGAAATTTTAATTATGAATTTTCGATAAATTTTTGAAAAATTTCGAAAAATTTAAAATAAGGAGACAGGAGGAACGTACCTTAAATCAAAAACCCAATGAAGGCAAAAGAAAGAAAAACCGTGATCAAATTTTTCCTTAAATTCGATAGGAAAATCATTTGATTCGATATTTAGTTGTTCGAAAGTCAACCGTTCTTTTTCATCGGCATTTAGAATTCTTGCACGATCGACCATGTTCTTCGAGACATCAAGTCCTGTATTTAGTAACAAATGCGAAAAATAATAAATTTTTTTGGGGAAATACCTAATTATTGCCACAAAATTTGATTTTGTTTTTTCCTGAATTTTCTGATTTCAAGACAGAATTTAGACTGAAATTCTAAAATTCCTAAACATTTTTAAGAATCAAAATTATTTTCCAGATTTCAATTTAATTATTTTTAGTATATAACTAAAATTCTTTCCTAAATCAATTATTTTTAATAGTTTTTGAGACAGTTCTTTGAGAATACAATAAATTATTTAAAGAAAAAAAAAGATCACCAAAAATAATTCTGAAAATTGTATAAAATACAAATTTTCTAAAATTTTAAATTGAAACTTTTTATAAAATACAAATTTTATAAATTTCAGGCCTCACACACATCCACTAAAGCCAACCTACTATTCACTACTTTTTTTTAACGATTTGATACTATTTGGATAGTTTTTTTTTATTTGTTACACTAAAAGCTACTTTTTTCCATGTTTGAAAATTTACCCAAAAGCATTGAACAATATTTAAAAAAAAATGTTTATAAAATTCTTCGCAAACATTCAATTATTTTCGTAAATAAAAAAATTACATTTTATACATTTACATAACACCCAATTTTCATAAAACTTTTTGAAAAAATCATTTATTTAAAAAGATTTCTTTTAAATTCTTCTCAAGAATTCAATTATTTTTTAAAATATTTAAACTCATTGCATGATTTTAATTATTTTTAATACAATTTTAAATGAATTTCGCGAAAAATTTAATGTAATTATTTTGACAATTTTACTAAAATTCGTTAAAATAATTCAATTGTTTAAAAATTTGTTGATAAAATTCTGTATTAGAATTAAATTTTAAGAAACATTCAATTATTCAATAAATTATTTATTTTTGTATTTAAATAATTGAATTCCCGTAGAATTTTCTTATAAAAATTGATTTGAAATTGTATTTCCGAATTCAATTATTTTTTCAAATAATTAATTTTAATCATAGTCGTTGCAAGAATTTTTGAGAAGAATTTTAATATTTCTAAAGATAGTTGAAATTTTGCGAAGAATTGTACCTATTAAAATTTTTGAAAATAATTGAATTTCAGATAAGAATTTAAATATTTCTAAAAATATTTGCAATTTTGACGAGAATTTAAAAAATTTTTTGAAAATAATTGATTTTTGGAGAAGAATTTTAATATTTCTAAAGATATTTGAAATTTTGACGTGAATTTTTATAAAGTTTTAAAAATAATTGAATTTCGGAGAAAAGTTTTATTATTTCTAAAGATAATTGAAATTTTGTCGAGAATGTAAAAAAAATTTTGAAAATAATTGAATTTTGGGGAAGAATTTTAATATTTCTAAAAATAATTGAAATTTTTATGAGAATTTAAAAAAAATTTTGAAAATAATAGGATTTTGGAAAAGAATTTTAATATTCCTAAAGATAATTGAAATTTTGCTAAGAATTGTATTAATATTCTTGAAAATAATTATATTTCAGAGAAGAATTTTAATATTTCTAAAAATAATTGAAATTTTGACAAGAATTATTTAAAAATTTTTGAAAATAATTTAATTTCGGAGAAGAATTTTAATATATATTTCTAAAGATAATTGAAATTTTGTTAAGATTTGTATTAAAATTTTTGAAAATAATTCAATTCTTTGCAAAAATCCAATTACTTTTATAAATATTAAAACTTATACCTATAGCAAGATTTCAATTATTTTTTAAAATCCTAGTAATAATAAAAATAATAATCGTTGCAAGAATTCAAATTTAAGAAATATTTAAATATTCAGATAAATAATTTATTATTTAAATAATTGAATTCTCGTAGAACTTTCTATTAGGAATTGATTTAGAATTGAATAAAATAAAATGATTAAAGTTTTGAATAATTTTATTTATAAATTTCAAGAAAAAAATGATTGGATTTTAAAAGAATAACTTTTGTAATTTTTAGAAACAGTAAATTTTCAAAAATGCGTTAGGTAAATTGAAATCATTTGAAATATTTTAATTCCTGTAGACAAAATAAATTCGGTATTTTAATATTTATTTTTAAAAAGTTTTCTATTTTTGAATGTAATTAAAAAAAATGATAAACAAATTGAGTTGGCAATGTTAATTTTTCGATAGCTACTTTTTTACTACATTTACAAATATTTATTCTTTATTCTAAAAAATAATTTCTTTTATAATTTAAAAAAATAATATAAAAATTGAAAAACCGTTTATTTTATAAAAAATAAAAAGGGGGAATTAAAAAATAACCAAAAAAATTATATACTTACCGACCATAACTGCATCTTTAGATATTTTTGGTAATATTAAATTTTTTGTATTATTTCCAGGACCACATCCAATGTCCATCACTGTTCCCTTCATTTGACAAACATCATTTTCAAACTCCCTCAATAAGGATGTAATCACATCGTACTGAATGCCTGTCGAGTGTTTTAAATACTCAGCAGCTTGATCCATTGCACTAATTCAATTTATTTTTTTTCCGCTTTTAATTAATAATTTTAATTTATTTTAAAGGAACTTAATGAGGTAAATAATAATTTTGATTTTCTAATTAATAATTAAAAAAATAATAAATTTTCACCTATTTATTCTCCAAATGTAAACTGAGGAAGTTCATTAGACATATTCGATGGCTCTAATGAGAAGATGAAGAAGGAGCTTCTCAACTATATTTATACGCTGAAAATGAAATGACCCTGAAGAAACGAAAGATCATCTTCCATATATTTATGTGAAATTCTGAGTAATTTTAAAAAAGGTGCAATTTGAAATTATAATCTAAAATTATACCTATATGTCTATAAAAAAAATATCTAATACACGTTTCGTAGAGAAGAAAAAGTTTTTATAACGCACGTGGATCTCTTCCTTTTTTTGCTAATAGGCACCGAATTTTTCTCAAGATAATTATCATATCAGAAATTTATTTTCTATACGTTCCTTTCTCAAAATGCTGGTTTTTTTAAAAAATAAAATCGAGTTTCCAAATATAAATTCTTCGATGGATAAAAAAATTTCGAGAGGTAAATTTAAACCTTTTATTCGAAATTTATATTCTGTAAAAGAATAATTTATAAGCAGGCATACTTTGGACCAGAACAGAAAACTATCTCATGGGCTTTCTTAGACAAAGAGTAAATAAGTTATAGACATCGAAAACTTGATCCTCCTCCGTAGAATTTCCGGATGGTTTGAATAAAACTGATTCTTCCTTTAAACTCTCGTTGACAATATAATCCAAATATTCTTTTTGCATATTTTTCGGCATCCTCAGTATGAACGGATTTATACTTTGCAAGAGTTCTGAGAAAGAAAAAAGGAAAGTAAATTTTTTTTTCACACTTTTGTCATAATAGTAATTAATTTCATCGATGTACCTCTTCTATCATCATTAACATCGTAACCACCAATTCCCTTTCTCAAACTGCAATGAATCACTTCGAATCCAATTTCGCGTAATAATTTTTTAAATGTTGCTCTCGGTGTTTTATCGAAGTAGAGGGGATTAATTACATGTAAGACGTCCTAAATAGATGTGTTTACATTAATTTAGAAAAAATTTTTTCTAATTGTTTTCTAGGAATAATCAATAAGCTAATAAAACTTATTATGATAGATTAGAAGTAATTATTGTTTACGATTGGAAAATTACCTTCATATATTCTTTATATCGTGGATCTTCTGCAAGTCTCATGTAAATTGGATAAATGCCGAATGATAAGATTTGCGAACTTATAAAAGTTCCACCTGGACGTAACATTTTGTAAATATTTCCAAAGCCGAGCCTAAGGAGTGGACATTATTTTAAAATTTATTTTTTAAATCAATACTGCAAATTTTGCCATTTCAGGGCTCGAAATTGTGAGAGTATTTAAAAATACGAATTTTACGGACCAAAAAAAAAAAAAAAAAAAAATTGATTTTCAAAATTTCAAAATTGATTTTCATTAAAAATTTTTTAAGATAATCAAGAATTCAAGGATGATCTAAGTTTTTCAAAAATGTTTTTAGACACCAAGAATCAAAATTTTTGTAGTTATTTTAGGAATTTTATATGTTTACAATTTGATAAAATCCCTTCACATTTCCCTAAAAAAACCCAGTTTTTTTTTAAATAGGAAATACTGTTTCCTTTATAGTTTACTTTTTAGAATTGTTATTATTTTTGCAAATAAAGAAACTTACTTCATATCATGCACCCACTGAAGGCAAAAGAATGAAAATCCATTATCAAATCTCTCTATATACTCAGCAGGCAATTTGTTGGTTTCAATATTCAGTTGCTCGAAGCTTAATCGCTTTTCGCTCTTATTTATTGTTCGGGCACAGTCAATCATGTTCTTTGACACATCTAAACCTACATTGCAAAAAGTGAAAAACTTGTTAGTGCCGATGGCAAATATTTTGTCCATTAAATGTCATTAACGGAAAAAATAATATACTTTTTGAAATTAATCATGAAAATACTTACCAATGACATTTGTATCTTTGGTAAATTTCGGAAGAAGTAAACTTTTCGTAAGGTTTCCAGGCCCACAACCAATGTCCATAATTGTTCCTCTCATAGTTTTAATTTCATCCTCGAATTCATCTAGTAATGACGTTATCCCCTCATATTGGACTCCATTCGTTTGATTTAAATATTCCTTTGCTTGGTCCATTTTTTAAAAGTTTTGGAATACTCTTCTCGGTTTTTAATGTTTGGTAGATGCTTTAAAATATCCAATTACCTAGCAAGATTGATGACATTCTATTTGATACTATGAATGCAAGTTTGTTGATGCTTCTTTACACTACTGCTTTATCTCAATCGGTTACCTTGCATTTTATATCATGTCACAGCCTTCAGACGACTTTTTTTTAACGGATTTAAAAAACAGTTTACAAACTGACAATATTAACTCTTTCAGTCACGCAATTAAGATAATGGTCAAAACACAATTGTGAAAGATAATTTAAATATCATTTTTGGGCTCTCCGAAACGAATCAAAAGTCGGACTTTCAAAATTCAAAATGGCGGTTGCAACATGGCGGAAGAATTAATTAAGAATCTCACAGATCTGCTTGAAAATTGGTATTGGAGACTGTGATTTATTATAGTGTTCAACTCTTAGTTTTTCTCATTCTATTCTTACTTGTCTTGTAATGGTAATTTTACTATTATTTGTCAGATGACACAATAAGGAAGAAAGCTGAAATTTTATGCAATGTCGCGTGTGCTTTATTTTCCGCAAATAAATGTACAAGTAACACGTTATGGTTATTTTCATTCGGAAAATAATGTATAACGGTACCTTGGTACCGACGAACACTTCTTTTCTTTTACTGGAAAGATTAAATGGAGAAAAAAGAAAACATGCTAAGAAGAAACGGAAGGATGCGAGGGGCAAAATGATCGGACACGCGATCGTCAATTTTATATACACGCGTTGTATTTCTTATATTGTCCGTTTATAAATAAAATAAAGAATTGTAATTGTTTTCGCGACATTTTCATGCATTATTCTCTCATTATTGTCTTCTGTTGGCAAAAGCTTCTTCAGAAGTGCATAAGGACATTTTGATACCTGCGACAAGCTTGCGGCAATCTTACGCTGCAAGCTCGGCAAGATCGCACGTAATCTTGACACAGTTTTTTCTAAGGATATTAAATTTGAGACAAAAAACGAATCAAAAATGTTGCGAAGCAACGTTTTGATTCGTTTTTTGTCTCAATTTAAAATATTCGGAGAAAAACTGTGGAATTAAATAATACAAATTTAGTTTAAGGACGTGACAAAAAATGCTAGAAAAATTATTTTAAAAAACGTAAGTTTTGGCGGTCCATTTTATTCATTTTATTCAAGCCATGTGTCTTTCTATTTTCGTGACAAAATAATTCTTTACTGCGCCCTAAAAATTTTATTCTCACACAATTTTAAACATTTTCGTTTACGAAATTATACTCATAAAAATGTTTTTAAATTTGCCTCTATTTATAATTTTATGGTACTATTTCATTTTTTTCCTTCTTAAATCTTATACTAAATGAAATTTTAGAATGCAAATTTTCACATGATTTCTCTGACCAATTATCTACTATTTCCCTGATTTTTCCCTGATTTCCCTGATCTGTGGCAACCCTGTATTCAGTAAATAAAAATTTGTTTCCAAACACATCTCTGAATGATTAAATAAAAAATAAAAACTTTTCTGTTTCAGATGAGCAGGAAAGAGTGCAGAAAAAAACTTTTGTAAACTGGATTAATTCGTTTCTCCTAAAGGTAAACAGACATATTAGACTATTAAAGAGAAATAATTACAAATACCATCACGATATAATATTTTATTTAGCTAAACGAAAAGATGGTTTACTTTATGGGCAGGAAATTTAGGTACACAAAAAAAAAGAAAAATTTAATTGCCGATGAAAGTTTATATAATTGCCTAGCTGCTTCTGGTGAAAAGTTATCCTTAAGTTTCAGTACTTTTATAGTTGTATGTAATGATTTAAAATTGGGATAAATGCTTGGCTATACGTCACGACCATTCACGACGTGACGTGATATTCAACAATGGAGAGAAGGAAGACTCCCAAACTTGTTAACCGTAGGAGAACAACCGTGCCTGGCTCTCGATTTCCTTACTTCCGGCTCCTTCAAAACTGAACTTATCGTCGTGACATGCAGGCACATAAAGCACCAAACTATTAAATTCCATCCCATACCCCATACCCTGCTTCTTTCTTGTTATTCATATCGCAACATGCTTATCGATCTTTTTCTTATCTCTCTCACAAGGGACTCCTGACCGACATTAATAAATCTTTGCATTTTATTGCTCAATATATTTCTACAATTGTCCAACTGCATTACTGCATTTAAAGAGCATAAAAAAGCCCAAAGTTCGAAACAGAACTAGAATTTAAAATGAAGATCAGTTTAATAAGCATTTATAGATTTATGGCTGTCGGAAATTTAATCTGCTTTTCAATTATTTTTAGCGCGTCCCTCCTCTTCGAATAGACGACTTGATTGAAGATTTGAAAGACGGTACACGTCTACTTGCCTTATTAGAAGTCCTCTCGGGTGAAAAATTAGTAAGTAACAAATGATAGTTATTTTTATCGGTACTTTTTTTCAATTTTACAAATTTTTTCATTTTTATTTTCAGCCTTTGGAAAGGGGACGAAATTTGAAGAGACCGCACTTCCTCAGCAATGCCAATACTGCACTACAATTTTTACAGAGTAAAAAGGTGAGTTTTTTTTAAGAAGGTTGTGGAAAATCTTTAAAAAGATTTTAAAAAGAATCAAACCAATTTTAAGCGCATTTAGACAATTCTTAAGAAATTCGTCCGCCATTTTAAATTTTGCAAATCTAGCATCAAATTTGTTATCAATGATAAAAATATCCTTTAAATTTCAGATTAAACTCGTGAATATAAATTCATCGGACCTTGTTGACGGTCGCCCTCCAGTTGTCCTAGGACTCATTTGGACCATAATCCTTTACTTCCAGGTACAGAAAGACCACTTATTTCATTTAAAAACTATAACAAGTACACCCAGAGTCTTGGTAATGTAGTTGCTTACGTAAAAGAATCAACACCTAAACTAATCAAATTTGCACTACGATCCTAATAACAGTTTCCAACATTTCTTCTCAATTCCCACACAAGTAACTTTTTTGAATTCACGGAAAATACCATTTGATAATTACCTTAAAATCAATTCTTATATCTGAAATAGTGTTGAAAGATGAGCTTGGTAGTTAAAAGTTCATTTTAATTTTAATTTTCATTCATTAATTTAATTTATCAGTAATGAGCCACTTTCAAAAATATAATACAGAAATGTAAATTTCTCTTGAGTCTAATCGAAAAAAGAGAATAATTTACTCTTGTCACTAGAATAACTTACCATGATGGGAAATATTTTTTTGGTTTTGTTACTGATAAATTTAAATCTCATTAAAAAAATTAAAAACTACATTCTGCTAACCAAATGTATTCCAATGTAAACAAGCTACGATCGAAGGATCGAATTAGGGTGAGTAATTCAATTAGAGGTTGAAGATCATTAAAATTAGTTTGCAAAAATTTAATCACTGCATGAAAAATCAATGATCAATGGCGTCACACTATAGTGAGCACGCTGAATGTTTAAGGAAAAATTGATAGAAACTTGATATTAAAAAGAAAAATACCGATTCGTAGATTGAGGAGAATACCAGAGCCCTGGAATATTTGGGACAAACCTGGGGCAGTCAGAGCAGTCTCGAGAGTATTGGAACTCAAAGTTCAGCGGCCAGCGAAAGGAAGCGGATCAGTAGTGAGAAATGGAAGCAAGGAGCGCGAAAGACTCTTCTTCAGTGGGTCACCAATGCCCTGCCAAAGTGAGTTTTTTTTTATATTTAAACTAAAAAGCGATATTTTACTGAATGAAAAAAATAATCAATTCTGTTGTTTCCCTTTCTTTCTAGGGATTTGGGGATTCAAGTGAGAGACTTTGGAGCAAGTTGGCGGGACGGAGTCGCATTTCTAGCAATAATCGACGCAATAAAAGCAAATTTAATCAACTTGGCCGAATTGCGAGCGGCTACAAATCGAATTCGTTTAGAAACGGCTTTTCAAGTCGCCGAAACGGAATTGGGAATCGCTCGTCTTCTAGATCCCGAGGACGTCGATGTTCCCCAACCAGATGAGAAATCAATTATGACCTACGTGGCACAGTTTTTGCACAAATATCCCGAACCAAAATCAACTGGACCCGATTCGTTTGCTGCAATTCAAGGCGAATATGATTCTTTATTGGGATGGCTTAATGAGAGAACCAGACATTTGGAGCACTTCGATAGAACCAACAGCTATCCTCCAAATTATTCAGTGAGTACTTTTTAGTCTCCTACTGCAATTAACGAGGGAAGAATTTTAAAAGTTGAAGGAATAATGGGAATAATGATTAAATTTTCCAGGACTACACAACTTGTCAGAGTGAAATTGACGATAAATTGCCTGTATACAAGAAATTGCAAAGTTTAGTCGACACGCCGAGTATGATCAGCATTACTCGTGATTCCTGGCGACATATACAAACTTTGTGGAAGAAACTAGAATTACAGGTAATAATTTTTAATTTTTCAAACTTTACAATCTTGGTTATGTACTAACATTTTCACAGATGTTGCGATGGTTGTGGCTGCTGGATTCAGCACTTCCGGGAGAATTCGGTGAATTGGGTAGGTGGCTAGCTCAGGGTGAGATGATGTTAAATTCAGATGACGACATACCCGAGGAGATGACCGAAGAGACAGCGAGTATAATTTCCAGAAAATTGGAAGATCATAAGAAATTCTTCCTCGATTTACCAACAGTTGGGGAAAAGTTCCATCAATTAAGATCGTCACCCCTAGTGAGACAAGTGCCTACCGAACAACTCGAAAACATGGCTTTCAGATTTGACAGTCTTCCAACGCGTGCTGCCAAAAGAAGAATAAGACTCAAATTTTTAGAGCACAAATGTTGCCTAATTGCATTCCTCTTTCTTGTCGAGACAAAACTCAAAGGCTGGAGTATTAAGTACGGTAGTGAGGAAAAGGTCCACGATATGCTCGAGCAATATAGAAATTTTGTTTCTAGAAATAGAATATTTCAGGAGTTTCAAAAGGCCTATTTGGACATGCAACAGGTTGTTGATGAATATAAACGAGAAGGAGATATTGGTAAGTGTCATTCTCAAGTTTCTTTTTGTCTCCTTTGTAAACAAATTAGGGGCTACAAATTTTTTGTCAATTATTTTTCAGATGGTGAGGAAAGTTTTTGTATTGATCGTTTTATGAGGGAAACTGGTGAGAAATGGAAAAATGTGTCGATGGATCTTCGTTGCGTGCAGAGTATGCTGGAGGAAGTTGTTGCCTATTGGCGACGCTGGAAATTGGTTTCAGACGAATTTGAAAATTGGTTAATAAAAGCTGAACCGGCTTTGAATTTACCTGAAGAAGAGAAAATGGAATTCTTCCAGGACATCAGCGTTTGGAAGGATAAATATCAACAGATGTCGGACACCGTCAGTTTTCTAATTGCCACCTCCGACGAACAGGTTTCTATTTCACTTTTGTTCATTTTTGACAATCCTTGCAAATTTAATTTCCCAATTTAAATCGAAAAAGCGTAGAAAGAAATTAAAGCAAATGTCTCAATTTGTTTAAATAAAATTTTTAGTCATTTACTAATTGGAAAATTTAGGATAGTTATGAAAATGCGAAACTTACTTTTAGAGCGTTTGCAAGAAAGTGCTCCACAGTATGAGATTTACGAATGCGACCCCGTTCGCAAAGACCACTTGTTTAAAAGTAGAGCAAAAAATTATAAATGATTTATCAAATATGCGTTTGACTTTCTTATCAATATCTTGTTATGCTTAACAGCTTTTCTCAAGACCACCCACATTATTATGTCTTATTTATTCGTAACGAAAAATATTTATCTTACTTGTGAAATTAAAATTGTAATTAGAAAAAAATCCCACTTGTTTCCACTACCATATTTCGAATTAAATTTTATGCCAAATTTATTAAGAGTTAAGATGCAGTTTTAAATTTTTATATAATCTGAATTATTTATTTTATTCTTTTTGTTCAGTGGTTTATTATTAGTAGAATAACGATCTTGATATAATTTTGAATTAGAGTCTTTGACTTTTCTCTAAATTTCAAAACGTGATGTGTACCAACAATTCTGATTGATGTTTTGACTCCACTGCAATCTGAAAATAAAATCAAATGTCAGGTGTACAAAAAAAAAATTAGTAGAATAATGATTTTGGAACAATTTTGATAAACTCTGTTTAAATTTTAGTTTTAGAATTTAAAATTACTAAACGGAATTAATTCCCCTAATCAGGTTGCACTGCGACTGAAGGACAAATACCTAAATTTGACATCAAGATGGGAGAGACTGTTCCAAGATGCAAAGCAGTACATGCACGCTGGGGATTTGTTGCGAAACAGAAAAGACTACAGATCAGGGGTAGAAGTACTCCAAGCCTGGTTAAAGAAAGCCGATTCTGATCTATCAACAACTCAGCTAACATCGACCGAAAAGATAAAAAACTATGGCGAACGGTTGAAAATCCTCCACGATCAAGTCGAAGGCATCGAGGAACTCTTCAAAAACATCAGCAAAAAATTCCAAACCCTAATTCAAGATCTCTCCAGAGACGAGGTGGATAAAATGATGAACACATTGAAAAAGGAGAAAGAAACCTTGGTCCGTGTCCGTGCTCTAATTCCAATGCAACTACATCTCTATCACCAACTACTGGTGCAACAGGAATCACTAGAATCAGGTCAAAAAGAAATATCCTCATGGTTAGACGAAGCCGAACATCTGCTAGCGAGTTACAATCTCTCCGGTGGCAGAGATTCCGCCCTCGCTCAACTCGATCGACACAAGGCCTTCTTCTCAAGAATTTTATACTACAAATCAATGCTCGAATCAAAGAACAAAGTCTTCTCCAGTATCGTCAAATCCGTCGACGCTCACGCCGATGTCAACAAAGCCGAGGGTGGAGTCGAACTAAGACAACTGAACGATCGTTTCGCCAATGTCTTCCAATCGGCCCAAATCTGGGAGCAAAAACTCCAGGAGGCCGTTCGTTGTTGGACAAAATATCGCGAATGCGAGAGACAAATTTCCGAATGGCTCCTCACTGCCGAGACGCTAATCAACGACAAACATATCGATAATCGCCAATCCGTTGAATATCACAAAAATTTCTTTGGTAAAGTGAATGAAAAATGGATTCAAGATCTTGTTAATGCTGGTCATGACTTGAGAAATTCGCTACCTGCGGAACAACAGGCACCGGTTGTTGAAGCCGTTGACGCACTGCAGAGACGTTGGAAGGAGGTTCTATCATTTGCACCACTGCACTTGATGAGGCTCGAATTCAGACTCGATGAAACGGCCTTCACGCAGTATCTCAAGGAAATTGAAATGGAAATCAATGCCGAGCAACAGGCTCTCATTAAGAACGAAGACGTTGGTACGATTCTTCAGAGGAACAAGGAATTCTTCATCAATCGGGGAATTATTGCCAAAGTCGAACACAGTTTGGAGTCGTTGAGAAAAATTACATCCGCTTACAGTCAATTGGAGCCGAATGATAATTTCCTGGATGAAACAACAAAGAGGGCTGAAAAATTGTGGCACGACGTTCATCAACGTGTCAATCATCTCAAGCAACAACTTCGTCAGGTTCCCGAACAATGGGCTGCTTACAGACAAAAGTAAGTTGCTATCTTCTGCCAACATTTTTTCTAAAATCTTTGCAAAAACCTTCAACTAAAATTCTGAAAACCCAATTAAACATCATCATCGTCATCGTTTTTGTAGATTCATGGAAATGGTTCGTTGGATGGATCAAGTGGACGGTACGCTAAGATCCATTTTGCAAGAAGTGACATCAGTGGAGGAATTCGAGAGGGAGAAGACAGTCTTCCAGGTGAGTGGAACTAGAAAATTTTCTTATTGTACTTGGAGATTAAAATTCTTATCGAAATACTTATTTTGCTTCAATGGATAGCTACAGACATTAACGGTAAGTATCACCGATGTCAGAAGTTTTATGAGTTCTTTGAATACAGGATGAAATTAATTTTTCAGAACGTCTGCCAGGAGGCTGACAATCAACGCGAGGCGATGAAGTGGTTGGTCCAAACTCTAGACAGTTTGACATCAAACAGATCGGATCATGAAGCAATAACGGAGCAAAAACACCTCGAACAATTGATAACTCGCTATAAAAATCTAATCCCAACTATCGAGATTACAATGACAAAGACCGAAATTTACTCCAAAAGTTATACCTACAGAAAAGAGGTTCGAGAAGTTTGCACCCTCCTTCGAAAAGTTTGGGAACAATCCACAGTTCCTGTGAGTGTCGAGAGTCCAGAGAAGGTAAAAGATGCTGTCAAACACCAGGAGACTCGTATCACGCAACTAGAGCAGCAGAGGGCAAACATTGTCAGTATGCTACAGCGAGGAAAGGATCTTCTCAAGGATCAACACGTCCCAATGTTCATTTCGTCAGAAGTGCAACAATTAGAGTCCAGTTGGAATGATGCCTACGGACAGAGTATGGAAGCACTGAAGAATTTGAAACTCTCCGAGAAATTGTGGAACGCCTACGATGAGCAGAAACGGCAAATTTTGAAATTAATCGCCCAAGCTGAGGAGGATCTAAAGAACTCTAGACTGGGAGGATATTACGACACCACAAAAATTCAAACCGATTTGCAAAAACAGGAGAAATTGAGCCAAACTCTAAGAAAGGACGCCGCGGAAATGTTGAGACAATTGCGAGAGACTCAGGAGAGTCTGTGTTCAGTGACCTCTTCCGAAAGACAACCGCAATTGACAATAGAAGTTCAGGAGACAAAGAAGAAATTAGAAACAACGCTCGAGAGAGTTGAGAAAAAGGTGGTCGAACTCAAGGAATACAATGTCAAGTGGAACGCTTTTCAGACAAAACTTACGGATCTTAAAAATTGGACACAAAACGCTCCGCAATCGATCGCCAGTATCGATTCGTCAACATCTCCCGAGGAGAGAGTGCGAAGAACGGAGAATTTGCAAAAACACATTCAGGAGAAGATGGAAATTGTCAAAGTTCTGGAAAAGGAATCAAAGACCCTTGTTCCAGTTGATGATCATCCAGAGGCGATAGTTCTCAGGGATAGAATAATGACGATCCGCAAACAAGTGGAACTGTTAAACGGAAGCATTGCTGATCAACGAAATTTAGCCGCGGAAAATTTACAAGCTTGGAAGGAATACGAGCTTGGAATTCAAAAACTAAAACCATGGATAGAGGAAGCCGAGGGTAAAGTAGCAATGATTGGGACGAAACCAGCGACTTTGGTTCAAGCGACCGAAATGCTTCGTACGGCCAAGGAATTCGAGAAAAAGTGCGACCAATATTTACCTCAACTTCAGGAACTCACGACAAAGAGTCATCATATCGCTGGTAAGGGTGCAGCACCCGATGAAGTCGATGCGGTCAACACTCGTTGGAATGCGGTTCACGATATTGCTGTCCAAACGACAACCAAACTGGACAAATTGGTATCATCATGGAATACGCTCGAGCAAGACGCCAAACAATTCAATGAGTGGTTGCAGAAAAGCGAGAAGGCTTCACTAATCGAACCAAATATCCAGACACCAGAAATCAGTAAACTGGAGCAAGAACTCTCCAGAATGAAGAACTTCAACAAGGACATTTCCGATCATCAAGCTCAACTCGTTTCCCTCACTCAAGTCTCGGATCACATCAGTCACGGTCTGTCTATTGAAGGAGCAACGAATCTAAAGGGCAGAGTTTCGGAAATGAAGACCCGAGTGAACAAACTCGCGGACACTGTTCGTCATCAGATAAACAAATTATCAGATGCTTTGCTCGCGAGACAAGAGTTCCAGATCAAGATAACCGATTTCGATAATTGGATGAGTAGACTAAGGACGTACATTGCTGAAATTAGCAACGTTGATGTAGATAATGTTGACACCAGTCTGCAAGCAGTTCATGCGTTACTGCAGGAACACTCTGAAAAGCAATCCAATTTTACGATCATCTATGACGAAGTGAAAACCCTAACGAACTCCAGTTCTCCCCAGGAAGCTGCGGTTTTGGACGATGTATACAGTTCCTTGGCGGATAAGTACAATAACCTCGAGGAGGATCTGCAGCGAAAGAAGAAAGGTCTAGAGAAGTGGGTCGAACTTCTAAATTGGCAGAACGAAGCAAGCGCCCAATTGACCCACTGCAAGTATCAATCCGAAGCGCGAAAACCCACAATCACCGATTTGGAGACCATCTCCTCAGAATTGCAGATCATTCAATCGAAAATAAACTCCTGGAAAGAGCAGACTCCCATGATGGACACCATTCTTGGAATTCGCATCCAGAATAAGGAATCCAAACCCCTAATTGCTTCCGAATTGGTAAACCGACTAGAAAGTCAGGCCTTGTCGCTAAGAACCGAATTAGCCACAAAGAGAGACAAACTCCAAAGTCTTGGAGCAAAGTGGGACAATTTCAGAAAATTACAACAGAAAATAAATGAGGACATTGTCACCACACAGACAGTACTTCAAGAAATTACTCTCGACGTTGACACTTGTGAAAAACTTTCCCCCACTATCGAGAGGATCAATGACCTCATCCAACAACACCAGGAGTGTGTTACCGAAAAAGACCAACTCCACAGGGAAGGAGACACACTCCTGAAAGAAGATCAACGAGCAATGACCAATATTCAAGTCGTTCTATCGTCAGTCGACTCTAATTGGGAGAAAGTAAACGATCTACTCCTAGAATCGAAGAAAAAGTACCAGGAGATGGAAAATGATTGGAGACACTATCAGGAATCAAGGGAAAAATTAAACATCCTGCTCGAAGAGTCAAGAAATTTGTGCCAATCAGCAAAAGAAGTGCCAAACGACATAACCCAAGCGACGGTAATTTTGGATCGATACAAACGAGAACTTGATACACTAAAAAGAGGAAAACAGTTCCTGGAGAAAATGGAGGTGAAGACCCAGCAAATCCTCAAGGAAGCATCCCTGATGCCTTCGTTCAAAACCGAGTCGATAGAATCCGACGTTACTGGCATCAGACAAGAGTATCAAAAGATCTACTCGAACGTAATTGAAAAAACGCAGATATTCGAAACCCAAGTCGCAATTTGGAAGCAACTCGACGAGGGGAAGTATGACCTAACAAGATGGTTGAGCGACACTAACGATGCTATCACGTCGGCTATTGAACGTCTCTCGGACGCTGAATCGGGACAAGCCAAATTAGCCAAGTACCAAGAGGAACTACCATCGTATCAGACGATTCGTCAGGGAATTTATGCGAAGATCCAACAACTAGTTAAACTCAACAACGGTGTCGACATCCCGACTCTGAATTCCTTGAATCAGCTCCTGGACGATCAGTTCAAGTTGGTTAAGGAATCAGCCGAGAAGTTAGAATCCCTAACAACCAATTTGAGCGAAAAGGAAAAAATGATTCGACACGATTTAAAATCAGCAGGGGAAATTGTATCCAAAATCCGAGAGGACATCATCAAGTGCGACGATCTCACTGGCGAGAATACGAAAATTTTGAGCAGGATCAACAAATGCCAGGAACTAAAGCAAGAACTAGAGAAATGCGATTATTCCCTATCCAAGATCAATGAGAAATTAACCGAAATGACGTCGACCTATCCCTCGATTTCGAGATCAAGTTTACCGAAAGAACTCCAGGCACTGCAGCTCCGAAGAGACGGAGTCGCGAACCACGCTGATAAAGTAAACGCAACTTTGGTCGCATTCCTAACTAAACTCTACCACGAGAAATTCGGAGCCCTCCAAAGAATGGTGGCCGTCCACAAGGAGAAGATTGCTTGGTGTGAACCCGAGCAAACAAGTGACAAGTACAATCTCGAAGTTAAAATGTCTTCCCTAAAGGACATTGCGACCGGAATTGCCGACTGTGAAACTAGGAAAGAAGACAGTGACAACTTCATCAAATTGCTAGAAACAGTGGAGAGCTTCGAAACAATGTCGAACCTACACGCAGAACGTGAGAAAGTGACAAATGATCTTGATAATCTCAAGACTAATTATCAGAAGATTAAAAATATTCTCGAGTCAAATATTGAACTGTGGCAAAACTATGAAACACTTTCCAAAAATTTAGGAGCAGTCCTCAAGGACTTGGAAAACAAGATCAGAATCGAAGGTTCCTTGATCGATCCTTTGGAAATTGAGGAAAAAATCAAGGATACGGAGAACCTACAAAGAAAGGTCGATGAATACCAAAAGGATCTGACGGATCTCACCAACTTAGGGGAGCAGATAACGAGAGTTAATTCCGAGTCTCGAGTCGGACAGTACGTGGGTCATCTCAATGGGAGATATCAATCAATTCGAAAATTCTTGTCTCAGCACTTGAAGAAATTGGAAGAACTCCGGAATACTAGAAATCAGTACAAGAACAGTGTGTCGGAACTAGAAGACTGGCTCACAATCAAGGAGAAACAACTGAACAGTTTTGATGAAATCACCGGACCCAAGCCAATCAGTTTCTATCAGAACAAACTCAAGGAACTAAAGATCTTTAACGAGAAACGAGAAGAGGGATTAGTGATCCTAAATCGAACGGTCGAGGCAGGTGAGAATTTGTATTCGAAAATAAATTCCAATCATCGGGAAATTATACGCTCGGATCTGCGTAATCTGAGAAATAGAGTCGATGCCCTAACTGATCGAGGGAATGCAGCTTATAAGAAAATCGAAAGCGACATGATGCATAGATCATCGTTCGAGGACAAGTACACCCAAGTGAAGCGCTGGGTAATAGACGCGCAATCAAAACTCAACGAAATGCAGGATCTCCAACCAAATCTCCAGGAGAAGAAAATTGCACTCAATTCTTACAAGACGATCGCTCATGATGTGGGTATTCATAAGAATATTTTACAACAACTGGAAGAGCGCTTGGACAGTGTTCCTGACGACGAGTCTACTGATATGCTCTCTAGCGTCATTGAGAGTTACGACAAACTTGCCGAGAGCGTCGAGGGAAAAGTGAATGTCGCCGAGAAATTTGTAGCCAATCATGAAGCTTATCTCCAAACTTTCGATAAAATGCGTGACTGGATAAACACAATCGTCAGTGAGTCGAATCCCCTTCTGGATGACTTGCCAATCGAGAGGGAAGCTGCGAAAGCCAAGATCACTCTCATCGAGAATACTCTCCAGCAGAAACTCGAAGGCGATCGTCTAATTGATGACTGTAATCAACAATTGAATATTATTCTCGAACAGACTTCGATAGCCGGTCATCCAGTTCTTCTAAAATCCTTTGACGATCAAAAGAAAATTTGGCAAGAATTCCTCAACAAGTGTCAAATATCCCGGGAGAGATTGAACGGCCTCTTTGATCACTGGTCAGAATTCGAGAAAATGATCCAGGAGTTGGAGAATTGGACCAAGCAGATAGAGAGTCAAGTCAAGGATCAAAGTCTAAAGAGCACCCAAGAGGCGAAAAAGTCCCATTTGCAAAAACTCAGGAGTCTTGAAGTCGAGATTGCTTCCAAAGCACCGGATCTGAACGCAGCGATCGAAAAGAGTCAGAGAGTCGAGGCTGAAACGGAACTCGTGAATAGAATATCAAGACAAGCGACCAAGTACCAAGGGATCAAGAATCAAGTAAAGGAAGCCGTGACCCGCTACGAAGAGTTTCTCAAGGAGCACGAAATCTTCAATGAACGTTACAATAAATTCATCCAGTGGATCAAGGAACTCGAGGACGAATTATCGAAACACAGTGAAATTGTCGGCGACCTTTCCATACTCCAAAATCGTCAGAAGAGCATCCGCAATCTCGGTGACACAAGAACGAAAGAGAATTCTCAATTCGAGTCGATAATCGATCTTGGTGAGAAACTGTACTCGCACACATCGCCAGAGGGTCGGGAAATAGTTCGCCAACAGTTGAGAAATCTCCGAACACTCTGGGATCGTTTCTCCGAGGATCTTCAAAACTCGACACAAAAACTCGATCAGTGCCTAATGCAATTCGCCGAATTCTCATTGTCTCAGGAGCAATTAACAGCTTGGTTGCGTGACGTCGAGAGAGCGATGCACCAGCACACGGAACTAAAGTCAACACTCGAGGAGAAAAGGGCACAACTACAAAACCACAAAATTATGCATCAGGAAATTATGTCCCATCAAACACTGGTCGAGTCGGTTTGCGATAAGGCGCAGCAATTGGTCGATCAGACCAAGGACACATCGTTGAATGTTTACCTACAGTCGATAAAGCAGCTGTTTCAGAATATAGTCTCCAAATCACGGGATTTATTGGAGAACTTGGAGGACTGTGCCGAGAAGCATAATCGATTCAATTTGAGATGTATCGCTTTCAACGATTGGCTGGCACTTGAGATTGAGATGCTGAACGAATGTAATGATGTTTCTGGTGAGAGGAGTGAGATTTCTAGAAGACTAGCAACTTTGGCTGTTCTGTCCGAGAGGAAGAATCAAGGGAACGACATGCTGAGGGAATTGAAAGAATTGGCTAATGCTGTTGCCAAGAGTACTGCTCCCAAGGGTCAGGAATTTGTTAATAAGGAATTAGCGGAATTGGAGGAGGCTCTGAATCAACATCGAAGGGAAATTGGTAAGTTACCCATCCATTCGGATAGTTACCTATTCTGTAAATATCAATTTCGTAATTTGTAATCCAGTACTAATTTGTTTTATTAGCTTTTTTACGAAACGGTTTTTTGTCTAGATTCGACGAGAGACAGGCAAAATGAAGCACTCAGGAAATGGCAAGACTTTGAAGATCAGTTGGAAGCCCATTCAAGTTGGCTCCGTCCTCTAGAAGCAGCGTTTAGGGACCAAATGCTACAACCAACTTTGAGGGACAAGGAGGAACGTCTTCAGGAATTTAAGGAGAAACGAGAGATCCTCGTCAGATGTGAGAAGCAAATCGATGAATTTGTCGACAATTCGCATGGTCTCCTAAATTCGAGTGGAGTCGAGAGGATCCAGCCTCTGATTCTGAGTGTAGACAATAGGTATCGTCAATTACTAGCAAGGAGCAAGCAGGTAATTAACGAACGTCAAGATATTGTCGACGAACACAAAGTCTACGATGAAGAGCTGAAAGCAACAGAAGTCTGGCTCTCGCCCCTCGAGGAAAAACTCATCGCCCTTAGAGAGGAGGAAGTCGGTGGGAATTTAACAGCTAAAGGTTCAAGACTACAAGTCCTGCTTGCCGAGAAAGACCAAGCGGAACACAGACTATCGAAATTAATCGCAACCAGTGAGAGAGTATTTCCAACAACATCTGCTCAAGGTCGGGAGCAAATTAGACAAGAGGTGAGGAAAATTAGAGAAAGATGGGACAACGTTAACGAAGGGATTGTCGAGCAACAGAAAAAACAGGACGCCCAAAGTATTCAGTGGTCCAACTATCAGGAAAACTTACAACAAATTTTGTCCTGGCTGGAGGGAATGGAGAGAACCGTAAAGCAAGATTCCACCACTGGTTGGACATCTCTACAGGAGGTGCGATCAAAATTACTAAAGAACAAAGCTATTCACCAGGAGATACTGTCCCACAAGCGAATAATCGAGGGCCTCACCGAGAAAGCATCTTCCATGGCTCAATTATCCCAAACGGCGATCGACGAATCAATCCAAAAAATCGATTCCATATCCCAACGATATCAAAACCTGTTGGAAACGTCACAAAAGAGTGTCAGTAATCTAGAATCAATTCTCGATTTTCTGCAACAGTTTCACGACCTACAGAAATCGTACCAAAATTACCAGAAGCAGCAATGGGAGTCCTTGGGGAATTACAACGATTCCACGGGCAATAAAGCCGCACTACAAGCCAGACTACTCAAAATCATCGAAATTCAGGACAACCTTAGCGAAGGTGAAGTGAAATTAAACCTCCTCGAGAAGCACGTCTCACAAAATATCCACACACTCTCTCCAAGATCGCAAGAGTCCATGGAGCGAGATTTGACGAACCTAAAACTGGAACAAACTAAATTCACAAACGCCGTGAGTGACGCCGTGCGCAATATCGAGGAACGAATACAACAGTGGAGTGAATACGAAAATTCACTCGAACGTCTACTCATCTGGCTGGCGGATGCCGAAGGTTCTTTAAAGAACTACAGCCTTAAGAATACAATCGAAGAGAAGCAGGAGCAACTGGAAAAATATCAGGTAGATTTTATTGACTATTTTTTTCATAAAATTAATTTATCAAAATGGGTTTTTTTTCCTTTTTTTCGAAACAAAAAATGGTAAAACAAATTCTGATAATACCTTGTTCAGGATCTACTAAAAATAATGGAAGTACGGAACACTGATGCAATGGAATTGGTGGCTCTTGGTGACCACCTTGATCAAGTAAGATCTCAGACAGAATCCCTAAAATGCTTGGGACAGAAAAACATTTGCATTTTTGCCTCTCAACATATTTAATTTTATTTTCTTTTAATTCAAAAACTTATTAAATTTCTCTTATTATAAAATTACTTTTAATCACTTTTTAGATCAAAGCTTCTTATTTTCTTTAAAGCTTTCTTCATCGCTGGAATGACATTGGTTTTTCAAGGGATTATTTCTTACGTCTTTCATTTTATTGGAAAGAGAATTTTTTTGCTCCTCTCTAAGCGCACTGTTAAGAAATGATGTGTCGATAATCATTTTGTTTTCATCTGAGAGCTATAGTAGGGTTTTTTTGTTTTCTGAAAAGAGATTACAAATGGTGTTCTTTCTTTTTAGTCTTTGTTGGTGAATCTGAGGCAAAATGAAGCTGAGTTCGATAAAATGAGTGACGATTCATCCGATTTGGTTCAGATTAGTGGCGAGACGAGATTTTCTGCTAGTGTTCAACAAGTGACTTCTAGATTTCAATCAATTCAAACGACAGCTAAGGTGATTGTAATTTTGCTTTATTCTAAAGATTTAAATCTACGGTCTTACTAATTTTATTAACTTTTTTCTAAATTTGTCACAGGAGTTGGTGAAAAAGTGCGATCAAGCAACCTCCGATCACGCGGCCTATTTAGATAAATATAAAGAATGTTTGGAACGTTTATCAACTGCTCAGCAGTGTTATCAAAATATACGTGACAATATTTCTGGAATGCGCGAAGAATTAGTTCAATTGGTTGAAACTCTGAATGAATTACTCTCGAGGCAAGCTTCACTGTCCTTACTCGTGAATTCCACTGTTGAAGCTGGTGAACGTATTTATCCAACAACCGGAAAGGAAGGACGAGAAATAATTCGTCAACAGCTAATTGATCTCCAGCAGGCATTCGAAACGCTTTTCGATGGAGTCACTTCCACCGAACGAGAAATAAGAGCGAAAATCTTCTGCTGGTCTGGATTCGATGAGTGCAGTGAGGCCTTTGATAAGTGGCTCAAGATTGCCGAAACTCATCTTAAACCGGAAATGGAATTGAAAAATACACTCGACGAGAAGCGAGCTCAGTTGCAAATCTATCGAACATTCTTACATGATGCGCAAATTCATCAGCAAGATTTATTAAATCTTCGAGATAAGGCCGATAATTTACCTGACGGATCGGAGAGAATTGACAGTGTCCTGAAGGAATTAGGCAAACGTCACGCTGCTGTTTTAAAATGTGCTGCCGGATTTGTAGAAAAGTAAGTTTCTAATTAATTTTGTGGATTTAGAATTGAAATGTAATTCAATTTGTGGATTTATAATTTTACTCATACTTCTTTTTCCAGGTACGAAGCGATTGTCAGTGATCATCAGCAATACAGTAAGGCTGTTCTGGACACTCATGAGTGGCTGGACGCGACTCAAAATGCAGTCAATCTCTGGGGTGACGCAGAAATTGAGAGAGTATCACTTCACACAAATTTGGATCGCTTGAGAAACTTGCTGCAAACTTTGCCCGAGGAGGAGCCGAGAATACGACAAATCCGCAATCTTGGAGAGAAAGTAATTCCCGGAACTCTAGAAAGTGGACAGATTAACATAAGATCACAAATTGATTCATCACAACAGGAATGGGAAAGCCTTGTGTCAACCGTTAAATCGACTCTAGAAAATCTAGAACAAAAATTACAACAGTGGAATGAATTTGAAATTTCTAGAGACAAGTGTCTTGTCTGGATTCGTGAGACTGATACGAAATTACATGCGATTGATTTAAAAGCAGCATTAACGGAGAAGAAAGATCAATTAGAAAAATTGAGAGTCCTGCAAGGTGAAGTTCGAGCCAAGGAACTTGAAATCGATGCCGTTTCCGAGAGGGCGCAAGTATTGCACAAGAATCTAACTTCCCGTTCGTCGCAAACATCAGAGTTGGGAGTCAAGTATCAACAGATTTCCTCCAAAGTGAAGGAGTTGAACAATCGTTGGCAGCAATATGTCACCAGTCATCAAGAATTTGCCAACAAACTTTCCGAATGCTCAGCATGGCTCGAGGATATCAAGACAAAGTTAGCTTACTGTTCGGATTTGAGTACATCCACCCAGAAGGATTTGGAGAAGAAATTGGACATGATCCAAGACATGTTGCTCTACAAAGATGATGGTTTCGCTAAAGTTCAATGTATTGTAGAATTGGCTCAAGTTGTTTTGGCCAATACGGCTCCAACCGGACATCAAGCGATCAATGACGCTTTGACAAAAGTTCAAGAACAGTGGCGATCATTAGCCTTGAAGATGATTGAAACCAAGACGAATCTCGATGATCTTATCAACAAATGGGCTGGACTGTTGGAGCAAATACAATCAATCAATAGGACCGTGGAGTACATGCAATCATCCGTTGATGAGATCTCCCAATTCCAGGGAACAATGACAGAGAAACGTTCCCAATTGGAAAGGGTAAAAGCCCTTGAGGAAAAGGTCCGTTGCGAAAATATCGAAGTCGATAGTCTCAAGTCTAAAGTCGCTGAAATGATCAGCAGTGGTCAGCAAAGTTTGGCAACGTCAGAGGCTCAGGAAATTCTTTCTAAATTCGACACTTTGTCGGAGAGAATTAAATCACTGTTAACTGAACGGGAGGATCAGTACAAGGATCATCGAATATATAAGGAAGCTCATGATGATCTAATCGGTTGGCTGAGTCGAGCGAGGGAGAAAATACCCTCCATGAAGCAACGTCCTCTCAGTGACAAGTTGGCTATCGAAAACGCCGTCACCCCACTAGAAGGTTTATTGAACAAGAAAGCTCAAGGCGAACTTCTGGTTGAACATCTTCAACACACCGGAAATGTTGTCTGCGCAAGTACCAGTCCACAAGGACAACAGGTCATTAACAACGAAATGCGCGCCCTGACCGAGAGTTTCGAAAATCTGTTCAAAGACCTGAAGCATCAAAAGGATCAACTCGAGGCAACAGTGAGTAAATGGCGAGATTACAAGGACGAGTACGAACGAATCAGCGACTGGTTGCAACAAATTGACATTTTAATCAAAGCACAAAAAAATGCCCTCCTACCGAATATTCAGGAGAAGGAAAAACAAGTGAAAGAGGTCAAGGATATTCTGAACGACCTAACGAAGGGTCAGGACCAAATTGACAAATTCAATAAACTCGCTTCTTGCCTTCTCACAACACAGCTGGACACCTACATCAACAACCAACTTCGTCACCTCAACTCCAGATATCAAGTTCAAGTGAACCTGGCGAAAGATGTTCTGAACAAGGTTGAGACAAATTTGGCGCAACATAAAGAGTACGAGAAGAATCTAGGCAAAGCTCGTGACTGGATAGAGAACGCGAAGCAGATAATCCGTCAAGGGACGGAAGCCGTATCCACCAGTAGTAGAGAAGAATTCCAAAGTCGATTGGACCAAATTCAGGAACTACTGAGGAAGCGGGAAGAGGGACAAAATCTCGTGCATCTAACGGTGAATTGCGGCGAAAAGGTAATGAGAAACACAAGATCTGACGGACGGGAAGAAATCGCAAACCAACTCAAGGAGATCCAAAACGATTGGGAGCGTTTGGTGAAGAAAATTTCGACAACAAAAGTCCATTTGGAGACGAGTCTTCTCCAATGGGCGGACTACAGTTCATCGTATTCGCAACTACAACAGTGGATTAATGATCGAGAAGCGAAATTACAACAAGTCTGTGAGCAAAAAGTATCCAAGGCCAGAAAAGGTCTAGCTGGTCTCAGCTCGCTTGCGATTGGCGAACGAAAAGCCAATCTCCGTCAAACGAATAGCATCGTCCAGGATATCGTTGCTTTCGAGCCCATGATTCAGTCAGTAACCACAAAGGCCGAGGACCTTCAGCAAGCGACACCAGCCACGGAAATATCCATCAAATACGAAACCCTCAGTAAACAAGCCCAGGAACTTTATGCCAAACAAAAGGAAACCGTAGAACAACATCAAGCATTCATTGACAGTGGAAACGAATTCATCCAATGGATCCGTGTAGCGAAGGAACGTCTAGGCAAGTGTTCCGAACCAACCGGCGACAAAGAATCCCTAGCCAGCAAAATAACTCAACTCAAAGTTCTCCAAAGTGATCTACCCGAGGGTCAGAAGAAATTGGAGAACGCCCTCGAACAGGGAAATTTGGCCTGTCAAATAGCCGATGCGGACGACAAGGAAATAATCGAGGAGGAAGTCGCTCTCCTTCAGGAGGAATACGACAACTACATCGATTCACTGAACAATACCAAGAGTCTGTTGGAAATTGGAATTGTCAAGTGGACAGAGTATGAGGATCAGTATTCCGAAGCTGTCGAGTGGCTGAACCAAACCGAACAATTGGTACAATCGTTCAACAAACTTCAGAACAGCTTAGAGGAGAAGAAAAATGTCCTCGAACAATTTCAAGTTCATCTGCAGACACTCTTTGATTGGCAGAGGGAACTCGATCGACTCAACATGAAGGCGCAAGTTCTTTTGGAGACGTGTGCTGATACAAGAATTTCGAACGCAATCACCCAACTGACAACAAAGTACAATGCCATTTTGTCCCTCGCTAAGGAAATAATGAGGAGACTCGAACTCCATTATCAGGAGCATCAACAACACAATACGTTGTATCAGGAATGTCAAGACTGGATTGAGAGAACAAGAGACAAACTGGTTGAGTGTAAGGACATTCCAAATACACTCACCGAAGTGAATAACAAACTACAGACCTGTAAGACCATCCGTCAGACATTGGAACAGGGACAAAATAAACTTCGCTACGCTCTGGAATTGAAGGAGAAGGTCATCATGAATACCGAGCAGAATGGCGCCGCTAAAATCCAGGAGAACACTGAAAATCTAAAAGCAGATTTCGAAAAACTATTGAATGACGTTGAGGAGGTGAGACAGAAACTAGCCTCTAGGGCTGCTGTTCTGGAAGAGTTAAATAAAATGCACAGGTTAATTGTCGACTGGATTGAGGAGGTGGAAAGCAAAGTTCAGCTAGAAGAGGTTTATAGGAACGACCTCAGTGAAAAGAGGGCTCTACTCGAAAAATACAAAGCAGTCCAAAGGGACGTTCAGGCGCACGGTGAGAATATTGATCGTCTAAAGAGCAGATTAGTCGAAGACGGGAATATCCCAACGACTCCCTATGAACCAACCCTGGCGAAATATGAATATCTGCAAAAATTAGTAGCCCAGAAAGTCAAGAGTCTCGAGAATCAGGTAAAGGAGCACGAAAATTACCAACAATCGTACAATGATGCCGCTGATTGGGTTCGAGAAACCAGAGTCGAATTACAGCACAATAATGACACTCATGGTGAGAAGGACAAAGTTCTAGAACGCGAGAAAAAAATCCAGCAGATTATTCAATCCCTACCTAAAGGTCAAACCCTAATTACGAAAGTCATCGAACAAAGTCAAGCCGTATTCCTGACAACTGGACCCGAGGGTCAGGAACTTATTAACCAAGAGATGCAACAACTCCAAGGCGATTGGAATACCCTCCAAGCTCAATGTCACGAAGCAGAGAATAATCTTTCAAATTGTCTGGATTCATGGTCCCAATTTACAAATTCTCTGGAGGGTATGAAAAACTGGGTAGAGCAATTTCAGAGGAAGATTAGTGAGGAGCAAGTCAAGGAAAACAAAACTCCGGAGGATTTATTGAGGTGCAAGAAAATAGTTGAAGACGCCTTGAATCAGAAGACAGTTCTGGAAGATTTGAACGACAAGTGCGAAAATTTGATGGAATTGAGTGCGTGCAGTTGGGCCAGAGACAACACAGTTCATCTTCAGTCGGCCTACACTTGCCTCTTGACGGACGCCCAGGGTCTAGTGTCCAGGGTCGAAAAGAATCTATCAGATCACACCGAGTTCCTCAAGGCGAAAAGCGACCTAGAGGAGTGGCTCCAGACGGCTCACGGATCGGTCCAAGACTGCGTTGGAGTTGGCGACGTTTTCTGGGCTAAGGACAAACTTCAAACGATAAAGGTAAGCTTTCATATTTTTGATGATCCAAATCAATATATTGAAATATTCAGTTCGAATCATTTGCATCAAATCCCGTCCAAGAAATACTGATACATACTATTTGGGTTCATTAATCAAAAATATGTTTCAGTTGGTATCAACAAGAATGACAGAGGGTCAGCACTTGTTGTCGACACTCCAAAAAGCTTTCGCAAAGGCCATCAATACAGCCCTACCGGAACAGCAGGACAAACTCAGAAACGACATGGCAGCCTTGAGATTAAGCTGGGAGCAATTGAGTCTCGATTTGAACACAATTCAAGCCCAAATTAAATCCGTTCAAAATCGTTGGGACGATTATGATGATGCTAAAAATCGTTTCGAACAATGGCTGACAAAAACCGAAGAGAATCTCAAGTTTCTACAGGACACAAAAGGCGAAATCGGCGAAATGAAAACCCTTGTCGAAAAATGCAAACACTTGGCTGATGAAGTTAGGAGCAAACGTTCCGACCTTGATCATCTATTAACCGAATCCGAAGAACTCGCCACATGGGCCAAGGATCAGACAATCAAAAAATGCACCGAGTCTCTTCAAGAGCGTTGGCAATGTTTAGGTGATCGAGTGGAACAACAGAAGAAAATGATCGAGAGCGAGGTTCACGAGTACAACGCCTACCATTCAGCACTTCAGGAGACGGAAAAATGGCTCCTACAAATATCCTTCCAGTTGATGTCTCACAATTCTTTGTACATTACGAATAAGGAGCAGACTATTGAACAGATGAAGCAACACGAGAATTTGTTGGAGGAAATACAAAGCTATCAGTCGGCACTGGATGAACTGAAACTTAAGGGTCAGGGACAAATTGAACGGTACGAGTCTGCTAAGCCTGCTATTAGGCAAACTATCGAGACGCAACTTCAAAATGTTCAGGAGAGTTACAATTCTCTTTTGAACACTGCTCTGCAAATTAAGGGCAGATTAGCTGAAAGTTACGCCAAATTCCAAGAATATGAGAATACTTTGGAGAGTATTATGAAGAATTTAGATATATACGAGCCGGAAGTTGCTCAAGAACTAAAAGCTCCTTTGGATAGTCTCCCATCAGCCGAGGAGAGTTTGGAGCGAGCGAGAATTCTCCACAATAAACTTCAAGCCGAAAAGGGACGACTCGCAGTGGCCGTAGAAGCTTGCGAAGCAGCTGCTGCATGTCTCTCAAGACCCGGAAGTCCCCTCGACGCTCCGCCAGTGCAAATTCCAGCCAGGGAAATCGATGTTCGAAATCGTCTCGAAGACCTCATTGATCAGGTATTTAATTCCAGGAAATTATTTTTACAGCATGATTTTTTCCAATTATTTTTTGTTTGCGCACCCTTTTTTTGTTCTAATCCCAGCGCAAGCTTTTTTCTTTACTATCATTTGGCTCTAATTTGCGCAGAAGGATATTGGAGAATCAGCTCACAGGCTAAAAGCATTGATTGAAAATATCGAGCGCAGTGGCTTCTTAGCGAAACTTAATCACTTGTGTTGTGAGGTTTGTCTTATTTGTCAATGTTCAGCGAATCAATCAAAAAGTAGAAAGTAAGAAACCGTTTTCTCCTTTTCTTTCAGATGCAAACACACTTGTCGAATGTTACAAAATCAGTGAGTGAGCTAGAGGAGCAAAATCATCAAAAGAATGCCCTGCGTGCCTGGGTGAATCAACAACGGGCAATATGCGCCGAATGGAAATCAAGACCAGCGAAATTGCGCAGTGAAGCCGCACAGGCAGAACTTCAGGCAATGAACGATTTATTGTCAAATGTCGGAGAACGAAGATCACGAGCTCTATTGGAATTGTCCCTAATTCCAGGAAATGACGACGATATTCAGGAGAGTCTCGATAAGTTAGAAACCGAATTGCTTGAAGCGATTGCTGGTAAACAGGCTTCACAGGATTTGATTGAGAAATTCAGAAATCATGTTCAGGATATTCACACATGGTTTGATACACTCTCGAATAAGATTGATAATATTGAGAAGGGATCTGGTCTGACGATTGGACAGAAAATCTCCTACATTAAGGATATTACTCAGGAGTTTGAAAGACAAGGTCCGGAGAAGTTGGACGAGGTGAAAAAATTGGGAGATCAGGTAATGGATTCGGTCAGTAATCTTGATTCCCAACAAATTGAGGAACAAATCAGATCTGTAGAGCGGAGACACGCAGACATTGGCAAGAAAATTCAGAGGAAATCACAAGTTTTAGATATGACAGCACAAGCTATTGAGGCCACCAGAAAGGAAATACAAGAAAATCGGGATTGGATTCACGACATACAGACTGCTGGTTTTTCCGGACCGGTTGGTTTTGAAAGCAAAGTGGCAGAGGAGAAACTTTTGGCCCTAAAGGTAATTGATCCGAAAAACACGTAGGTAGGCAATATTTAATTCTTGTTCTTTTTAGGCAACACTGAAAGAAGTGGAGGGAAAGAAGGTAATTATCAACGCCCTGGAGAAGCGGGTAGGTAACATTCAGAACGAATTGGAGTCCAGTGAGCAGAAGCAGTTGGAGGCTGATACACGAGCTTTAAGGGGAGAACAGGTTACTCTGTGTTCGGTTCTCAAGGAGGAGATCGCAGCAGCAACTTCTGCTGCTGAAGCACGCCGAAAGTTGGAAAATGATCTGGAGAAAGCGCACGTCTGGATAAAAGCGAAGAGTAATGATCTAAAAAAGCTGAGTAGTTACTTGCCACTGAGGGCCTTCAAGGTTGAGCAAGATATTACCCAACATAGCGGTTTGGAAGCAGACATCAAAAGTTTTAACGAGAAGGACCTGAAGGACATTCTGAAACAAGGTGATATTCTGCTTAGAGAATGTAACGATGAAGATAAAGCACGACTTCAAGGTATGTTGAACGATCTGAGTAAAGAATACGAGAACCTCCAAAAAGAGGCTGAGGAAAAACAAGCCGCACTTCGAGATCTCCTTCAAGGACGTAAAGCATTCGAGAACGAGATCAGCAAATGCGAACGATGGATAAAGGAAGCTGAGGTCGCTACTTCTTCCGAAATCAGAACATCAAGTGTCGATGTTCTTCGCGAACAACTTGGAAAGGTAAAGTAAAAAAATTCTACTTCCATAGAAATCAAATTATACTGATCTTTTCTTTACAGTACGACCGCTTGAAGAAGGAGGCTAAAGAATTTGCTGACGATATCGAAAAAATATCCCAACAAGGAAAATCGATACTCCCAACTGTTAGTGACGTGGACAAAGTTGAACTGAGTGAACAGTTAAAGAACATGAAGGAAGCTCATGGAAGAGTTGCTAATGTCATCAATGAAAGGGCAGCGGCTCTTCAAAAGAGTATCAACGAAATGGAAGAAGCAGCAGCTAGAGTCGCGGAAGCTGTCCAGTTCATGACAGACATCCAAAGGGAACTTCAAGAACTGAACAAACCAATTGGCTCAAGAGTCGAAGACGTTGAGGGCATGCTAGCCGCCTACGAAAAAATCTTAGACAATTTAAAGCAAAATAAGGCAAAACTTTCCGATCTACAGAATGTAAATGTCGGCAATCTTCACGGTGTCATAACACAACAGAACGACTTGATCAATTCGCTAGAAGGCCAAATAGCCAAATTGCGCCAACTCCTGCTACTCAGACAACAATTCATCGCCTTGATCAACGAAATAATGACCTTCATCACCAAATACACGGAAATTATCCGAGACATTGAGAAAGGCGGTCAAACCACCGACGAGAAGATCAAACGCTACGATGATGTTATCTCAAAAATACAGGAATGTGAAGCTACCCTCGCCAGTGCTACGGATAAGGGACAGCAAATTGCCGCGGAAGGTTCCACTGCGGATAAAAATAACATAACCGAACAACTGCAATCACTAAAGCAGCAGATTCAAACGTTGAGACGAGCCGTTGAGTCGCAAAGGGAACAACACGAACTGACAGCTGCCGAACACAGACGACTTGCCAGTGAACTTTCCGATATTCTAAGTTGGCTAGAGTCAAAGGAAAAGGAAGTCAAGACCAGGCCTTTGCTGCAAAGGGACTCGCAGAATGTGGAGGATGAACTAAAGAAGCATCAAGAACTTTGCGACGAAGTGAATGAATATCTCGAGAGAATCAGAAACCTAAAGGAGTCCGTGAGGCATGAAGACGACATGCCAGGGTCCTTAAAAGAGATGCTAAGCGAAGCCGTCTCTCTTCTTAGTTCCCTCCCTAGGGAAATGGACGAAGGACGAAAGTATCTAGAAAACAACTTACAACTGAGAATTGATTATTCTGCCCTAACCGAGAAACTTGACAAATGGGTCAAGGAGGCTGAGATCAGACTTCAGAGCGATAAGGACGGACTCGATTTTGAGAATATTTTGACGGACCTGGAAGAGTATAAGGTTAGTAGATACTTGTGTAGCCTAACCGCAGTGGTTGCGCTTACCTAGTGCCGAAAAATGTCAATTTACTGGTCGATTTCATAAAACTTAACCATTTCTCCACAGATCTTCTTCAGCAGTGAACCGTCAATGAGGGAACTGGTCTCCCAACAAATTCAGCAAGCAGCTGACAAAATTTGGCCATCTCTGAACACTGCAGAGCAAGAGGAGCTAAGTGCCGAACAACAACAACACACCCAGTTGTTAAAGAATACTTTAAACACCGCAAAATCCCAAAAAGCTCGACTCGAACAAGGAGCAGAGACCTGGAGGGACTATACTCAAACTTTAGAACGAGTTAGAGCTGTAATTGCAAGAAGTAAATTTACCGATGAACCTGTGACAACCCTGGCTGGTCTTCAGTTCAATATTCAGAAAATCGTCCACGCTCTTAACAATATTCAAGTAATTATCTCTTGATTCCTTTTGATTCTCTTGATTCCTCTTGATTCTCTTGATTCTTGACATTCGAGTAATTTGAAATTTGCATCTTTGAGAATTTTCCAAATAACGATTTGCGCATTATTTTCAGAATCAGCAGTTCGAACTAGATCTGCTAACGGAGAGAGGGAGTGAAATTCTACGCCAAGCTGACGAAACGAATAGAAAGAGAATTGAAGGCCAAATGGAGGAAGTCAACTCCAGTTGGCGTGAACTTGTTTCCGGTTTGGAAGGACGTCGGAACACTTTGGAAGCACTTTATGAACATTGGGAAGAATTCGAGACCCAGTGGACGAATGTTGAAGCCAGACTCAATGAAATTGAGGAACGGAATAAATTTACTCAACCGATTGTCAGATCTAAGGAACATCTATTGGATACAATTGGGATTCTTAACGTAAGTGCTAATTTTCTAACTGGTGATTGTTACCTCGATTTCCGATTTGAAGTTTAACCGCGGTTATACTTCAGATCGGTAATCGAGATAACAATCAAAATTGGTGTCTTTAGTAGTTGAATGTTAGCCTTGTTTACACTAATGGATTTAGTGTATTGTGTTCTTAGGAATTTAGTTTTCTTCCAGACTGTTGCAAATTTCGATACTTCGAAATTAGATATACTGTTTATATATTAGGTCTTGAAATTATTAGTAAAATTTGTACTTGAAAATTAATTCTTCTTTAGTTTTCACTTATTAGTAGTAAAATCGTTGTATTTAACTGGATGTTGTGCCGAAGTTGGGTTCAAAAATAATACTTGGGTAAAAAAAAGTCCGGATCAAGTTCGGTTGATTAGATTATCTTTTTACTGTTCAAAGGAAATGCTGTCGGACGTGGAGAGCTTGAAACCTTCAGTGGCGGAAATGAAAACACTAGCTGGACCCGTTCTTGCCTACTTGGCTGCATTCACAGAAGATGCAGCTCGTACTCTTGAGGAACGAATCGAGAAATTACAGAAGGCTGTAGAAATGTGAGTACCAAATTTCTAATTCAACTTTTTAGCTTTACAACGATATTCCGAGTGCTATTCGCAAGAACAGCATGTTCTATTTCGGTCGCAAAAATTGAATTTCAAACACTTTCGTTTCCTGGCATCAAAAAAATGATGAAAGTATTCTGAAGCGATGATGACATCTCTTCTTATTTCTAAGAAGAAGAAAAAAACACATGTGTCTGCTGAATTGCAAATACTCACACGTGCTATTCGATTAGATGATTTTTATTCTCTCCTAACTCGAGTTTACATCATCATTATACACTTTGGACTACGTCATAAATGGATTCGTCTAGCATGACGTAAACAACGTAAACAGAAATAAATAGTTTTAATGCATTGACGGGAGAAACGGAGAGAATTTAAAAAAAGGAAAATGTATGAAATTGATGATTGAAGGTCATGAGAGACTCGTTTCATTATCATCAAAAACTGATTACCTCTTTTTCCCTCTCTCTGTCTCTCTCACTCTCTTACCGGTGTGCCGGCGTTTTGTTATTTAGTCAGTTCATGTCGATCAAACATTGCGCGTCGAATCACTGACCACGGTAACGAACAAACGTAATAATCAAGTGATAAATTCGATCAATAGAACAATTCCGCATGCATCTGTTCTCATTTTAAGACACACGTAAATTTTGATCGTATAACTTTATACACTTTCTGTTTGTAATGAAGAAAGTGACACTTTTCGAAAAAAAACAATGTTTTTTTTATATTCTTAAATATTTATAATTGTTAAATTTTATATCGAAGTGTTTTTTTATTACTAGACCAAAAACAAATATTAGTGATGAGGATGAAAATTTTCTGTGTTTAAAATTTAACATTATGAATTTAGCGGTTTTTGGATATGAAGATCGTTAAAGGTATGTTGTTTTCCAAAAACACTATTCATATTATTTATAAATAAATTAGTTAATAAATTATTGGTGAATAAAAAAAAGTAAGATTGGATATTTTTGTTACAAAATGACTGATTTTTTCCTAAATTAAAAATTAAAAAAAAACAAGAAAGTTAGGTAAAAATTGTAAAATTCCAAGACATTTAAAAATAGAAAGGAAACAATTAAATCTAAGTCATATTTTGTCGCCTGACGATAACTATAATTGAAAATTATCAGGTTACAGGCAAAAATACATTATTACTCATATTTCTTGTCAATAGAATAATGATAAAAAAATTATTGTCACTGAAGGTATTATTGAAATGTTGTGCTTTTAAAATGTTTTTAATTTTTCGCTATATTATGTTTCTCCATATTTTAATATATTTAAATTAATTTAATAAATAAATAAAAAAATAATCAATTAAATAAAAAAATATAAATTGAATAAACAAACTTTCGAAAAAATAATAACAATAATAAAAGTAATAAATATAAATAATTATATTTATAAATTTTATAAATTTTAGAAAATTTTACAGTAAGAAAAAATATTTCCTAATTTTTAGTTATTACATAACTGAAACCCTTTTTTCTCACAATCAGATATTTTAGTAACAATTTTTCAATTATACTGTTTTTCATTCAAAATAAAAAAGAAATCATGAAATTGTCTTTTTTTCAAGTTATACTTTGAAATTAAGTATTATTTTCTGCCAATTCAATTGCCTGTGTATTTATAGCTACGATGTTAAAAATAACTACATGTTCCATTTCTGAATTTCATTAGTGCAAGAACTCCCTTCCATTCTCTAAAGGTCATATACTGTTTTTCTTTTTTTTCATTCTGACAAAAATATAATTTAATTAATTTAAAAAAAAATTTTATTTTTTCTTATATCTAATACAATATTTCTTTTATTAAATTTATGAATTTTTTTTTAAAGATAATTTATATTCTCTTGTAAAAATGAAGAAGAAAATTAATTTATCTTTTAAAACAGTCATACATTTTTTTTTGTATATTATGTCAATGAAAAATATGATTGAAATAGCTCGTAAATCACGATTCACTTTTAATTATGGAATTTAAAATGAAAATGTAATTAATTTGATGTAAATTCAACGATTTAGTTAAAGTAGACAAAAATTTTCTTCTTTTCATTTTTAGTTAATTAAAATAAAAATTAATTAATATAAAAACAGAATTTAATGAACAAAAATGTTTTACATTCTCATAAAAAATGAGAAGGTCTTACATTTTTTTTTAAATAATCTAATTAATTAAAAGAAATTAAAATAAAAAAAGGAATTTTCTAAAATAATAAAAAGATTTTAAAAATAATTATTAAAAATTTTTTGAATATAAAAATTCTTTTGAATGACCGCAAGTAAACTGATGATGTGAAAGCGTATGTTTATAACTGATGGACCGGATGCGCAAGAACGATGAGATATAGCTACATATTATATATATAGAATTCTTTCTTATGACACAATGTTAAGAAATTATTTTCATGAATTTTTTTTTTAAATTAAAAAACAGAAATTATGCCATTAAAAAAATTATGACAGACGATTTGAATTTTAAACATTTATTTTATTCTAAACATTTATTTAAAGTAATGTTTGATTTTTTTGAGGATATAAATTTTGATTTTTATCATTTATCGAATTGTCTCGAGTGTCTTAGCAAAACTATTAAATTTTTACTATTTTCGAAATAAATTTTCCTACGTCCGAAAAATTTTTGACTAAAACTGAAAAGTTTGATTAAATTTACTTCAGAAATATAGTAAATATTACCATACTGAAAAATGTGTAGAAATTTCAAATTAAAAAAAAAATTAATCATAATTAACAGTAATTAAATTGTATTAAATAAAAATATGATTTTTCGGATAATTTTCAAAAATATATTTTTTCGAAAAAAGTAAAAGAATAGAAAAGAATAGATTCAGCTCCTGAATTATTTTTAGGAAGCTTTTTTTCTTCTTTCTTTTGAGATTTTTTTTCTGTTAGTACTTTTTTTGTTTTGTTTTTCTTTTCGTTTTTTTTTGGTCTTTTTTCTTTTGGTTTTCTTCCTTTGCGTTTTTTTCCAGCACTTGTGTACCAATTGTAGAGACGTGTGTCTCTTGTGACTGAAGAAACCAAAAAATCATTCCGCATGCGTCTAAATGTCGTGCCAGAATAAACTAACCGGCTGTTTTTCTCCTTCTTCTCCTCAATACGTTTCGAACCACGAACCGCTGCTGTTTGGCTTGATTTGTGCCGCGCCACACACTTTATTTATTTATTTATTTATTTTATTTTCAAAACAAAAAAGAAAAGAAGAAGAAATTATCATTTTTCTGTTTCTCGAAAAAAATTTTATTTTCGAAATTTTTTGAACGAAGAAAAAAGGAAACGAAATTTTATTCTATCAGCAAATTAAGAGGATTTATTACGAAAAAAAAGTAGAATAAGAATACCGGAACTGAAACAACATTTTATAAGCTATCGTTTTAAGGTACAAAATTTTCTAAATTGCCAAAATTTCTTATTAGTTTTTTTTAAATTCTTTTAAAAAAAATTGTTTTCCCTTTTAATTCTTCAAAATTGTTCTTGTACTCTAAATTTTTTGTTTAATTTTTCCCCCCAATTTTTTAAAATCTTTTTCTTTCATTTGGAATTTTTTATTTATTTTTTTTTCCCAAATAATTAAAAAAAATTTTCTTACACTTTGAATTTTTTTATTTAATATTATTCCCTGAAATTTTTTTAGTAAAAATTAATTTTTTTTCTACAAAGAAGAGTAAATTAATTTTTATTTTAATTTTCTAACTGAAAATAAATCTTATTTTTTTAAATTTTTGATCCAAGGTTTCTAAAAACTTATTTTTTTAGTTTTAGTTTCTAATATTGATAGTTTTTTCTGTTTACTTCTCAAATAAATAAATTATAAAAAATTTATTTGAATTTTAAAAAAATTCAATTATTAGAAATTTTCTGATTTATTTTCGCAATTATTGCAGTGGAGAAATAATGATCACGTGGATTTTCAGTTCTGCGTGAAACAAATCGCGAAAAATCGTCAGTTGAAGAATATTAATCCGCGTAACAAGAGGTACAATGTATTTTCTTTTTTTTTCGTTAAAATTTTCCCCTATTTTCTCAAAATATTATTTTTTTCCGATGATGTAAAAAATTTGCGAAAGAAAAAGAAAAATTCTATCAGTGAACTTTTTTTATATCTCACACGAAACGTTATGACATCCTTCTTTCACAACTAGAAATTCTCGAGTGAAAAGTAAAAAAAAATCTCCGTTTTTCTACTTTTAGCCGCACAAGTGACTTAAATGAGTGCGATGATCTCAGAATGTGAACATAAACATTTAAATTTACATTCTGAAAAGAAAGAGAAAAAATATCAATTTAAAACTAGTTTTTTTAGAATTTTTTGCCACAAATTTTTTTCAGTACATACTTTCCGAAAAAATTATTATGTTTCGAACTTTTAAATTCCTTTAAGATACAGATAAAAAATTGAAAATTCTTTTTTCGGAAGAATTTTGAGGAAAAATTGTGTTTTAGAAAATTGTTTAAGAAATAAAATTTGATTAAATGTGAATTTGAAATTATTGGTGAGAAAAATACTACATTGCTCCACTGAGATGCTTCGAGAGAGACATTCATACATACTTCGCTTATCTACTTTTAGCCAAGGCCTCTCTACAAACGGCTGGGATCTTAGCCAGAGTCACCATAGGCTACCGAGAACACGCGACACGTATTTTCAATTCTAAATTCGTCCGTTCTCATAGTGGCAAACAATTTCTTTTTTTTCTTTTCATTCTCATTTTTCTTACCCCTTTGAAAAAATTTTAAATTCCTCAAAACAATTTCAAAACTTTATTTTTCTTTTATTGATTGACTGGTATTTGAAAAGACGTCCAAATGATTAAAGGATTGACTGATTAATTGATTAATTGATTGACTGATTAATTGTTTGATTGATTGATTGATTGATTGACTGATTAATTGTTTGATTGATTAATTGATTGACTGATTGTTTGATTGATTGATTAATTGATTGATTCGTATCTAAAAAGACCATTCTTTTTGTTTTTCGCCCAGGCTTTTCGACTCGATCCGGAATAAATTGGAGAAATCAAGAGCCGATCTCGAGGACATTGAAAGATTTCAAGAGGAGGAGAAACGGTTGAGCGTTGAACTTGAGGAGCTTGAGGGTCAAATTTCCTCCTTCTATGTCTTCGGTGTTGATCAGGAGGCAACTGAGACTGACTTGAAATTACTGAAATCACGTGTCGACACACTCGTCGATTTGTTGAGGGATTTTTCATCGAACACTAGGGCGCGGTATCAAGCTAGTCAGCAGCTGGTGCCAATCGATATTGATCGACAATTGACATCTTTGGAATTTCCAGTTGAGGGAATTAGTCAAGCAATGGAGGAAAAGCAGAGGGAGCAGAAGAGGGCGAAAACAATGCGCAGCGATTATTTGACTGACGTTGAGCAGGTGCAAGCGTGGATTCAGCAAGCGGAGCTGAAGATTCAGAATCGTTCGATAGAACCTGGGAAATTGATGGAGCAGCTTAGGCAAATACAGAGTGAACTCGGTCCGATGAGTGATAGGCTGGAGAGATTGACGAGGAATGGAGGGGTGATTGTGGAGAATACTAGGGACGAGAGTGAGAAGGAGGTGCTTCGGGGTACGATTGGAAATTTGACGGAGCAGATGAATCAGGTGAAATCGTGGTTGGACGAGAGAAAGCAATTGATTGGCGATGTTCTCGACGCGTGGCAGAGATTCCTCGCTCTACATGAAGCTGTCAAATTGTGGATTGAGGAGAAGAGGGTTTTCCTCGTCGAACCGTTGAGGCTGAGTAGTTTGAATCAATCCAGGCAGAGACTCCACGACTATTCGGTGCGTTCTTTTACTTCTTTAACTTTTTTTCTGCATTTTAGAGATTAGTCTTCCTCTTTTGATAATCAGTGGGTTTTTTTGTTTTCAGACCGCAGTCAAGAGTTGTAAGCAGGTGAACAAGAATCTCAGCGACATGGGGAAGGAATTGGAGAACATCGGTCAAGTGACGAATGTCGGTGACCTTCCGGAGAAACTCACCGGCGTTGAGGAAGCAAAGGCCGAAGTTGAAGGACAGCTTTTGGAGAGGGTGAGAAATTGTTTTTGACCCCAGACAATTATTTTTGCACCCATTGTTTTTGCTAAACAATTCCTTATTTGATGTACAATTGATTTCAGAACGCACTGCTGCAAGAAACGAGCGAAGAATGGGAGCAATGCGAGAAAAAGATGAAGGACGTGAAGAACTGGATCGAGAAGGCCCAGCAGAATCTCGAATCGCCGCAGAACAAGAAGAAACCCTTGAGGGATCAACACGCAATTAGAGAAAAGATGCTGAGTGACATAACAATCCAGAAGACGAAAATCAGCATGTCCGTGGAGAAGTTACAGGTTCATTTCCGTTCCGGAATCGGTGGCGACAGTCGAGTTAGTGAAGCGGCCGACGAATTGCTTGTGGAACTGGATCTGCTGATGAACACCGTTAAGGATCAAACAGCCGCACTAGAGGCTTGTCTTCATCAAATCGATCAGTACCAACAGGTGTGTTTCAAATTCATCCCCAACTTTATCTAACAATACAACAAACAAATTCTAAAACCTAAGTTTGTTAGTTAGTTAGTTAGTTTGTTAACCAGACACTTTTCGTAATGAATAAATATTACCGTTTAACTCATCTTTTTGCTCCAGGAAATACAACAAATGAGACAGCAAATTGTTCAAGCTGAACAACAACTGAGAGCAGTGCTGAGCCCAACTTATCTATCGAACGAGAGAGAGAAGGCCCTCGAGGAGCAGCAGGTATGTTTCCATAATATTCTATAGAGTTAATTTAATTTCTATCTATTGCACCGTGCACTAAAGCAGTAAGCGTTGATCTTTTCACTTGTCAAAATTGGTACCAACTCAAGACCACCACCACCATCAGAATTTTATTAATTTATTAATTGATCTTGACTATGTTTACCAATTAACGAATTAGACAAACCGTTTAGTCTTTACCTCCCTAATTAAACACCTAATTACCACTAATAACTGATCGACGATCTAACACAAAAAAAAATAAAAGTCGATGGATGTTTTTGACTAATTACTCCCAACAATTTAGAATTGATAATACGTCAGCTGTCATACCTTCATTTCCTATTAAAAATTACTAAATGCTTTAAATATTCCCCCCATTAGCAGAATAAATTTTGCCGAAAACTTCGCCTAATCTAAGACGGAAATTTTCCAAACCTTAACATTAAACAGGAGGGTTGGGAAGGTTCCTTGGAAATTTAGAGAAAGTTTTCAGCAACATCTTTAATTCTGCCAGGTTGCTTTTAATTTTTTTTTAATTATTAGCTGAAGTAAAAAGAGCTTCAGAATCTTACTCCTGGCTTAAAAAACCGCTTTCTCCATTTCCAATCCTTACTTTAAAATAACTACAACATTCTCCTTTTCTTGATTAATCTTTGGTTACATATGGTGTTGGTTGGTATCTTGGTCACTTAACTTTTTCGTTTATTTCCTTATTGTACACTCACCTCTTACCTAGTATAAGATAATAATTATTTCTCTGTAAAAACTACAAGGGGATTACTTGATTTTGCTTCACTGTTATATAAATTATCTTTAAGTTTAACTAGAACACAAAATTCTATTAGCACAAAACACATAAATTGCTTTGCACACCTAAGAAAAATCAGTTTTCGCTTTTATTTATATGATAAATATAATATTATTATTATAATAATTATATTTCTATTTTATTTGAAAATCTCAACAAATGCTGCAGTAATCAATTAAACTCCATCAGTGGGGACATACATTTTATTTCTCAAAGAAAAAAAGCGCAACAAACAAAATTTTTCATTTTTTTATTTCTCATTTTGTTGACTAGCATTCTATTTATGACTTATGTTTGCTGCATTCCCTTCTCCCTCTCACCGTACCTGTTACCCTATATTTGTCATTTTTGCTCGAACTCGCGATTGTCATTTATGGTCATCCTTTGTCATCCTTTTGGCACATGGAACACGTCATGGGATTCTTTTTATCATACAATTCATTCCATTTTTTTCATCATTGTGGCGGATCTTTCTCATCTCTCTCTCTCTCTATCTATCTTCATGTCACTTTTAATCTGCTGAATATTATCACGCGAATACTATTTCTACACTTTTTTTTTGTAAATTTTAATTCGATTTTGATTTAATTTTAATTCCATTGCAATTTTTGAATCTCTAAATTCGGGTCGAAAGTTATTTGTGGAGAAAATCAAGTCGTTACAGAGTAAAATTCAAGCCCGGTTGGAACGCTCAAAACTTTTGGTCCAAAGAGGAACGCCCGATATCGAATCATTAGATCCGTAGCCATAGGAGGGGGATTACGAATTCCAATGGGAGATTTCTCTCTCATCGGAAGTCGATGATCCGCCGTGAAAAAGAAAATCAGTGTTTGGAAGTTGTAGGCAAAATATTCCATCACTTAAATTAAAGATCGTCGGTCATATGATAATGATCGACATCCTTTTTGAAAAAGGATCAGAACGCGTCACAATATAAAGTCGTGTGCCTTTTTATTCGAGAGCTTGTATATTAAAATTAAGAGAGAGAAGAAAAACTTTTTTCTGCAGATTTATTAATATACGAATGTTGATAATATGTATCTTTATGAAAACTTTAATTATTACGAATAAAAGAGAAAATTTACAAGTTTTTTTCTAAATGTAAATTCTAGTGTACACACCCTCCCACCCAAATTTTTCCAAATAATCAAAAATCCAATTGACATGTGTGTTCTTTGGCTGCTCGATTTGTTGAGCAGACCTTGCAGACACGAATGGACAGTTGGAGGCAACGCACGAGAACACTTGTGGATAAGATTCATGCAGTGGATCCACACTATGGGAATGAGACGATTGTCAGAGTCCCTGGTTGTGTTTCGTACGCAGACATCGCTGCGGGAAGATCACGTTCGAATTCGCGATGCAATAGTCCCTTCAGGACCCCTCGCGAAGAACCTCCTCCTCCTTCCTCCCATCAACTGTCTACGAGTCTTACCGAACAATCAGTAATTCCTCCCAACGAATCTCTGAAAACTCAACATTTGGCGAAAAGGAGCGACGATCAAGTTCGTCGTGGAAGATCGCCGACGAAACATTCCGAACGCAAGGAGAAGAGAAAGTCTCCGGTTAGGATCGAAATCAGTGTTAGTGAACAAGTATTCGACGAGGGACTTTTGGAGAAGAGTGCTGGACTCGCTCCAGAAACTACGAGAGGCAGATCGCCAAGTCCGATCTGGATCCCTGGATCGACTTCGTATGCTGACATCCTCAGGGGACGGATGCAGGGCAATTTGTCTAGGGAATCATCCGAACCTGTAGAAATAGTCGAGTCCACAAAGTTTCCGATCGAAAATCCACTCTCCAGGAGATCAGTCGAGATTAGGAAAGACGATCCCGACACGAAGAATACTGCAAAAGAAATCGAAAAGGTAACCGAAAGTGATTCCGATATGAATCCTCCGATTGACGACACCCAGGGAATCGACAAAGAATGGAGCAAACCGACCAACTGGTCCGCACCCCCCTACGAAGGACCGGTCGTTTCACAGACCGAAATCTACAATTACCCATCGTCAGAGTTAGTAGGTTTCATCAATTCCCGTTTGGGAAACTATCCCTCATACTACACTCCAACTCATCCGCAAGGAATCGAACCCATAATTCTGGGCTCGATTTCCTCGAACTATCCCGAAGAGTTTGTAGCCCAGGGTAATTATTTACCAACCGGGGAGCTCTATTCCTCCGGCACTTCAGAGGAATTCGTCCAGATCCACAATCCCGACTTGCTACAACCCCCGGTTCAATCATCCTCCATGGTAATTCAGTCCGAAATAAGTGACGTACTCCCACAGTCCGATGTCATCCAACAAGTATATTTAGAAGAAGCAGAAAGTCAAATTAAACCCCTTGTCGAAGGCTCGACAACGGAGAAATTAACAATCGAAATCGACAGTGGGGAAAAGGGTGCATCGATTTCCTACGCCAAGATATTATCCCAGGGTCTGAGCCCCAGGTCAACTCCTCCTCCAGTTGTGCCCGGGCAACCGGAGTTGTCTAATTCCAAAAAGGGTCCGAGGACCAAGAAAATCGAAACCGAAACTTCTGGTTTCGCTCGGAACCCAAAACCGGAGGCAAGAAATACTGAAAACGAAAAAAGTGCTCCGAAAGTTGAAAGGAACAAGGAAAAGAAATTGGACCAGAAGAGTCAAAAGGCGACGGACGGCAAGGATACGAAACGAAATAAGGAAATAAAGAAGGAAGAACCGAAGAGTAAAGACGTCAAGACGCCTAAGAAGGAAAATCCTAGGGAAAAAGTAAAAGAAGCGAAAATTGATACTGAGGAAAAAGAACTGGAAGAGGTTGGAAATTTGGCTGAAACGAAACCAACGAAGGAAGCTAAAGAATCTGAAGAACCTAAAGGATCTAAAGAATCTAAAGAACCTAAAGGATCTAAAGAACCTAAAGGATCTAAAGAATCTAAAGAACCTAAAGGATCTAAAGAAGTTACGGATAAAACGACAGAAAAACCGACTGAAGCGGAAAGCACCGAAAATCCAAAGTTGGACGAAGGGGAGAAGAAGCGGAAGCAACGGAAGAAGAAGATGGAGAAAAACAAAGTGGACGAGATTGATAAAGCTCTTCAGGAAATTAAAATCATGGACAAGAAAAACAAACACAAAAATGTGAAGGAAACACCAAAGTCCAAGGAGGAAAAAATCGAGAAGAATGGTAAATGTCCCGATAAATCCGAAATAAAAGATAAAAAATCGGAGAAACCCGAGAGTAAAGCGGTAAAAGAAACAAAAATTCCTCATGCCCATCTGGAAAAAGAAGATTCGCAACAAGTTTCGAAAACTAAAAAGCAGGAATTAGAAAACAGCAAATCAGCAAAAGTTGTTAAAGAGGTTCCATCTAAAGAAGCTACTGGAACTTCAAATATTGAATCAGCGAGTAAAACGGAAACATCACCTAAAGTCAAAAAAGAGAAGAAAGTCCAACAAGTTTCGAAAGCAAGCCTAGAAATTACTGATGATGAAAAGGCTAAAAATTTAGCTGTCATGGAAATCAAAACTAAGGATTCCCAAGAAGAACCGAAGACTGTTAAACACACCCAGGAGGAAACGAGTCACCCAGAAATGAAGAATTATAAAAATAGTTCAACTTCGGAAAGTCCAGTTTCTAAGGAAAGTGGAAAAGATCGACCAAAACAACTAGAGGCTAAAGTGGAAAAAAGTTTTAAAGACACTAAAGAATTGAAAACTGATGATAGTGATGTTAATCAGAAAAGTTCAAAATCGAAAAAAGTACAAATTTCTAAGCAAGAAATTAAAAAACCAGATCCTGTGAAAGAACCAAAGGAAGGAAAAATCAAGAATGAAATTATTAGTTTAAGACCAGGTACGGCTGAAGCTAGTATAGTGACAATGTACGCTAGAAAAGGGGTTGAAAGTTTTCCTGACAAAGGAAGTGAAAATGAAAAGGAAAAATTAAGTGAAGAGAAAGATGAGAAAGGACGACAAAAGGACGACACTTGGATTGAAAATCGATTTGAACCGAAAGTCGACGAGGAACCCTTATTCGGTAGCGTCAAAGACAGGGGAACGTCTACAATTTCTAGACCCACAACAACAACTGATAAAAGTGATCAGGTAATCAAACCGGATCCAAAACGGAAAATCACTTCAATTACCAGTTCAGAAGAACAACTAAGCGCAGAAGATGAACATAATGGAAACGAAAATAGTGAGAAAACAACTCTAGGGGATCTACAGCATCTTCAGGAATTGATTAAACCCTACTGGCTCGATTATCATACCTACGCTCAAGCAGAAGTAGACTTTCACAGATTCTATAGAGTTGAGAGAATCGTTCAAGAGCCGAAAACTCCCGTCTGTAACACTGAATCTAAATCAGTGGATATCGAGAAATTGGTGATGGAATCAAGAATGAAAATTCCGGAGAAAACTACAGTGGAATTGGAAGAAACTCTCAATGATGATTCGGCCAGTGGATCCAGGCGAATGACTGTTATAGAGAGGAATGTAGAGACTAAATCAAAGGATAAAGAATCGACTGATGAATCATTGCAGAAGGTGGTTGATAAACCTCTATGTGAATTGACACCTCAACTATCGGATGAAACATTAAATAAGTCGTTTGATGAATTAGCTGATAAATCCACCTGTAAATTAAATGGTAAATCGAGTTCTCAATCCAAAAATAAATCTGAAGATCAACCTAAAAATGCATCTAAGGATCAACTAAAAGATGAATCTAAAAATAAACCTAAGGATAAATCTAAAGATAAATCTAAAGATGTATCTAAAGATGAACCTAAAGATACATCTCAAGATGAATCTAAAGACCAACCTAAAAATCAAGCTAAAGATAAATCTAAGGATCAACTTAAAAATGAGTCTAAAGATAAAGCTAAGAATAAATCCAAAAATGTAAATATAGATAAATCTAAAGATGAATCTAAAGATCAACCTAAAGATGAATCTGAAGATAAACCCAAGGATAAATCCAAAAATGTATCTAAAGATGTATCTAAAGATGTATCTAAAAATGTATCTAAAGATGAACCTAAAGATGTATCTAAAGATGAACCTAAAGATGTATCTAAAGATGAACCTAAAGATGTATCTAAAGATGTTTCTAAAGATGAACCTAAAGATTTGGCTAAAGATGTATCTAAAGATGAACCTAAAGATGTATCTAAAGATAAAACAAAAGATCCAGCTGATAAAACCAAGAAGAAAGATGATATGGTTCAAACTGAAAACGCCAAAAAACAAGAAATCGGTAAATCTAAAGGTAAACTAGGAAAGAAACAGAAAAACGTTGTTGATTCAACTAAAGATCAACCAGTGAATAAATCTGGAGAGAAGTCAGGGAAACAAAAACAAGAATTGATGAAACCAGATGATGAACTAGACACTAAGCGGAAAGATCAAACAAAGGTCGAAACTGTAGATCAACAGATTAGAAAATCTACCGAGAAACCAATCGCTCAGTCTAAAGATGAATCGACTAATAAGCCTCAAGTTAAATCAACTGATCAAGCTCATATCAAATTGCCCAAGGCTGATGAAGTAATTGTTAAACCATCTGATGATCAAAGTGATAAGGTTCAAGAGCTTGGAGAGACTGAAAGGACTAAGAAGTCTGATGAAGCAAAAGAAATAAAGGAAGATAGAACGAAGAAGATGGAGAAAGCGTCTTTGTCACCAGTTGTTCATTTAGTATCTGATGACTCCTGGATGGATATTTTAGACGACGATTCTTTAGTCATTGATGATGACGATGACTTTGAAGTACCTTCGTCAAAACCTAGCGTTAGAAGCCAAAAAACTAATTCTACTGAAATAAAATGTACGATACCAGAGGGTGAGAAATCTACAAAATTAGATCAAGAATATCTACCAGAACAAAAAGTGCAGAAGGATCCACCAGGTCAAAAAGTTCAGAAAGATCAAAAGGATCAGCAGGATGTACCAAAGCAAGAAATTCAAAAAGCAGAAAGGATTCCAAAGGAGCAGAAAGAACAGAAACAGCAGACAGATATACCAGTTGCAGTTCAGAAGGATCAGAAGGAACAGAAGAATACAAAGCTCCATAAGGATCAGAAGCAGGAACCAGAGCCAGAAGCCAGAATAATAGATCAGCCAGAGTCTACAGATCTTTCTAAATTAGAAGAAATTAAAACTTCTACAGTAGAGAAACCAGAAACTTCGAAATCTACTTCTTCACTAAACGTCGTTCAATCGGAATCATCAGCTGAATCTCCATCATTAAGTCCTCAAGAACATTTACGGAAATCAAAGAAAAAATCGAAGAGCAAAAAATCACCTAAACAAAAGGAATCGATTGGTAATGGCGATAAAATAGATCAACATATTCCCGAAATACATTCCGAAAGTAAGGAAAAATCTTCAATTCGAACATCTGAAATTGATACTTCATCAACGGAGGAACATATTTCTGAAATGGTTCCAAATATTAAATCCTGGGCATCAATCCTGAAAGATTCGGAAATTCAAGAAACAGATAAATCTGGAATGAAGGATCCGTCAATGAATCTGGATTTAATAACACCCGGTCCTGATGATCAGGTTGTTCAGAAAGAAAATGTTAAAGGAACAGTTAAATCTACCGAAAAAGTGATGAAACCCCTTGAGACAAAACAGGAACCGGAAAAGCAATCCAGGAAGAAGAGGAAACATGATAATTCTTCATTTAAACAAACTGTTGTGGAGAAGACATCCGATCAGTCAGTAAATGTAGATAATTCTCTCCAGGAAACTTTATCAAGAGATGCAAAGACATCATACGCTCAGGTTACAGCTTCCGTCTCACCTCAGCTCGATCATGATGATCACGATATTTGCAAACCAACATCAGTAAAGGCTGCTTTACAAGTTGAGGAAACACAAATTCCTGATGTAGTCACTGATCAGAGGTCTGATAGTGGAACAACAAATGATGGAACTGCTGAAGATAGAAAAGAGAATGAAGGTACTGTTGAAAGTGGAACATCCGTTCATGACACAATTTCTTCAGATAAAACACTCTGGGCTGATGAAGTGGAAAAAGAACAAATTGTTGATAAAAAAGCACAGATTCCAGTGGACAATGATCACAAATCAGAAAGCAATTCATGGGCTGCTGTTGCTGCCAAAAACAAAAAAGACGATACAGTTGAAAAAACCCCTACTCTTCCAATTCATATTCCGGTTCAGCGTCCCACACCCAAAGTACAAATTCACGTTGAACAAGTGTCAGACGTAGAAGCAATTGAAAATTTAGTTCAAGTTGATGATCAAGGTTTTATGGAATTTGTCAATAGAAAGGAATTACGATCCCGACGATCAAGATCTCGTTCCAGAAGTAAATCACAAATTCCCGATGGTTCGACAAAAGAACACAAGGAAAATAATTCGTCGCCGAAGAGATGCGAATCATCTTCATCGTCAACACCATTCCAATCCGAAACGAGAGGAGACAAGGAAGAGGGAATCAAGAAGGAAGATGACAGCAAATTAAAGGTTGAAGAAAAAACTCATCCTACTAAAGGCAGTGAAACCAAGAAATCAAAATCAAAAGGTAAAAAAGGAAAAGCAGAAACTACCAAGGAAATGGAAGTGAACCAGAATACAGAGAAAAAAATTAACCAAAAAGAAATTAGCGAGAAAGAAAACCGGGAGGAAAAAGAAGATGCAAAAGTTGTAAACCAGAAACAAGATACGAATTCGATGAACAAATCTAAAGAAGCTGAAAATAAAAAGAAGAAGAAAAATGAAAAATCGGAGAAGATAGTAGAGGAGGTATCATCCTCAAAAGCAGATGTCGAAAAAGAAAGAAAATTATCACATGAAGAAAAGGTGAATAAAGTTGAGACTGAAAGCCAAAAGGTGAAAGTAGAATCGAGCGATTCGAAGACGGAAACTCAAGGTGAAAAATTAGAAAAAGTGGAAGAGAAAGAAACCAAATCAGCTAAAAAGAAATCAAAATCCAGATCGAAGAAATCAAAAGAAGATGTCGAGATGCCTAAGGAAAAAGAAGGAATCCAAAAGGAGTCATCAAAACCGTTGTTATCGAAAGAAGAAGAAAAGACCAGTGAACAATCACCGGAAGAAAATATAATTTGCCAAACCGCAGTCCTAGTAACAAAAGTGGAAGCTTTATTGGAAGAAACATCAAATTCCTCTCTTCAAGACAAAAAGTTAAAGTTCAAAAACTCTCAGAAGGGTTCATCGCAACCGGAAAAAACAGATGAGCCTATAAAAGCTATCACTCTGCCGGAAAAATTGGCAATAACTCAGGGAGAAGTGAAGAAGATTGATGATTCTAGTCCGGAATTATTAATCCATCCTGATTCAACTGATAAATCAAAGAAACCAGGTGCCGAGATAGTGAAAAGTAAACAAACACCGGTAGCAGAAGTTAACAATCAACAGGATTCTGAGAAAAGTGATAAGACAAAATCAGCAAGTAAACCTGAATCAGAAGCGAAAATGGCAACTAAAATTGAAGACTCAACAGAACTGGCTGTTAAGATTGTTGATGAGCAATTGGAAGGCAAAGAACAAACTTGTCCCAAAAAATCAAAATCTAAGCAACAACCAATTGCTGAAAAATTGCAAACTAATGAGAAGAAATCTGAATCTAAAAAACAAATTGTTGGTCAATCTGAATCTACGAAGCAAATTTCTGAGCAATCTGGACCTAAGAAGCAACCATTTGTTGATCAAGCAAATAAACAACAAACTGATGCTAAAATTTCTGAAATGGGAAAACAATTTACAGCTGATAAATCAACGGATGTGTCACAGAAGAACCAAAAACAATTAACTCATGAAAAATCAGCTGCTGAAGAACTTAAAGCAAAAGAGAAACCACTTGCTGAGATTTCTGGACCTAAACAGAAAACTGATGATGTGAAGCCAATTTCCGATCAGCCAGATGCAACAAAGCAACTTGCAGAATCAAAAACTGCAAAGCAACAAGCTCCTGAAAAGTTACAAAGCAAACAGAAAACTGTTACTACGAAACCAGACAGTAAAGAGCAAACCGCTGAACCAAAAGTTAAACAACCAGTTGTGGAAAAATCTGGAACCAAAAGTCAATCTGGTGGCAAAATGACTCAAGACCTCAAGAATAATGAGCATTCGGCATCTAAACAACATAAAACTAAAAAGAAACCAGAAAAAAGTAATACTAAAGAGCAAACTGTTGGGGATGTAACAGAACCTAAACAGCAAATTGTTGTTGGCGAATCAAAACCTAAACCGCAAGTTGGTACTGAAACAGATCCTAAACAGAAAATTGTGTCTGGAAAATCAGAACCTAAACCGCAAGTTGTTACTGAATCAGATCCTAAACAACAAATTGTTTCTGATGAACAAAAACCAAAAACAGAAAATGTGGAAAAATCTGAAGACAAAAGTCTTTCTGTTGCTAAAACACCGCAAGACCCTGCGCTAAAAATTGCTGAGCATTCAGCAGATAAACAACAACTAGATGCTGAACCATGTAAAACTAAAAAAAAACCTGAACCTGAACAGCAAATTCATAAAGAATCATCATCTGAAAAACAAACTACTGAAAAACCATCAGCTAAACAGCAAATTGCTACAGAATCATCAACTAAGAAACAAATTACTGAAAAACCATCAACTAAACAACAATCTGGTACTACGAAACAAGAAACTACACAACAAAGCGCTGCTAGCGAAGCAAAAGTATCAAAAGAACCTGTTGTTGAAAAGTCTGGACATGACAGAGAACCTGTTAGTAAAGATCTGGAGCTGAAGCAATCTAAAGCTAAACTAGCTGAAGAATCTATAACTAAAAAGAAACCAACTGACAAACTGGAACCTAAGGAGCAAATTGCGGCTGAGAAACCAGAAACTAATACAACAATTGTTAAGGAATCAGTAACTCAAATACAACCAAGTGCTGAAAAGTTACAAACTAAACAAACTCCTAAAAATTTAGGGACTAAAAAACAACAAGCTGCTGAAAAGTCATCAGCTACACAGCAAACTGGAGCTGAAAAAGAAGAAACTAAACAAAGCACTGCTGGTGAAGGAAAAACAATAAAACAACCTAATGTAGAAATGTGTGGAATCGAAAGTCAATCTGCTGTTACAGATCTGCAATCTGCAACTAAACAAGAACCTAAAACTAAAAAGAAACCAGCAGACAAATTCGAAACTAAAGATCAAAACAAAAAGTCACCAATTGTCGCTGACGTAGCAGAAACTAAACAACCAATTGCCAAGGAATCATCAATTAAAAACCAACCTCCTGCCGAAAAATCGAAAAAACACTTCGTCGTGGAAACCGTTCCCGAAGCAGAAACATCGCCTGATGCACAAAAATCTCCCGCTGCTAAAACTGAACCCAAAAAACCAAAAGTCGAATCAAAACATCTAAAATCCTCTCTAAGCCAACCGACAGAATCTTCTCAAGATCCGGAATCCCCAAATCAGGACACTCGTCAGACTCCCGATCCCAAAAAAATTCTCTACACCGAAACAATAGAAACCCCCTCAAAGACAGCATCCCTACCATCAATGCGTTCGGATTCAGTCGACTCGACAGTGCCCGAGGGACAATCCAAGTCTCGAGTTAAATTTTACATCGCCGATGAAATCCTCGTCATTCCCCAGCACAAAGAGAAAGACTTGGAGAAGGAGGCGAACTTTATGAAACTCGTTCAGGAATCATGCGTTGCAGAAAGTGTTTGGCCTCAATTCGCATCCCTCGACGGAGGTTTCTGGATTGACAAACGCTCCTACCATGAGGCCGAGCGATTACTATTCGAAGCACTAGCCGCCCAGTCGAAAAAATCATCTCTCGTTGAAAACCTCGATCAAACTCCCCCTGATGACGACGACGATCATAACGGTTCCGCTGGACCCGATGGTCGTGATCGTGATTTTAGTGGTAAAGCAAATTCCCAAGGCGACGTACCCCATACCGAACGATTGGTGGCTGACTTGCCAGGTGGCATTTGCAGCTGGAGTGATTATAGTACCTATTTGTCCCAAGAGAAGATCAATGATCAAAATGAGAATCAGAATGTTGATAGGATGACCGAGGATCACATGACAAATGTAGAATCAAACCCAACAGTGGAATCTTTAAATACCGAATCCGAGAATTGTTTGAAAGTAGATTCATTAAATTCTTCTAAAACCATCACATTGGAATCTTCCAATGCAGAAGCCTTGGATTCGTCCAAACGAGAAGCGTCCAATTTGGAAGCATCCAATGTTGATTCATTAAAGCTAAAATCATCCGATGATAATTCCTCGGCAGAAGACGACATTTGTTCCAATCCTAATCCTGAATGTGAAGCAAATCCTGAATCCAATCCAGAATTCCAGATCTATTTAGGTAAAGAGAAAAGCGAATGGAAGCAGCAGCCGAATTTACTGGAGGGGGAGAGAGATGTGACAATGAAGAGCCAAGTTATTAACAACCAAAGGATCAAGGTGCGACTATTTTTCGCCAAAACAAACAAAAAGTGCTCAGTCTTTGTTTATATTTATTAGATGCAATTTTTTTTATAACAGGTCATGTTGTTTCTATTGGTTGGTTGAGTTTTTTATCTCGTTCTTTTGTCTCTGGCTCTGTTTAATCATCTTCTCATTTTTCTTCCTTTTTCCTGACATTGATTATTTATTTAAATATTGTTAAAATATTGTTGCTAGCGCTAAGATTTTTCGCTTCGAATTTTTTTATTCTCATTTGGGTCGCACAACACCTGCATGTTTACATTTTAAGGTGCTAAGTAAAAAATAGAAATTGCTTTGATTTTTAATCGAGAAATGTGCTTTTCTTTAATTACAGAAAAAAATGCTTTTTGTGTGAAAAATGAATTGTGGGATTTTTTTTAAATGTTTTTTTTAACTTTTAATGTTGCCAGTACAACGTTAGCTTGCGGTAATTTTACCACAATATTGCAGAGAGTTTACGTGGCACTGGCAAGCTTACCAGGGATATTTGAAGCTTGCAAAACTTGAAATTTTTCAAAAGCGTGACGTAATTTGTGAATGACCCCTATTCAAATAAAAATAATTTTTCAGTTTAAAAAATTCCACGAATTGAAAATATTTTAAATTTTTTATACAGTTTCTTAAGAAATAAAATCTAAGCAATTTTTTCCTAATCGGCCTCTCTATGATTGTATAATAATTTTTTCCTATTAATAGAAATTTTACTAAAAATGGAATGTGAAATGTAAAATAAAAGATGGATAAATTTTTCGTAAATTATTTTTTCTCTAAGGTAAATATAGTAAATTTCTGATAAAATTATTTTTTTCTTTTTTTAATTTTATTTCAGTAAAAGAAAATTTTGTTTATAATTTTAAGGAAAATAGTAGTGAAAATAAATGTTTGAATTTTTAAGTTTGTTAATAATTATGTATACGATTTGATAAATAATAATTTTTGTTTATAGTTTTTACAAGTTTTTTGTCACAGATTTGTTGGCATTCTTTTTTTTCCTAAAACTAATAAATATTAATAACAATTTTTAAAGTTTCAGCATGACAAGAATATGCTAATTGAATAATAATAATAATAATAATAATAATGAAAATTATAATTTTAATATTAAAAAATAATAATTTTAAAAAAAATATGTAAAACAATTGTTTTAGGAAACAATGGAATTACGCGTTGATGAATTACGAGATGCTGTCGCAGGTCTTGGTAATTCTTTAAGAAATCTTCCGAAAGACAACTTACAATCCATGCTTACCGCATTGTCGGTAAGATCAATTTTTATCTTTTCTGTTTTTTTTTCTTTTTGGAAATTTTAATTTTTCTAAATTTAGTTTTTAAATGTTTCTCTAAATTTATTTTCTAAATATTTTTCTAAATTTATTTTTTAAATATTTTCAACTATGGTTGAAATTTTAGTTTTCAAAAAATATTTTTTGCCTATTTACATTATTTTATTCTATTTTCCCAGGAAATATTGACGGAATTGAGATCGTACAATGAAAAGGCGGAAAAATTGAATCGAGACATTAGCGAAATTCCAGGCGATCTAGAAATCAAAAGACTACTCGCCTCTTTAGGGGGAATCCGAACGAAAATTGTGACTCTTCTTTCGCAGACTGAACAGAGTCACGCTGTACTTGAGGAAGCTTGCACAATCGAAGAAAAAAGGGACAAAGAAATAAAGGCCTACAAAGAATTTTTGGACGAGACGAGCAATTGGCTGGAGAGCACTGTCTTAACAATTAACAATTTTTCAGCTTCGGACTGTGAGGTTTGTTTCACCTTTTCAAATTTTTAGCAAATTTAAAAAAAGAAAAAATAAATAATAACTTATATTTAAATATTTTAGTATTTTAAATTACAATGTAAAAAAAAACTGACCAATTTTTGTTTTTTGAAATTTCGCAGGAATTACAACCGGAATTATTGAATCGAACACAACGTGTCACTGAACTTGAAGAACTTCCGGCTATTTGCGATTTAGCGAAGGATTTGAAAGAAGCTTTACTCGATCTTGCAATACGTCTTCAACAAAAGCAGCAGGTACTCATCACTTACCAGAACTCAGGATTAATTTTATCTCATTCTCGTTACAATTCGGTGAAGGGAACTGCTTAAATTAAATTCAAATAAAATTCAATTCAATTTTTTCTCTCTGATACCAAAATATTTATGCATAAAGAAAAATTTTTCTTCTCTCTACTCCAAATAATAATAATATTGTTCAGAAAAAATTTTCTTTAATCATAAATAAATATTTCTAATGCACTGAAAACAAAATTTATTTTATTCAAAAATTCCTTGTCTACTATTTCAAATAAATTGTGCATTTGTTTTAAATTCTGAATTTATTGGTTCAAATCCAATTTGATCCAATTTATTTGATTCAAGTAAAAATTTATTTAAAGACAAAGTAATCATTGAATCAAATAAATTTCTTTTTTTAGTGTAAATTTATTTTGTTTTCAATTTTTGATAGGAATTTTCTATTTCTCAAATTTTAATATCTAAAGAAAAATTTAGAAAGCTTTATCATCTTGTACATTATCTCGCTCATCAAAAGAAAGAAATTCTTTCTAGTCAGAATTCTACGTCATAAAAAGATATTTTTTATAAAAAATCAATTTTAAAAAACAAAGTCAAATGTATAAAATGGGATATTTAAAAAAATCTTTCTATCACTGTTGAGTAACTAATTACATATAAATAATTAACTAATCTATAGATTTATTATTTTTTTCTATTTTTAATTCATGATGTAACATATTACAATCTCATTGTTAAAAAAAGAAAAAGCGACCAATTTTTAATATTTTTTCTTCTTCTACTTTTTTTCTGTCTTTTTTACAAAAACATCGTTGTTATTACTTTTTCAAATCGTCCACACTCATAATTTATAAATAATGTTTTACCATAATTTTTCTTCTAACTCATTATGTCATTGTGTATTCTTTCATTATTCTCCTACTATACAAATATCATCGTCACACACTAGTTGTTATAATTCTTTTTAATCGTTGTGCTTTTGTATTTAAGGTGATGGTTGTATAAAAAAAAAAAGAAAAAACAATTTTTTTGCATGTACTTCAGGATTGTTTATTAAATTATTGTATTTTTTGAGCATCATTAAAGTATTATCAGTTTACATCCTATTTCTTTATTTTCTCTCATTCATTATTTCTTGCACCACATTTTTTAATTAGATTTAAGCTTTTCACTCTTTAAGATATTTTTTTTCTAGTCCTGTAGAATGTTCATTATTTATTCTATTTTTCATTATTTAATTAACTTATATACTTTATTATATTTCTGTGTAATTATTTCTGACAATTACCATTAATATTTTTATTATTTTTATTTATTATTAAGAAAAAAAAAATTTACTATATTAATATTATTATTAATTATTGTCATCATCATCATTTTTACTTTATTTTTTCTATTATTATTAATTTTGCGTATTTTATTTACAATACATTTTTTAAATAACAATTACTTATTTCTATTCAAATATTTATTTACTTTTTATCAATTAAGATAGTATTTGTTAATTTGTGTTTAATAAATTAGCAATTAACCACGTAATTAATTATTATTAATATTATTATTATTTTTCGCAATAATAATTAGCATATAATATTTTATAATTTTACTTTTTGTCACTTCTGTCACTATGTCAATTTTTTTAGAATCAAGTTCAAATTTCCATTTATGTATTTGATACAATTTTTAGTAAATTTGGTTCTAGTATTAAAGTAATAGAAAAATATTTTCTTGGCGTATTTAAATAGTTCATGAAGAAAGATAAAGATAGCGTTTTTTAATGTTTTGTTTCAAGTAAGCATAGCTTCACCAACAATCTTTATCTCCCTTCAAAAAGAATTCTTTTTTCTGCTTTTTCCAGGAAATTTTTGATGAAGATCAAGACGCAACACTTGATCAAGCACCATCGTTGAGATCAAGTTCACCATCATTGGCAGACGTCTCCCTGCAAACTGGTCAGAGTCTATTCGAAGATCTGCCGATTCATGAGAAACCCCTTCAGCTCACCAAGCAGACATCAACGACACAAATAGTCGAACCAGTGACAGTGGCAGCGTCCACTGAGAGTGGCCAGACCCAGGAGTCAATAAAGGTCCTGAAGACAACCGATGGCAATCATGATGTCATCGAAATAGCCACCAAGAATGTTCCCAGTCAGGAGTTAATTAGACGCGAACAGGGAATCAATCCAGAGGACATTGTCGTTGATATGAAGTACCAGGATGCTCAGAAGACTGACAGCGTCACATCGGAATTGAATATACAGCACGCGGCTCCCCAGTCTTTCGAAACGGTTCTCGTTGAGCCGGATGATGTGACTACAGAGGTGGTTGTTGATAGTGACGGAACTAAGAGGATTATTGTGAGAAAATTGAGGCGCACGTTGGTCACCAGTAGGCACACTACTCAGCAGCATGTTAGTTCTTTGACTGCTGCGATTGGCGACAATCCACCGGTTCTTCAGGCTTTCTCCGAAGCCACTATGCGAGGACAGCAGGTCACTGTCTCGACGACTAAACCCGACGGGACCATTGAGATGTCCACGAAGCAAAGTTTCGGTGGTCGCGTCACCACCGGAGCCCCGGGAGCGGAGGTCAACGTCGAGGAGTACGACAGCCCTCCCCAAGTGACTCACAGTATTGTCCAGGGGAATATCCAATCCATAGAGCAACCACTCGCCCTCAGAGAGGCCCTAGACGAGAATATCGACTACCAAACCAAGACGTCGACAGTTCACGCCGTGGTCCAACAAGTCACCCGACGGGTCATTCGCAAAACGCGCAGGATCATCCGAAAAGTCACCATCATCGACGGCAAGGAGACCGTCACCGAGGAGGTCATCGAGGAACCCGAGGAGGTGTCGATCGACGAGCAGGACATACCACACATCAGCATCAACGTCGTCAAGAACGAGGATCCGAAAGCTGATGCGAAAAAGGATAAAGAAACTGATCCTAAAAAGGAGACTTTCCCTACGTCAGAGAAAGCCGGCACCCAGACTGAAACACCAGTCAAGGAAGCGGAAGGTTCCGAGGCAAAGGCAACAGTCATCGAGAAAAAGTCCAAAAAGAAACATTCCAAGACCTTGCAAGATGATTCCTTAGAATCGATCGATACCAAGAATTCTGCTGTAGGACCAAAACCAACTGACGGTGGGAAATTGAAATCGACAAAGGAAAGTGCAACAGAGCCGGAAATAGAGGAATTTGCTCCCACTCAAGGAAGTAAGTCTCAAGTTTTACCTGTCGAAAAAGAGACACACAGTATTGAATTAGAATCAGGCACAGTAGTAGTGTTAGAAGAGCACGTTGACTCCAGCACAGTAGACTCTGACGATCATCACAAACCCACTGTCATTGCATTAGAAAAACAAATCATACCTAGTGAAGCCGATTCTGATGGAGGCAAATCTGAACCAAGTGACGCATCAAACTTGGGAATAGTTGATCCCGAACAACCCGAAAACGAAGAACGACCAGCGACAGAACCGAAATTGACAGTTTCAGAAAGTGGGGAACAAGGAAATGCGAAAACAAATGATGACCAGAAATCCGAACCTGAGAAACAATCCTCGGAATTAGCCCCCAAGGAAGAGGACCAGGAATCGGATCTTCAGCGAGACAGAATGAAATACACGGAATCTTTCATCCTAGCTTCTACTCCGAAGAAAAAACAAGACGCAGACTTCCATGAGATTGCGCTAAAACCAGAGTACACGTCGATGCAGAAAGTCGAAATTGACCTCTCGGTTCAAGAGAGTGATCAAGGTCCGTCTGTAACGGTGAAAACCAGGGTCGAAAAACCGGAAGACGCAAACTACCAGATAGTGCAAGAAGCAGTTGCCATCGAACTGCCGGTCGACTCGGAGAACCTACAGATCAGCAACGACAAAATAATCCAAACCACTTCGGAACAAATCCAAACCGACGAACCCGAACCTAGAAAAACCGTCCCCAAAAGAAGCACAACCGATAAAGCCACCAGCATCAGCGAAGGCAAAAAAACCCCCAAAGAACAAAGCCCCGAGAATTCATCCAGTCTAACAACCACAATTGCCGAGTCAATCGACCTCAACATCCCCGTCTCCGATTCCTCAATTCGCGAAACCGAAACCCCACACCCCGACGTTGCGGAAATTACCGAAACATCCGAATCAGTCTCCCTACAAGACGAGACCTTCGACAGAGACATTGGCTACGAGCCAGATGACCGCACAACTGTCGAGGAAATTCCAATCACTTGCCCCGTCGACTTGGAGGTAGCCAAGAAGAAAATTAAGAAGAAGAAGAAACAAAAGGTAAAACTCTCAAGAGAGGAGGACGTCACCGAATTTCCAAAGAGCACCACAGATGACGCTGATTTTACCGACGAAATTCTCCCCACAGAAGCCGAGGGCACTAAGCTCCCGAAGAAATCAAGAAAACGAAAACGAAAGAAAGAGATTGAAGTACTCATGAAAAGTAGTGACGAATTTCCAACCGAAACTGATGACCAACAAATAATCGAATCCGACCAACCGAATATCAACATATCGGTACAAACCTCCTTAGAAGAACTTCCCCAGACTGTCGATCTCGAGGTCCAAACAGTGAAAATCGAAGAAATCGACAGCGAACAGCAAACAACAGAACTTGTGGAGCAGGAAATGGGTGTTCAAACCTCACCTGCTCACAACTCACCTACAAAGTCAACAACCGAGCAGAGTCAAGTCCAAACCGAACCGGTAGAAACCGAAGATATAAACGTCCAAACAACTGAGCTTAAACCCATTCAATCGGAAGAAGTTGACATTCAAACGATCGGAATCCCAATGAACACAACCGAAATTCAGACAACTCCGAAAGAAACTACGGAAATTGATGTCCAAACGTCGTATTCGTCGACGGTTGTTAACGTAGAGCAACAGACGTCACCGGAACCGGTATCGGTTCCCGAAAAAGTTCAAGGTCGCGAAATCGCCATGCAGACCCAAACGCCAGAAGTCCCGGCGACTATCGAAACAGACGTGCAGACTAGTAAACCACCTTCGCCGGAAACTAGAGAATCGAAGGACTTTGATACCCAGACTGAAATTGTGGTCAACAGTTCGGAGACTCAAACAACGCCGAAGGACAGTCCTCGAGTGGTGGATGTTCAAGAAACCGAGATTCAAACAATCGCGAAGGAAGAAGTGGACGTCGTGTCACAGACTAGTCCCGATTTGGCAGAAAAGGTACGAGAGGACTTCGATAAAGCACCAATGAGTCAGGAAGAGACGCAAACTAGTCCCGAACCGGAGAAGGAAACCTCTTCTAGATTTATTCAGACGAAGCCGGAGGAATTGACTCCTTGTGTCGAAGAAGCGGTTCAAACAACTATTCCCGAGGAGACTGTAATTGAGTCTATAGTTCCTTTACAGGAAAGTTCGGAAAATCCTCAAACTGATGATACTCACCTGAATGATGCCGGAAAAGGCTCTTCCAGAGGAGAAATGGAAAACTTGGAACAATTTCGAGGAGTCGCGTCAAGTCCGGTCCTACATCAGAGAGCTAGAGACTCTCCTCCTGAGAGTCTGGAATTAGGTGATAAGTTCAGGTCGATAGCGACCGGAGGATCGACTTCGTTATCAGAAACCGAGTCCACTGACAACTCCTACGAAATAAATCTCCAAGCGACCCTCAAAATGTCCGAACGACGTTCACCCGAACTATCGGTCAATGTAAGCAAATCTAGACGTCACGAAACCCCGGATTCATCATCAGGGGACAAAATCGGAAGAAAACGGAAAAGAAACAAGACGGTCGAGATAAAAACACCGAAATCAACCGATTTAGCAACGAAACAAGAAGGTAAGGTGTCATCCTCTGAAGATGTCGACCTATCTAGTAAACCAACCGATCAACTTTTTGGAGCACAAGGAGAAATTTCCAGTGATCCGCTTGTTGAACCAATGGACACAGCCGAAGAGCAAATGGTAGAAAAAGAGACAAGAGTCCCGACAGAAAGGAAACAAAAATCATCCAATCCGATTGTTCTGAAGACCGAAGCCTCTAAGCTGATGTTCAAGCGAATCAAAAGTTCGCCAAGTCCCAAACAATCTTCCTACCTTTCCAACTGTCTACACATCGCAACTATGGATCAACCAGACGAAATGGGAGCCGAGCAAAAGTTCGCCACCGTACAGAATAACCTCGATCACATGAAAATCGCCATCGAGGTTCATGATGCCGTTCGGGCCGAACAGAATTTCATCACAATTGTCGAAATTATTTCCACATGGCTCGAGACAATAGAGTACAGGGTTTTTCTAAATCACCAAAATCCGGGTGGACCGCAACACGAAGAGGAACAAAAGTACCTGCAAATTAAAGAAGAAGTTAGTCAGGTGGACTCGAGTATCAAGGAACTTGACAAAATTCTGAAAGGAGTGGAACAAAATTATCCCGAGGAGGATCGAGAGAGAATTCGCGAGTGCGTCTCAGCTTTGGAGAATCAAGTGAAAGCTATTGAGGAAGTAACGAAAGAGGGAGAGAATTTTATCGCTGAGGAACTAACAAGGTGGGATGAATTTTTAAACGGCGTTGACAACATTTGCAGGTGAGTTTACCAAATGCACTTTACGGAAAAAAAATTCGGTGCCCGCAGTTTTGAAACGCCGACATTTTTTTCAGGTATTTGGTCATGGAACTTAATTTTTGTTTTTACTTTCCAGACTCGTCGAGGAGCAACGAAAGCAACTAGAGAATACCATTGACAGTGATGCGCCAACGAAATGGAAGTTACAAGAACTCGACAAACAGGAAACAATAAATCAATCGCTAATGTGGGAGACATCGAAGATTCTAATAACTGCTCGAGGATTATTGAGGGACTATCCAGGAAAGACGATTCCGGATGAGATTTATTTTGCTCAGGATACAACGACAAATATTGAGCACAATATCAATGTGGAAAGGGAGCGTCTCTTGCAACTTGAAGCATTAGCTAAGGAGTATGAGGAAACACTGCAGGAGTTTGCGCAAATTACGGAAATCGCTGATGAATTGGTCGATAGTCCGATTTCGGTTATTAGTGTCGAACATCTTCAGGAAGAAATGCAGAAGCATAGAAAATTCTTTGTGAACCTAAATCACTGTCGTGCTATTTTAGAATCTTTGGAAGGGAATTTGGATTGTGAGACGAGGGCCAAATATTCGGTTCTTCACGAAGAGTTGCATGCACGAGCGAATAATTTATTGGATCAGGCGGCTTTTAAGGCTCAACAGATGGCTCTTGCGGCTTCTAGGTGGATTTTACTGGAACAGGGGATGAAGGAGGAGAGGGGTTGGATGCAAGTGGCTCATCAGAGAGTTCCGGATCTTCAGACTGTCACTTCGTCTGATTATGATCAGTATATTTCTCTTTATCAGGTAGGTCAACTTTAGGGTCAATGGACTCTTTTATTTCTATTCTAACTTTCCTAACTTTCGGGTCGATGGACTCTTTTATCCCTTTCTAAAGTGACACAAATCTCTTCTGAAGGAAATTAATTTATTTTGTTAATAATAAAGTTTTGTGTTTAACAGTCATTGTCGTCAGATGTTGGAACACATCATGCGCGTCTGCTGCAGCTTTTAAAAATATCGCAGAATCTGCAGGAAATGATAAACGTCGAGGATCCAAATGATCATTACAATGAAGCATTGGACGTGATAACAAAATTGCAGGAAACGGTGGAGTCGTCATTAAGACGTCTATTGGCTTTCAAGGAAAGTTGGGGCACTCAAGAATTATTGTTGGACAGACTGGAGCATTGGATGCTGGTTGCCGAAAAAGGACTCTCGAGTATTAAAGATCCATCTGGTGGACATATGCGTCAATTCTGGGTAAGTTTTCAATAATTCTCCTTTACCGATAAAAATAGGTCTTTGATGCTCCTAATAATAAATCTCGGCTTTGGCCGAATGCCACGCCGATGAAAAAAATATGCAAATCCTTTTCGAATTATTTCTTGGAAGATGGGAAACCGTTGGAAATAGTTTCTCGGAAGAAATCTAAAGACGTCGTTAGGATGTTTCTTTAAAGATGTCTTAATGACATCAAGTCTGACTCAAAAAGTTGTAACGTCTATTTAATTCTAAATTCCAGGAGCTGAAGGCACAATACGAGGTGCACAATAATATCAGAAATGAGTCGGACAATTGTTTCGAGCAAGCTTTGAGAATAGTGCCCCTGTCGGACGAGATGCTGCAGAGACAATTCCGTGGTCAACTTCAGGAGCGATGGAATCAACTGACGAATGGAATAGCCGAAATAGAAAGCTCGATTAGAAAGAATATATCGTCTGAAGAAGTTTCGATTAATGACAAACTAAATCTTTTGGAAAGAGAATTGCACGAATTAAGAATGACCATTGAAGGTTTCCATGGAGTTCTGAAGACAGAAGAGGAATTGGAGCTCTACGTTGAAAGACTCTCCGTACTCTTCGATCGCACCTGTGTCATTCAGGTAAGAGCCTCCAACTCTAAATTGAAGAAAAGACAACAATGCTAGGATGCTAGGATGTTAGGAATTATTAGGATGTCATAGCATCCTAATAATTTTAATTAATTAATTAATTTTTTTATTACAATGAATTTAATTTACAGGAGGAATTGGGAAGACTGGGCCTCCTGCCAGCCGGCGAGAGTGAACGAGTGGGAATTCTCCTATCAACAGCGAGAAGAATAGAAGCTCTGATAAGTGAAGAATTGGATGCGGCTCAATTATTAAGGGAGCGATTACAGTCCCTGGAACGAGGATTGAATCGAGTGAGAAGAGATCATCAGAAGCAGTCGGCAATTCTTGATCAGTGTGAGAATTGCGAGAAGCAGGGCAGTGACATTGTCGCTGGCGCGGTGGAGAGATGTCAATTGGTTTCCGAAGAGTTGGCAGTGTTTTGGCAGAATATAATGGCTCTTCGGCAAGTGCTTCACACTCTGCCGATGGGAATGAGGGTTTCAGTGTCGCCGGTTGGTGTCGAGAGGGACATTTCGAATATTCAGGATTATCACACGGATTTGGAAGCTCGTTGTCTTCGAATTCTCGCTTTGCTGAGAAGCAGACTTGGTCTTTGGAGGCGTTTTGAGAAGCAACTCGAAATGGTCCAGCAGTCGGTTCAGGAGGCTGATTACATGATGGAATTGCTCACCGTTCAGGGATCTGTTGATTACGATAGGCTGATCAAGGCAACTGAACGTCTTGAGGTGAGTTTTTGTTTTTGAATATTTTATTATTCATCAAAGAATTTCAATATATTTATAAAAAATAATTTAATTCTTGCCAAGAATTTTATAAAAAAATTTTAATAATTCCTTTTCTTTCCACTAATTTTATGCAAAATCTAATTTAAATAATTGAATTCCTGAGAAATTCAATTTCTTTTTATTATTCATGAAAAGAATTGAATTTTTACGAAGATTTTTACAAAAAATTTTTTAAATAATTGAATTCTATTTGGAAATTTTATTTTAAATAATTGAATTCTTGTGGAAAACATTATTTGTGAAAATTAATGGAATTTTTCGATTAATTAATTTAAAGAAGTATTTAAAATAATTGAAATTTTTCGAGGAGTTTTATTATTTATGAAAATGATTGAATTCTTGCTTAGAATTTTGTCAAAAATTTTTTTAAAAAATTGAATTTCCATGAAAAATGTTATTATTAGTGAAAGTAATTAAATTATTGTGAAGAATTGTATACAAAATTTTGTTAAATAATTGAATTTAGAATTTTTTTTTTGAAAATAATTAAATCGTTTTAAAGAATTTGATTATAATTTTTGAGATTAGTTTTTTGATTTCCAGTATTGGCGAATTTAAAATATTTGCAAAAAAATCCTTTTTTTCAAATTTTCCGAGAAAATAAAACTCTAGAGATTTGACGCACGCGCTTTAAGTATTCAGACCTACTTATGAAATGCTATCGTACATTACCTATCAGTTCGGTAGCAGTAAGCCGCGAACTCTTGTTCAAGTAGTGTCACAAATTTTCAAACGTTGCTTTTCTTTTTCAAAAAATTCACGTGTTTTTGTATTTTTTAACCGAAAAATAAAACAACATTTAAAAACAAAAAAATTGTAAACGTACAATTTTCGAAAAAAATACAATTCGAGTGTGTTAGAATGATGTGATTTTGTTGAATATTTGAAAATATTTAAAATTGGAATTTATTTAGAAGAAATCTGTTTTTGAAGAAAGCTCCTATTTTGCTTTGGAGATGAGCTGAATATCAAATATAGTTTCAAGGTAACTGCCGACGAAGCTCTTTTCTCTCTTTTTTTTCCTTCGCAAATATATTGAACAAGTTTCTTCTTATGAATTAAGTTCATTTTTTTTTTATTTTTACATGAAATAAATTTATAATAAGCTCTCTGTGCAAAATCGCACGAATAGCGTCGCGTGTGAGTAAAAAACATATTTTGCAGAAACGGAAATTGTTTGAAAATTTTTAAGTGAGTTATTGTAAAATTTAATTTAAAACTTTGTAGCATTACTGGTTTATATAAAGATAAGACACTTTTCTCTTTAAATAAATGTTTTCCCTTTTTCGTAACTTTTGTACAATGCTCAACTTTTTAAAAAAGTTAGAAAAAAACTGAAATTTTAAATTTAAATGATACTTTATTCATATTCTGAAAATTATATTTTAAAAAAGAATTTAGATTTTTTTGCTGAGACAAATTATTCTATTTTATCAGTTTTTTTAATATTGACAAAAATTTTAAAATTTGTTCTAGTGTTCGAAATGGAATTTATAGAAATTTATTTTCCATATAAAATTTTCGATCAGAAAATTGAAAATTCCTCGAAGCTATAAATATACAGTTGCCCCTCGTTTTTATTTTAAGCTTCGATTTCACAGCTCTTTGCAAAATAAAAGTGATTTGATGAATTTCATCTTGAATTGATTTACGTGCACTCAGAAAAAAGATAAATTTGACTCAAACACATCTGAACTTTTTATTTGTTTCAACTAAATAATTTAGTCAAAGAAAAATATTTTTTTATTTGTTAAATTATATTTGGTTTACTCTCTAAATTTGAATTAGTAAAAATGTTTACTAATTTGAATTAGTGACTGACTTTTTGCTCTTGAATAAGTAAAGTTTACTAATAAATATATTTATTAGTAAATTGCTTTTGAATTGGTAAATTTTACTAATAAATATATTTGTTAGTAAAATTTACTAATTCAAAAGCAAAAAGTCAGTCACTAATTCTAATTAGTAAACATTTTTACTAATTCAAGTTTAGAGAGTATAAAAAAAATGTTCTGTGGATGATATATAAAAATAAATTAAAAGTTTTTTTATCGCAAAAAGAGAAGATAAAAAAAATTGTGTTCACACAATAGAAGAAAAGCTAAAATTATATTCTTTTGTAAAAATAGAAAAACACATAAAGCTCATATCAGTAAATGCATATGACCACTTCTTTGCAGAGAGTAAAGAATATACGCATATACATGGAAATAAATTATCTCACAAGATTTAGGTCAAAAAATAAATAATTTCTCTTTTGTGAATAAAAATATTGTGAAAAAATGTGCGTTAAGAATTATAACTATTTTTTAGAAATAATAATTTATTTATGCTGTGCGCATGCTTCTCAATTGTTTTTTTCAACTTTTCATTTTGTGTATGACTGTATGTAAATTTAAAAATATATAAATTTGCTAATTTGCATTTCATTGTTTAACGCACATGGGGAAAATGAATAATACATAAATAAGAGTTCATTAAAGTTGAGACCGTTGGGACTAACACAGATTTCATATTGTTTACTAGTGAACATAATTTTTTATGTTTCATTATTATTTGTATTATTATTATTGCTTATCAAATAAATATTTACTTGAATCATGTAATTTTTATTTAAATCTAATATTTTTTATATTTAAATCTAATATTTTTTATATTCAAGTCTAATATTTTTTATAAATGTAATTTTATATTTGTATTTGAACGAATAATTTCAGTATTCGAAGCAAATCCTAATATTCAATTGATTGAAATAAAAATTATTTAAAGAAAAAATATTTATTTGATAATAGAAATAATGAGTCGAGAAAATAAACGAAAATCTCTTGAAATTTAAATTTTTTTTGAAAAAAAAAAGAAATATACTTTGAACTATATTGATTATTGGATAACTGAAGTTCCTCATCTTTAATCAGATAATGAAATTAAATGATATAACAATATGGGTATAGAATTTGAAGAAGAAGAAATAGTGACAAAAGAGAGAATAGAAACACTTTAGACGATGACGTGGCTTGACGGTATGTAAACGATGGCACGTGGAAGAAACACGCCGAGTGAAAAATGTTACCCTCTTAATTTATATTTCTATAAAACTTGATTTAATAATAATCACATGTTACATGTAAATTGAAAATTTAAAATTTTTTGTAGTCATTAATTTTCTATTTTTCAATCTCTTACTCCAATTGTTTTTCTCTTTATGCGAAAGGAGACCAAGAAGTTGACATAACATTGTCAAAAATTTCGAAAGAAAAATCTTAAAAATAAAAAAAAATGTAAAATTATTTTATACCAAAGAAAGAAACTATCGAAAGGAATTATTTAAAATCTATAAATATTTTATTATAATAGCTATACTTATTGGGGGTCAAATTGAATAGCATTTTTCTAAAGGAAGTTGATGAATTAAATTTGCAAGGCTAATTTTACGATTATATTGGTATCATCGTTTTGTTACGCTGAACGTCTTGTGGAAACGTTTGATTTTTTAATTTGAATATTTATTATATTATAAAAACATTGGAAATCGGTATTACAATAATACGATCAAATAAATTTTTTTCATTTACTATTATTATAACACAGAAAGAACAAAGTCAGGAAATTTTAGTTAAAACAATCAGAATTCTGGTTATTGCAATTTGCAACCAGACTTTTTATAAAATAGTTTTCAGTGTAAAATCGGAAAAGAAAAGAATTTGTTTAGTACTTATATACAATAAAGGATGCGAAGAACCGAGTTTGCAATTTTCATATTCAGTCGAACGAAACGATCATTTCAAACTTGATGCTTTGCTCTTCCGGTTACTATACAAACTTTATCGTGATTACACACCCAACTCACGTCGAATCTACTTTTTTTTGCTTCCCATTCATTCTTCATGATAATCATAATAATAATATTGCGAACCATTACAACGAGACTCTCAATGAAAGGTTTTAAATTAACGTGTGTAATAGTGCGGCGTATTATTCATTATTATATCTAAAATTCATTTTTAGATCAATTTTTAATTTTTATTGGAAAATTCTACTAGAAATCAATTATTTAAATATAATATAATAGTAATATATAATAATATTAATAATATTATATATTTAATATAATGTTTTTCGAATTTTTTTTAAACTAAAAATTGTGTAGATTTAATTTTTTTTTAAATTTAATATGGAACTTTTTTTGAAATTATTTCAAGTTTTTATTTTCTAATATATAAAATTTGTTTGAAGAATTCCCGAATAATCGATGAAATTTCGTTGAAAATTGCGAGTTAAATTGAAAAAGCTTCTTTATAGCTTCAAATATAACAAATGCTGGGAAATTCATTGAATTTTTTCATATTTCGTGTGTGCATTATATAGAATTTTTTTTTCTTTAAAGTAAAATTATTATCCACTAGCTTATGTACGTAAAAAGTTTTCTTATCTCAAAATGTAAGTCAGTGGAATAACGGACGCTTTTAGCAGGCTTCTGTGCGCGCAACTGTTCCATATATTTTAATATACAACAGAAACTGAAATACCAATTCAGCAAAGTAGTGATAAAATATTTTTTCCAAGAACAATGGAGGTGCATAATTGTATATTGTTTTCGAAGTCAATCGTTCAATATTTGTACCAGTTTTATTTTTTTAAACACTAATTTCCTTTTCGTACATTTTTCTTCAAGAAAACTCCGCAGGTCCACATGACGAGGGGGTCTTGGATTTCTAGACAATTTAAATAAAAACCAAGAATTTGAATCACTTTTAGAAATTAACTTTTCTAAAAGTTATTCAGATTCTTGGATTTTATCAATTTTTATTTGGTCCACCTTTTTGGTATCAATTCATAGGTGCAATTTGAATATTTGATATTTTTAAATTGAGAGTGAAAAAGAAAGATTGAGGAAAGGCTTGGTCCCTTTCTTCATCAAGAGTCACATTTCTTCAATTATTGGAATGCGTTGAAAATATGATAAATTTGAATATAGAAAAGTAAATAGAATGAAAGAATTTGTCAATATAGTTGTTTAAGAGGAAAATTTGGCGAATTGATAAGTGAAGAATCAGGAAAAGGTAAATAGTAGCCATTTAATGCCAAATCTATAAATACATGAACTCTGCGAGTTAAGTATGTTTCAGACATGTCGCACATGAATTCGGTCAGAGTTTCTTAGGAGTACGACACTGGGGGTTCGTTAACCCAATGCGATTTTCCGAACTCGTTGGTATTTAATACTTTGTTGTTTATAGGAAAGACCTAGTTTTTGTGAGAATCGATACAACACTTAACGACTATATATACTGAGAAGTCATATGTAATACATATAAACACTTCAAGTTCACTTTCATTATACATAGTTTGAAACGAGCATTACCTTCAGGCAAATGAAAGTAAATCTAAATCGATTTTAGGTGTCTGAAGAATATCTGTCAATATTTCTTAAAAACATTTCTGTTTAGAAACCAAATTCTCTAATGTTTTAAAAAATAAGTTGAAATAAAAAAATTTATAAAAAAAAATAAGTAAAATGTGAAAATTCGCAGGGATTGAATGGTGATTTGGGATCTCGTCAAGTGCTGATCAGCGAACTTGAAGAAGCTGCGGAACCGTTGCGCGAGTCGTGTGCTGCAGAAGTGAGCGAGAGAGTTGAAGCTGCGGTAAATGAAGCTGTCCAGGCTTGGGAAGACACCAGGGCCGAGTTGGATGCCCTTTGCAACAAATATCAGCACGCCGTTAGACTTTGGCAACAATATCGTGACGCAAGTTCAACGGTGAAAAATTGGGTGGACACTCAAATGGGGAGTGTCGCCAATCTACCACCGGAAGAAGCCCTCAAGCAAGTCAAGGTATTATCCTCAAATATTCTTCAAAATTCATCATTTTACCCTGAACCTAAAGAATATTCTGATTCACTCTAAGAATAATTAGATACTCAAAAAAATATTCTATTATATTTATTTATACGACTTTCTCTAATTGTAAAATTATTCGAAAACATAAATAACTTCTTTTTTAAATAAATTTTTTTGTCATTATTATTTTCCAAAGGAATTAAGATTTTTAAATTTCAAATTCAAACCTTTATGAAATTCAACAACTTATAAGAATATTATTATAAAACATGAAGATAATGATCACTCCGAGTCGGAGACTCGGAGTAATCGATATCTTCATGTTTTATAATAATTTAAATTTACATAAAATTTTTCAAAAAAAAAAATTAAATTATTTACAAAAATTTTAATAAAATCCTTCGCAAGAATTCAATTATTTTTACAAGTAATAGAATTTTTTACATTAATTCAATTATTTAAAAACATGTAATAAAATTCGTTGTAAAGAATTCAATTATTTTCATAAATAATAAAATTTTTCATAGGATTTCAATTATTTTTAATAAAATTTTATTAAATGAACTATTCTCGTAAAATGTAATTATTTTCAAAATTTTTTTGCAAGAATTCAATTACATTTCACAAATAATGCAATTTTTCTTCGATGAAATTCAAATATTTTCAAAATCTACTATTTTAATAAAATTTCTCAAAAGAATTCAATTATTTTTAAAAAAATGGAATAAAATTCGTTGGAAGAATTCAATTATTTTCAAAGGTAATAAAATTCTTCGAAGAAATTCAATTATTTACAAAAATTCTAAAGAATATCTCGTCAAGAAATTAATTATCTTGACAAATAACAAAATTCTTCACAGAAATTCAATTATTTTTAGGAATTTTAATAAAATTCTTTGCAAAATTTCAATTATTTAAACAAAATTTAATAAAATTTTTCGCAAGAATTCAATTATTTTCAAAAGTAATAAAATTCTTCAAAGAAATTCAATTATTTTCAAAAGTAATAAAATTCTTCGAAGAAATTCAATTATTTTTAAAAATTTTAACAAATATCTCATCAAGAATTCACAAATAGCAAAATTTTTCGCCAAAAATTCAATTATTTTCAAAAATTTAAATAAAATTCTTTGCGAAAGTTCAATTATTTTCAAAAGTTTTTTTACAATTTAATAATTTTCGATATTCTATTATTTCAATAAAATTTCCCAAAAGAATTCAATTATTTCAAAAAGAATTTGCATAAATTTTTTCGAAAAAAGTAAATATTTTAAAATTTGGCATTAAATTCTTCACAGTAATTCAATTATTTTCATAAATAATAAAATATCATTGCAGGATTTCAATTATTTTTAATACAATTTTAATTACATTTTTTTGAAATAATTCAATTATTCTTTTAGATTTTAATAAAATACTTTGCAGAAATTAAATCATTTTTAATATATTTTTAAAATTCTCGTCAAGAATTAAATTATCTTTATAAATAGATAGCGGAATGTAAATTATTTTCAAAACTTTTATTAAAATTCTTCGACAGAAACAAAATTTACAATTTTCAATTATTTTTAATAATTTTTGCAAAAGTTCCTAGAGAATTACAATTCAATTTATTTATTTTCAAAAAAAAAAAAATTCAAATAAACTTTTTCAAAATTCAATTATTTCTAAAAATCCGTTATATAATATTATATTAATAATAAATAGTTTATTGAATAAATGAATGTTTCTCAAAATTGAATTCTTAAATTTAATTAATTAATTTATTTCGGTGATTTATCATCAAATTTTAATAAAATTCGAATCTCTGTAAAAAAATTGTATTATTTATGAAAATAATTGAATTATTGCGAAAAAATTTATAAAAAATGTGTAAATATTTGAATTCCTGTGAAATTTGTATTAATTATGATAATAATTTAATGTTTGCTTACAATTTTATAAAAAATTTTTGAAAATAATTGAATTTTGGAGAAGAATTTTATTATTTTTTAAAGATAATTGGAATTTTGACGATAATTTTTAAAAATTTTTGAACAAAATTGAATTTCTGCAAACATTTAAGTAACTTCTCAAAAATTCAAATTTTAGTCAACCCTGAAATTTTAATAACTATTGAATGTTATTTGTTTCAATTTCTTTAATTTTATTATTCAAATTATTAAAATTTAAAAAAAAAATTAAATTATCAGTGCCGTGAAAACATTGTTAGTCTCATAAACGCATTTGTTAACACAGGAACTTAATTTTTAACTTTAAGATAAGAAATTCCTGGTTGTCGATAATCTGTTTTCATACTGTATCACTAATGAGAAGGCTCTGATTACTATTTAACATCTGGTCATAGCTTCAGGCTTCGTACATGGATTGCAGTTTCCCTCCTTCGTTTATATTTGAACGCACAAATATTCCCAGATTAGATTTCGATAAAATCTCAAGTATCTTTGTCTACATTTTTAGACTTTAGAGTACAAAAAGTATAGTTACATTCCAAATTAAAAGAAAATATTCCCAAAATCCAACAAATTGAAAACTAGTATTAAATTTTGAATTAAATTTCTTTTTTCCAAAAAGTATTCACTTTGTTAATTCTCAATTCATTTTTATTCTAATTCTCAATTAATAAAACTTAAATTCTCAATTTCAAAGAAAACAAATTTTTTCTAACTTTTTAGTGATTATAATAAAAATAAGAAAAAATTTGTTTTCTCTTAAATTGAGAATTTAATTTTTATTAATTGAGAATGAGAATAAAAATAAATTGAGAATTAATTTTTATTAATTGAGAATGAGAATAAAAATGAATTGAGAATTAATTTTTATTAATTGAGAATTAGAACAAAAATGAATTGAGAATTAATTTTTATTAAAATCACTAAAAAATGATAATTTTTTAGTGATTATAACAAAAATTACGAAAAATTTTGTTTCGGGAAATTTTATACCTTTTTTTTGGGAAAAAATTTGTAATTTTTGAAGAAAAGATAAAGGGACTTTTACCCCAAAAAGTTTGAAGAGAGGGTGTGTTCGTGAGATAAAATAGAGAGGGATAAGGGAGAGAAAAGGGAGTTACTGACGTTCTCATCGATCTCCTTTATACATACAGTGAAACGAGAGAGAGACGCCAGTCTGGTCCAGAACATAACCAGAGGCTGGCTGGATTTACTCTCTCGCGTCTTCCATGTGCTTTTTGAGTGTGACTTTTTCTGACCCTTTCATCTTTTTTTTTATCACTCACAAGTTACAAAGATCAAAGTCAATGACGATAGAACTAAAAACTTTATTATCACATTCTTTCTTTTTTTAATTTCTGATATCTTCAATCACTTCAGTTCTATATACAATTTAATCTGCAAAGAGTGGCAAATTTTTTACTCTAAATTTATATTTCCACTCAAATATTAAAATTATAAATATAATTATAAATATTATTTGTTGACGAAATTAATTTAAAAATTTATTTTCTCAATTTTATTGCTTGTTTTCAATTTGTTTTAGTAAAATTTTTTATTGTTACTATTTTAGAATTTTTTGCATAAAATTTTTATGTTTAAATTACAAAACCCCGTTTATTTGCTTGTATTTTAATTTCTTTTTATAGTGTAAATTTGGAAAATTTTTGAAAACAGTGTATTTTTCGAAAATGAGTGAGTCATAATATTTATAGTGACGGTCACATGGGGTCGGCTGCCGGTATTTTTATTGTAACCATGTGCGCGATGACACTGAACGAAAAAGTTGTCAATGAATTTTGCTCCTTTTAGTCGAAAAAAACTTGTAAATACAAAAAAAATTTTGAAAAATGTGATTGGAAAGAAATTGCCATTATGTGTACACCAGAAGAAATTAGAGTAAGATTTCGCTTTTTAGTAAACTTTTATTTCTAAACTGTTATATTTTTCTTTATTCGAATTGTTTATTCATTTTTATTCCATTTTTTTAAATTAGAGGAAGAAGTTAATTTAAAAATTAATACCGAATGATAAATTCCTTTCCTTTAATTGTTTTAATTTAAAAATTAATACCGAATGATTAATTCCTTTCTTTTAATTTTTTTAAAAATTAATTTGTAAATAGCGTCACAAATTAATCTAAAAATATAAATAATATAGTTGGGAAAATTTTTACTTTTTATTTCTATATGATTTTTTTTATTTTCTTAATTGCGGTGGGAAAAGAATTAAAAGAATTTTATCATGTAATTAGTTTTAGTGACTTTAAACAAGTTAATTCGAACACTAATTAAGAATTACTTGATAAAACTATTTTTTTTTCTAGAAAATTGTAATTAGTATTTTGTCTAAAATTTAATTAGCTTAAAATATTTGTATTTAACGAAAAATAATATTTCTGTTTTTTATTAACTTTTTTCAAACTGTTTTATATATATTTCAAAAATATATAATTTAGAGAAAAGAAATATAGTTTATTAAGAAAATTGATGAAAAATTGATGAAGATAATGGTAAAAAGACAAAAATATTGCTATAAAACTATGCGTGGAATTACAGTCTTAGTGATTCAAGGAACTTAGTCTCGAAATTCTATAAATATCGTCTGAGAGCACATGTTGGAAATTCTTTTGTAAGCTTTAAATTTCCAGTTATATGAATGAAATCCCCTTTTATATTTAAACAGAGAATTTAAATTTTCAAATTAATATTTAATTTTCTTCTTCTTCTTCTTTTTTTTTTGAAAGAAAATACAAAAAGTGTAAACAAACAAAATTTGTTTATTTTTTCATCAAATTAAAATTCTATTGCAATTCTATTGCGCCATTTATTAAAAAAAAATAAACCCAGTAAAAAAAACAGACTTCGCACTCGATAATTAATTTTAAAGTAGCAAAAAGTAGTTTTCAAGCTAAAAAAGTAGCTATCGAAAAATTAAACTTAACGACCAAAAAAACTCGGTTTAGAAACTTTACAAAACTGACATAAATTCCATTCTATATTTTATTTTTCTCACTTTTTCCTTATTTTCATCAAAAATATTTACTTCTTTCTTATCCTGATGCTAATAAATTGAATTCCTCCAACGAATTTTATTATTCATGCGAAACAATTTAAATATTTACAAAAATAATTTAATTCTTGCGTAGAATTTTAGAAAAATTTTTGAATAATTCATTTCTTTCGACTAATTTTATGCAAATTCTAATTTAAATAATTGAATTCCAGAGAAATTTAATTCATTTTTATTATTCATGAAAAGAATTGAATTCTTTCGAAGATTTTTACAACAAAATTTTTTAAACAATTAATTGAATTCTTGCGAACGATTTTATTAGAATTTTCTAAAATAATTGAATTTGCAAGAAAACATTTATTACTTTTAAAAATAATTGAATTCTTGTAATGAATATTGTTATTTATGAAAATAATTGAATTTTGCAAAGAATTTTATTAAAATTTTTGAAAATAATTGAATTCCTGAGACGGATCATAAGTAGAAATTAATGATTCTAGAAACATTGAGATAAATCTTGCGTTCTTTTTTTGAAAATAGGTTTGCGAGAACACATTGGCAGAGCATAAAGAACGAGTAGCTGAACTTCGAGGTTTGGTGGCACAAATTGCCTCGGACGTTGGCTTGGATGCAAATGGACCTCTTCATTGTGAAGTCGAGGCTCTTGGAAAACGTCTCGAGGATGTTCGAGAAACGCTGTCAGCACTCGCGGATACTGCCGATGCAAGAGCTCTCAATCAAGAACTCGCCCGAGAAGATATTTATCAGACGAAAAATTTCCTCGACTCCGTTCAACAGGTAATTTTGCATATACAATTTCCCCTAAAAAAATATCAAAAACAAGTAGTAACATGGAATGTAATATAAAAAATACTTATAGCAAAGTTAATAAATTAAAAACAAGTTTTTTTAGTAGAGGAACTTTCAAGTGGCAATTGATTGGGTTTGAAAATATATTTGCCAACATTATAATTTATCGCAGTAAAGTGACGATATTTGTATTGGATTTTGAATTTGCACTTGATTCGGATTAATGGAGAGGTGCTAGCGGTGCTTGGCACAACTCAATCATCGCGGCACGCGCTTATATTTTAATTGTAGTTTCAAAACAATTTGTTATGTCAAGGTCGAAGGGCTTTTCCGCTAACAATTACATCAGTCACGATATCCGCAACAGCTGAATGGCGAGCCGCCTCGAGTTTTACTTTGGGAAACTTTTAACTTGAACATACACTAAAGGCAAACTCGTGGCTCTCATTGCCATCAAGCTGATTTTCCTTGGTGAGAGATAGATAAAGGCGTTAGTCATCTGCACTCGATTTTCAATTTTCCTTCTCCCTCGATTCAATAATTGCTATTCTTTCAGTTGGTCTTCCAAGAAGATTAATTTTGAACCAAGGAATAGCTTTTCCGGATTCCTTTCAATCTCCTGTTATATAAAACCTTCTGTTTCTAATTTCCGAAAATACAAAACCAATTCCACTTCGGAAGAAGTGCGAGCATTAAATAAATTCCTTTTATTTCAGAGCATAACATCAGTGGGCCATGGAGAATCCAACGAACAACTGAAGCTTCTCCGAAATCACCTATTGGCCCTAACTCGAACCGAACCACAACTGCATTCCATCAAGGAACGAACTCTGGACACTTCCCCTCAAGAGCCAACAATCGTCGACGTCCTCCAATTATGGCAACGTGTCTTCCGAGAAACCTTCCAACAATATCACAGACTTTCGGCGCGCCTCGTCAAAACTCAAGACGTCGCAGCTGCCCTGAGACTCTGGCAAGAGTACTTAACACACGTCCAGGAATTCCTCTCAAACGACGTGCCAGGCGACTACAACGGACTCTCGGAACATCGCAATTTGTGCGAGGTCCACAAGAATCTTCTCACCGATCAGCAAAATTTAATCCTCATGGTGCGTGTCGGCGAGGGACGCGACATCTCCGTATCGGAGCACTTCAATATACTCACGAATCTTCATAATGAGACACTCGCGAGAATAATGGAGAGGCATGCGGCCGTCAGGGATCGTCTCTCGGCTTGGGATAAATATCGAATTGATCAGAATAAACTCTTGGTGTGGCTCAAGGAGATTGAGAGGGAAAAGGGAAGACTGCAGTTGAGATTCATTCATTTGAGTAGAATCGATAAGATTCTGAAGAGGATTGAGAACTTGCTGGATAGGATACCGAGTGGAGAGAGCCAGGCGGAGTCTTTGCAGGCGCAGCAGGAGAAATTGTTGATTAATTGCGATGAAACTTTGGCCGTGTCGGTGAGAATGGAGCACGCTGCGAATATGCAGAGGATTACTAATTTGAGAGCCAGTCTTGAGACGTGGAGGGACTTTATTACCAGGATAAAGAGGTATGTTCACACAAAAATTTTATTTTATTTTTCCCTTGATTTCCGGGCATTACATTTTTTTCATGAATTCTATAAAAATTGTATTGAAAATAATTGAAATTTTGTAATGAGTTTTCTGATTTATGAAAATAATTGAATTATTGCGAAGAATTTTATTAAAATTTTTGAAAATAATTTTATTTTATTTCTTTTGAAAATAATTGAATTCTTTTGATGAATATTGTTATTTATGAAAATAATTGAATTTTACAATAAATTTTATTAAAATTCCGAAAAATAATTGGATTTCGGCGATGAATTTTGCTATTTATAAAGATTGTAATTGAAATACACTGAAACCCCACTTATTTAAAGTCTCGTTTACTTAAAGTCGCGTTTATTTGAACCCGTTTTTGCTTCAGTTATTTTTAGTTAGAATCCGCCCTAACCTCACTTATTTTTGCTCATGCGAAGTACGCGACCAATGGAAAGATACTTACATTTCCATTGGTTGAGTTCAAACAAAACCAACCAATCATGTCAATTTATCGAATTACGTCACCAATATAGGTTATGTCGACCAAAATACAAATAAACGCGACACTTCGTGTCAAATTCGTTCGTGTTCCATTCGTTCGAATTGAATTTTATTAATTTTGAAAATAATTGAATTCTTGTGATGAATATTATTATTAATAAAAATAATTGAATTTTATAAAAATTCCTGAATATAATTTTTGCATTTCGGCGAAGAATTTTTATAAATAGAACCACTTTATAAGGAAAGAATCACTTTGTCAATAAATATCACCAGATTTAATATCGAAATATTTTTTTTCAGATTGAACGATCGACATGTGGAGCAATCCAGCAAGATCACTGCCACCTTCCAAGAAGTGAGTCAAGCCTTGAGCGCTGCCTTCCACGCCGGACCCTGCACTCTCTCCCAAACCCAGCAGCAATTGGACTCCCTGCAAGATCTGAAAACCAAACTCGTGACCACAACGACTGATCTCGAATGCCTTGGCGTTACCACAGAACAACTGCGCGAGTGCCTTAGTCCCACGGACATGAAATCATTGAATCAACACTGTTACCTGCTGTGGCAGCAACACGGCGATCTCGAGCACCAGCTCGCCCTCCTAGTTTACAAGTTAGGCGAGAGATGTGGTCTACATTCAAGATGGAGAAACAGGTTAGGAAGATTGTTAGTCTGGCTCGACGACGCAGACGCGAAGATTACAAATTGTGACACAAGACTGCTGGACGAGCCGGACGCGGCTCTTAAGCGAATCGAGTGCGAACTTGAGGCCGAAATGGCTCTGAAGCAACGCGAACTCGAGTGGTTGGAAAATACTGGTCTGGATTTGATGCAAGTAGCGGAAGATGGTGAGAAGGGGAGAATAAAAGGATCACTGGATGATCTGAAGGAGAGATGGTCCAGGTTGTTGACGACGGGAAAGACGAGAGCGAATAAATTGACGGACCTAGTGCAGACTATGAGCAATCTCGAGAGGAGAATTGCGGAGATAAGAAGTTGGTTAGGGGGGATTGAGTGTCAACTGTCAGAGCCTTTTATGATCGAAGCGGTGAGTCAAAGTGCGGTGGACAAGAAACTGGAAGATCATGAGCAATTGCAGAAGATGATCGAGACTGAGAGTGGAAATGTCGGGGAGGTGTTGAATCTTTGTGAAATTCTACTCAGCGATTGTGACGCGTGGAAGGCTTCGTTCAATACAGACGCGATCAAGACAGGAATGGAGGGTTTGGAGAAAAGATGGAAAGCGACCTGTATCCGCCTAGCGGACCGCAAGCGCCAGATTATTCAAATTTGGAAACTTCTTCAGGACCTGGAGGCCGGACGATCGAATCACGAACTTTGGCTCACCGACATCGATAGTCGTGTCCTAGAACTAGAGAATGCGGTAAAAGATATTTCGAAAGAAGACACTGAGAAGGCGATAGCGAAGGCCAAGAAGATATCCGAGGATATAAAAACCCGTGAGCCTACTTTGCGACTCTTCGAGCAAACATACAGTCGTCTTGCGAAAAGTGGACTTGAGCCCGAGAACCTAAAGTCCCTGACGAGCAGGATTCGACACCTAATCGACTGGTGGCATGGCCTGAATCATAGAGTCAATGTTATTACAGCAGCTCTGAGACAAGAGCAAAAGGTCTACAGGGAATTCATCACTGCCCATGGAGCTGCAGTCGTCGGACTCACCCAAGTCGACGTTCGTCTCACTGAATTACAACACTTGACGTCGCCGAAGCAAACAACGCCTAGGAAGAAACTGCAGCAACTCGCTTCGATTGAGAACGACCTAGAGACGCAGAATACCACGCTTCAGAAGGCGGACGAACTGGCTCTGGTGGTCATGAGGGAGAGTCATCCGGATGACGTTAATACGCTCCAGGAGTTGGTGGACGAGTACCAATTACTCTGGAGGGACATAAAAAGTCGAGTGGCGATGCTGCGGTCAGAAATCGAGAACCAGGAGAGAGTGGAAGTGGATGAAGCGGTTCAGGTCGAGACACTCAAGTTCGAGCAGGACTCGGCTGTTCAGGTCGACACTCTGCCTAAATTGGTGCGAATGACTTCCTGCGATGCCTACCTCATCGAACTCGAATCCGCCATCAACGAATGTCGAACGGCTTTGAATTCTTTGGAAAATGCTGTCACTCCGGAGCCGACGCCCGGTTCTGGTCTCACTAATGCTGGCAAAACAATCGTAAGTTTTCTTCTTCTTCTTCTTCTCCCTCGGTATTTTAACCTAAAATTAACATTCTGATGAAAATACCGCAAAACTATTGAGCGAATAATCAAGTTTTATTGATTCAATTGAATTTTTGTTTTCCCTAGGCAAAATTAATCGGAAGTTCCCAATCAACAATTGACCTGGCAAAGCATTTGAACAATTTACTCTTGAATGATGGGAAATTTGACAGGGAATGTGCAAAAGTTTCCGAAATAGATGATCTTGTCACTAGGCACGAGAATCTACTTTCACAAGCAAGAGCAAGAGAACAGCAAATTCGAGAGATGAAGTAAGTTGCAATCGGAATGTTTTATAATTAAAAAATTCGACGTACACTGAAGAAAGGTAGCAAGTCATTTTAACTTTATTTAGTGTTATTTTTACCTTATAGCTTCATTGAAACATTCTGTTTCATATTCTGTAACGTTAAATTTTTCTAATTGTTTTTCCTCTTTATTCTCATTCTAAATTATTATAAAATAAACTAAAATCAATGCTTCTACCTTTCTTCGGAGCGAGTCTATCTAAAGATCATCATTGATGATAGGATCATATCAGTTTCAGTAGAAACATTTTAAATCGACACGTACTAAGTACCAAAACGTCTTGGTAAATCATCTTTCATCTGCAGATATATTAAACTTTTCTCTGCACAGTGAGTCTCCAAAAAAGAAACAACTAATAAACCAATTTTCACCACTGCACTTTCATATTCACTTTAGCAAAATAATCACTCTTATCTGAAGAACAATCACTGTCTTGCCAATCGTAATATTGTAATTATTAGCATTCTTAGAGAATTTACAAAAATTGACGAAAATCAATCAAAAACTGCTTCGAGAACGCAAAGCATGAGTTAGAAAAGGACAGGGATATATTTGTGTCATCCTTTTCTGTCTCATCTGTCACTCATTCAGAAGCTTTTGCTCCATCTTTTGACATTTATTCCTTTAGTTTATTAACCGAATTGTAAAAATCCTTTTGTCTACCGAATATAATTATTATTTTGGAATTAATCCGGAATTCAGATAAGGGGAGGGCTCCAACAGAACCTAAAAGCCACCCGTGTCACGTCGATAATCTTGTCGCCCTTTGACAAGTTCCTGAAGGATTTGATCATCCTTTGCCAAATTCTTTCAAATATTGCAAAATTTACTCACATTTGCTTTCCTCTCCAATCCTTTGTAGACACTCTGCTATATTCCTCGATCCGAAATTCACCGACGAATTTCTCTCGAATGCTTGTAAAGTGACGGCAACGTGACAGATTATGTAAACAACTGTAAATAAATACAGATAATGTACATATCTCTATTATCAATAGCTATAAAAATCAAATAGTATACAAAGAAATAGATTTGCACTGACAAATTTACAATCCATCCACTATCATTCTGTTTTTTTCTGAATACTAAATTCTGTTGTGCAAAACTGAAACACCGTAACTTTAATACTTTTACTCATAGGTTAGGTTATTAACAATTTTATGATTGTATTGTACTTTTACAATTTACAAACATAGAGATTTAAGGCCAAAGCAGCAGAATAGAAACAGTAACCGGAATTGTAACCGTAATCTTAACGGAAGAATGAGTGAGAAAAGGATAGGTATATTGTTTATCCTTCTCTAACTCATTCTTCCGTATTCCGTGTTAATGATTCCAGTTACGTTTTTATTCTGCTTTGACCTTTATAATTTATAAACAAACATATTTTTGAGCCTAACCTATAAATAAAAAGTAAACAATTACCTAAGGTGTTTCAGTTTTGCAAGACAGAATTATTTTTAATTCGTAAATAATTATAAATTCTCTTTTTTCGTTTATAGTGACGCTGGCAGACTAACGTGTCCAATTTGCTCCCGTCGAAATTGGGCGCAATTGGATAACGATCTGTGGAGATTGGAGAAATGGTTGGAATTCGCCGAGGGAACACAAAGTGAACAATACTCACCACCCAGTGACATTGAACAATTAGAGGATGTCATTCAGGATCACAAGGAATTCCTTCTGGATCTCGACAGTCACAAGAGTATTGTCGTGAGTTTAAATATTGTCGGCCTACATCTCGAAGAACACTCCGAAGAAATTGAACTGCAGAAACGAAGAAAAGAATTGAAAAAGAGATTGGCAAAGGCCAATGTTAAATGGGAGAAAATCTGCAAAGCGGCTGATAGATGGCAATCGAGTCTGAAAAGCACATTAATGGATAATTCACAATTTTATCTAATTATTGATGAATTTCTTTCGTGGATTGAAAAAACAGAGTCTGCAATAAGAGCCAGCGAACCAATCGATTTGAGTGAAGACTCCAATCTCCTAGGACTTAAATATCAGAAATTCAAGTAAGGAATTTTTCTTTTTTTGTTTACTTTCGAGAAAAATTAAATTATTGCTGATGAAGTCGAAATCTTCATTCGTAATTAAAAATTCTCAATCAGCGAAAAATTTTAACATTGTTAAAAAATTGTTTTTCTACTTTCAGGGAACTAAAGAACGATTTGGAAAGATGTGAACCCCGCGTTTTGTCACTTAAGGAATCGGCCGATCATTTATTAGACGACGATAATGAAGCTCGAGAAAAATTACAAGAATTAAGACTCAAATTACAATCACTACGGAGACTGACTGGTGTTTATGTGGTTAAAATTGGAGCCACTCTTGGTTTAGACGCACGCGATGTTGGTCTCATTTCATCAACGTCCTCACTGGCATCTCTGTCTCGCGACGTAAGTGTCTTTTTTTTAAACTAAAATTGTGATTTTTCAAAAAAATTATCAGATTTTTCGAAAATTAATAGGTTTTTTTGTTTTTTTGTAAACACAATATTGGTTTGCTATTGTAGATTGTTGCACAAATTTTATAAATATGTGACGAACTCTGAAGAAAAAGATCTAAGAACAAGTCACAATTTGAAAATTTCTTTTAGCCGTCACTCACATTGCACAGTATCTTATTGTTTGTGTTTTCTCTTTTTGTTTAATTGTAGCTTCTCGATGAGGCCGCATCTGGAACTTCTCAACTCAACGACACAACATCCACAGAGTATGTTTCTTCTTTGTTTTCTCCTGAACATTATTTTCTAACTGTCTTGCACACTAAAATGTTAAATATTTCTCGAAATTGATATTTCATGTTCTAAAGCAAGAAAAATATCCGTGTCTAATTTTCAAATTAATAGAAGTTTCAAAAATAAAAAAAATGTAATATTTTCCCTGTTTCAGTGGTGACGAGGAGGAGACAAAATTAATTCGTGGCTGCCGATTTTTGGGAAGAGTTCTTCGCGCCTCTCTCCCAATTCAAGGAATGATGTTGTTACTCTTGGGAGCTGCCTCGTTGGTTCCTTCAGCCGAGGAAGATTATAGTTGTATGCTCTCAAATAATCTTGCGAGAAGTTTCACACCTCTAGTCGAATATCCCAACGGACCTCCGCCTTTGTAATGTATTTACGATTTACGATTTACAATTTTCAAAACTTAAGAGAAAACTTTTCCTAGTCAAAAAAAGAAACTCGAAGAAAGTGAGAATTTCTAGTAGTGAGAAAAATATATCGCCAGTGATCTACTTTTTAAAAAAAGGAAAATCACGAATTTGTACATATAACTTGAATGGACCAATTGGTAAACGAAAAGAAGAAAAAATAATCAAGCCTTAATTAAGAATGTTTAATTAATGTTTCTTTGTATATTATGAATGGTGTGTGTATAAAACTGAAGTCGTTTTCAAAATGAAAATTCACAAGCGCATGGAATGGAATTATGTAAGAACATTTTTTTTCTAATGTATGTATTTGATACTTATGTTGAAACGTAAGTATTTGAAAAATGAAAAAAGCGCTGGTGCTATTTCATTAACGAAAAAAAATTGTTTACAAGACAGACGCACAGATTTTTTTAAATAAGAAAAAATTGATTTATTCAGCTTGAAAATCTCGGGGTTTTTCGCTTTAAAATTCATAGATTTCTCGCTTTATTGCACATTGTGCTTTACTACGTATTTTTATATAAAAGAAAAAAAAGCAGAGCTTAGAAGGTGGTGTAAAAGTCAAAAATTGATGACATAATATATTCCTATGAACATTAAAAAAAATACAATACAGTTTATGAAAACTCGTTTTTATTATCAAAAAATTCCTTTTTTTTGTGGCATATTTTGACATCCAGCTTCTTTAAGAAGCGACAGATCAATATTACTGTCGAAAATTCAGTAACTAAATTCTTTTATAAAATATAAATTGGTATAAATCACATGTTTCTTTTAAACAAAAAAAAACTTCAAAATACAATTCTTTTACAAAAAAAAAAAAAAAAAATTGTAATATAATGTACATATATAATTTTTCTTATACACTATGTAGAAAATAACTTAACTTAAGGGTTAGCGGAATGTTTTATAGCTGACAATTGTTCACAGTACTCCAAATAAAGTCTCTGCCAACGGAGATGTCCACCTAGTACGACTAGAACATCTCCTAATATTTTATGCTTTTTAATGCCCTGGAATTTAGAATTTTCTTTTAATATTAATTACTAATTATAATTTATTTTTTAATAATAAATAATTATATTAAATATATTATCAGGGTGGCTACGGTTTCAAGCTTACGACATTTCAAGTTTTCCATAAAATTTAATTATTTCCTAAAGTTTTAATAAATTCAACTTGAAGAAATTAATTTTTAAAAACATTACATAAAATTCCCTGACTCTTTCAGGTTTTACCTGACTGAGTAACAAAAAATTTCAAGAAAATTTCTGGTTTTCCAGAACCTTAGCAACCCCTGAATATTTAACACTATTTTTATAAAAAAATTAAAAATGAAATATTATTTGAAAAAAATAAATGATACCAGAACTGATGGTTCCCAGACACTTTTGCCAGCTGTAGTATGACTCGGGCCCATAAGATCATCGAGAATAATTCTTAGACGCTTTTCCAAACCATCTGAAGAAAGAGAAAAATAGGCGAATAAATTTTGTAGAAAATTTAAAAAATTAAAAAAAGGAGGGGAGAGTTGAAAAGTTTTGAACGAACCTTGAGTGAGTAGAAAGGAGACTAGCGCCATGAGCCAATGAATATATTCCGTCGCACTTCCAAGTGCCTTTGAAGCCAATAATTGTTGTTCCAAATAAGAAACAACGCAAGGAGCACTGTGAGGTAATCTAGGATTTGCTAGACTACTGCCAGCAGTTCTGTGAAGTCCTTCTTGTAATGCTGAAAGAGGTCCTCTGGGAACGCGAGTTCCAGAAGTGCTCGAGGCATTGTTTGCCGACCAACGCCAAACCGGGTCCTGACTATCGCCAATCAACATCCACGTTCCTGGTAACAGGTAACAATTAATTGAAAATAATAACGATTGAATTTCACAGATGATTATTAATTAAGAAATGCAATAAAAATCTTACCCATTTCTTTGTGATAAATGTAAGCTCTTGCATTCGTGAAAGCTAGATGAGGCATTCCATTGTACAATGTACAGGATAGTAAAGAAGTTCCTGGAGCCGCTAAATGTTCAGCCGACGTGGAAACTATTAATCGACAGACGTTTCCAATTTCCCAAACTCGCACGGCTCCACAACTCGATATCACCATCACCTAAAAAAAAATTCGATTCAAATTCAAATATCAATTCTAAAAATTTAATATTTCTCCAGGACAGGTACAGGACTTTTCCTGAATTTTCCCTGAATTTTCTAATTTCCCTGACCTGTGACAACCTTTAAGGACTTTTAATAGAAATTCGCCTGACTTTTCCCTGAATTATCAAAAATAGGTACATAAATAGGTACCTCTGACTATACATTGTTAAAAATGAAAAATACAAAATGAATTCTGAAGAGACAAAAGTCTGATTAAAATATTTACCGCACTGCCAACAGCGTGGAGACGTGCCAAGGGCGCAGGCGGAGCCAATGGTGGAACGGGCCGCGTTCCTTTCACAGGATGAAAGGTGTGAACACTACCGTCAATTAAACCCAATGCAATGATGGACGGTGTGGCCGATAGAGCAACTGCATTGTACCCCAAATAAAGATTCCACAGTGGTTCGGTGTCCGTTCCATGGAATACTTGCAGATGAGCCAAGCCCTGACTATTCGTCACAGTGACGGCGTAATGTCCAGCCTGCTGAGAAATTGAACTCGCAGCTTTCAATGCCGGCAGGAATATCTGCGATCCACTTCTCTCCGAAGCAAATTTTAACTTTTTGTGTGGAGTCGAATGATGATGGGGTTTCAGTGTCGTTTGCTCGCGACGCTTCAGGGTCAGAGTTGACCCTGAAGAATTCGTTGCCGCATTCACTGTTGAACTCACATTCGGAGTGACAATGTCGTCACGTTTCTCAATGACTATCGAACTCTTTGTTTGCGATGTGCTCGAGAATGTTGGAGCACTCACTCCTATTCCAGTCGTGATGTCCCTTTAGATACAAATCAAAAGTTATATTCAATCAAAAAGAAAAATAGAAAATGAATAGTAAAATTCAAAAAAATAGAAAATGAAAATGAAAAAAAATGGAACCCACGTTGTATCGGCTGGTGGGGGAATAAACATCGGAGTGATTCTCCGTCTCCCGTCGGAAGTTCGGGTCTCGATTTGTTTATTAATAGGCGCCTTGACAGGTGTCGAGATGGTCGCGGTTTGTATCGAATTATTCATTGGAGTTGGTTGAGTCTGACTCTTCGGAGTCGGGGGTTTCAGATTGAGTAGTTCCGGCGATTCCATAACTGTGCAACCGCCCCCTTGGATCAACGGTTTTCCGTACATGCGTTCATGAACTTTACTCTAAAAAGAAAACGATGCTTATTTTCGACACAAAATTAATAACAAAATAATGAAAACAATTGTTCAACTTTACTTGTTCTACGGGGTCCAAAGGTTGTCCAATTTCCTTTTGGGAGAATTCAATGAAAACAACCGTACCATCCCAGGAGCATGCGGCCAGACGCATTCCGCATGGCGACCAACTTGCGTCCAAAACCGAATTCCTGAACAAATCGTTAATTACAACCAATGGTCTCTTGAGGTATGTCAACCAGACGGAGAGAGATCGATCCCTGGATCCCATTGCCACGCAACAATACTGCGTTGGTTTCGAAGAACCCGGTTGTTTAGTTTGCAGAATTTTACTATTAAATCTCTGAAAACGAAAAAATAGAAACAAAAATAAAGAACTTTTCCAGGTTGCGTGGCAACCTTGACTTTAAAGAAATATACAGACAACACAAGTGACGGCTTTTCGATGTCCAACAAAATCCTTATCAGTGGTCCATCCATCCCTCTCGATAATCTGTGCGGTTGGTCCACCGCCATTCATTGCGTGAGCCGAGACCAAATATTGTCCGTCGGGGCTCCATGAGAGGCGGAGAACGTGCGTCGTCCCACCGCACTCGTCGAATGGTTCCGAAATTAACGTGGCCTCACCCCAATCGTTGGTGCGCCAGACGCGTAACGTCTTATCGTCAGACTGCGAGGCAATGTACTTTCCCACTGGGTCCCAGGTGACGCCCTTGACGAGACCCGTGTGTCCTTTGAGGACGGCGACAATCGAGGGGAATTTCGTAGCGTCCCAAATAATGATACTGTTGTCAACTGAGGCGGACGCCAGCCATGGATTGTGAGGAGCCCAGGCGATATCTAAAATATCGCCCTCGTGCGCTCTCAATGTTGCGATGCATCGCCACGTCTCGACTCCAGCTTTTCCTCCAAATATTGAACTTCCGCCGATGCTCGCTCCTGCGAATCTCCAGATCATTATCAGTTTATCATCGCCGCCTGATGCCAAGAGGCCGGTGCTGCTCCATCGCACACAATTTACGCAAGCTGTGGAAAAAAAAATAATTCGTTACTTAACAAATTAACAAACAGCAATATTATAGTATCAAAATACAATTCACTTCGTATTCCTAATCAGGGTGGTCACAAGTTTCAGTTTATCAATTTCCCTGACAACTTTTACTGACATTAAAATTATTTTCCCTGAAAACATTCTTCTTTTACAGGAAAATATTTATGAAAGTTTACGGAAAATGAGTAAACTTTATGAATTTTAATAATTTCTAAAAATTACAATTATTATTATTTTGTAAATTAAAAAATTTTATATTTTCAAGAATAAACATCAAATTTTGAATGAGTACAAATTCATAATTTAAAGAATTCACTTAATAAGTACATAATATTAAATATTATTGTTTATTATTATTCAAAAGTTTTAATAAAATTTTTTGGAAAAAATTCACTATTCTCATAAATAATAATATTTTTTAGAACAATTAAATTATTTTCAATACAATTTTAATAAAATTTCGTGAGAGAATACAATTATTTTAAAAAATATTAATTAAATTCGATTATTTTCAAGAATTTTAATATAAATTCAATTATTTTCAACAATTCTGATAAAATTCTTCGCAGGAATTCAATTATTTTAATAAATTATTAAAATTCTTAGTAAGAATTCAATTCTTATTATAAATAATCAAATGTTTCGGAGGAATTCAATTATTTTCAATATAATTTTAATAAAATTTCTCTAACAAGTTCAATTATTTTTTAAAAATTGTAATAAAATTTTCCTAAACAATTCAATTGTTCTCAAAAGCTTTTAATAAAATTCTTTGTAAAATTTCAATTATTTTCAATTAAAATTATTTTAAAAAATTTAATTATTTTTACGAAATTTACTGGAATTCTTTAAAAGAATTGAATTTTCAATAAATAATTTTAATATAATTTAATAGGAAAAATTAATTATTACAATTAATAATAAACGCGATTATTTTAAAAACTTACAAAAAATTCTTCAAAAGATTCTTTTACTTTCAAAATTTTTAGTAAAAAAACTCCATTATTTTCAAGAAAATTGAAATAAATTCTTCATAACAATTCAATTCTTTAAAGAATTTTAATACAAATCTTGACAAGAATTAAATTATTTCTAAAAAGAAGTAAATTTTTATTTACTTTGTTCGAAGATAATTTAATCTTAAAAAATTATGATAAAGCAATTCTAAGGAATAAGTTTTGAAAAATATTTTAATGAAATTTATCGAAAATAATTGGATTTTTTAAAAGAATTTTTGTATAATTTAAAAAAACTAATTAATTTTTTCAAGAATTTTAATTAAAAATTTTTATCATAGATTTTTTTTCTCCAAAATATTAAAAATAATTCTAAAATGAAGCTAATTTTCATTTTTAAGTTTACATTTAAAGATTTTTCATTAAATCTTTTAATAATTCAATTATTTTGAAAATTTACAATTAAAATTCTTCAAAATTTGATTTTTAAAAATTGTAACAAAATACTTGAAACAAAAATTAATTATTTTCTATTAAATTTGAGAAATTTTCAATTATTCAAAAAGATTTTTGTTATAAATATTTGAAAAATTAAATTATATCTTCTAGAGAAAAAAAAACCCACCAAGGTGATTGTCAATTTGGCACAACATTCTTGGAATATTTTGATCAATTTCGGCAGTTTCATCTTTTATTGGTTCCATATTCCATATTACAACTCGCCCTGAATCAGCACCTGAAAAAGTATTAAACAGTATGAATTATTAATCATTAATTAATAAACTAATTTAACAAATAAAGTATTAATTAAATTTTATTTAATTTTAGTTCTTTCACGGAATTATTATTTTTTTAGTGAAATTCCGAAGAGGATTCAATCAACTCATTGGAACATTTTTTTTACTAATTTTTATAATTTCCCTTGCGTCATTGCTTTTAATTCGTTTTCTTTTTGTAAAGCAAGACTTGTTAAATTTTAAGAAACATTTTTTAACTTGGTAATAAAATAATTTCAAAAAGTACAGATAAAAAAAATTGCTTGAATATTTTCCAGAGAATGAAGTTTATCTTCTAATGATATAAAATTTTTACTTTTAATAAATAGTTAGTATTAATATTTTTTAACTTCGTGATGAAATAATTTTAAAAAGTACCTAAAGATAAAAAAAAATTGCTTGAATATTTTCCAAGAATGAAGTTTATCTTCTGATATAAAATTTTCACTTCAATAAATAGTTGTAAAATCTCTTTTATTATTTTATTCAAGTACCAGATGCTATTTCATAGAAAATAGAATTTGGTAACAAATTATCAATTATCATCTAATAATTAATAATTCTGAAAAATTTTATTTTAAAAATAGAAAATAAATTCAGTATCAAATTTTCAATCAGTGTCATATTTGATTCTTTTAATTCCGGTGTTTAAACGTTTACCCTTGTTTTACAATTAAATATTCAATTTCATTGATAAGCTTTGGTAATTCATGGGAGGGACATTTTGTTACTTGTAATATTAAATATCATTCGTAAAAAGACACTTCCTTTTCAGTTTCATTTCGAAAGTCGTCTTCAAAGCATCAGTGAAAAGTGAATCAAAAATACATTTTTTTTCTGTTTAAAAATAAAAAGAAGAAAAAAATGGAGTTATTAGCAATTTTGTTAGTAATAATTTTCAAATTTTTTGTTCTGTTGACAATTTATATGTCGAGAAATTTTTGCTATTGGACAAAATTGGGAGTAAAACAAATTACTCCTTTTCCATTTTTTGGAAATTTTGCCGATTATTTTTTCAAAAATAAATCGCCGAGTAATATTATAAAAAATTATTACGATCAACATAAAAAAGATCCGTATGTGGGAATTTACATTGTCGACAAACCGACTCTATTAATAATAGATCTCAATATTATCAAATCTATACTAGTGACAAATTTTCTCGATTTTTCCGATAAATTCATGAAATCAAGCTCAAAAGATCCTTTGAGTAATCGAAGTTTACCATTTTTGGAGCACGCTAAATGGAGCGTTTTAAGAAAAAAATTAACCCCCGCTTTTTCGCCCTCCAAATTGAAAACCGATTTTAATTACTTGAAGGAAGTGACGCAACATTTGGATAAATATTTAAATTCCCTGAATTTGGGTAAGAATTTATGAATTTATGAATTAATAATTTATTTATTAATCAATAAATAAATACATCAAAATTTAATATTAATAAATATTTAATTTATTAATTCTCTGCAAAAAAATTGTTTCTCTTTAAAAAAGAAAAATTTTGTTATAACAAATATTTTTCCATTTGTTTTATAGAAGTTGCAAAAACAATAAATGTTAAGGAAATTTGTGGAAAATACACGACAGATTTAGTTGGTTTAATTGGATTTGGGTTGAATTTAAATAGTTTAAATAATCCCAACGCTGAATTTCGTAAATATGGCAAAATGATGTTTGGCGATTTTACAAATAGACGGAAAGTAGAATTGACCTCCATTTATTTATCGCCATCATATATCAAAAATATATTTGATTATCGTTTCTTCGAGAAGGAGAGTGGAGAATTTTTCCGTAAGGAATTTACGAAAATTTTTCAAATAAGAGAAGAATCAAAAATCGTGAGAAACGATTTATTGGATATTTTGATAGAAATAAAAAAGGAGGATTCAACACTCGGTGAGATTAATTATATTATTGTGAATTATAAAACTATTAATTTGGAATTTACAAAAAAAACATTTTTTTATTTTATTTAATTTTTAATTAATTTATTTTATTTAGAAATGAATGACATAATTGCCCAGGCAATTGTATTATTTACGGCTGGATTCGATACCACCTCTACGGTAATGTCTTTTACTTTATTTGAATTGGCGTCGAATTTGGAAATTCAACAAAAATTGAGATCCGAAATAAATAAGTATTTGGAGAAAACAAGTGGAGTTGTAACTTTTGATATGGTAAATACTTTTTTACAATTCTAATTTCTAATTCAATTCTTGCTGCAGAATTTTATAAAAAGTTTTTAAATTAATTTTTTTCGAAAAATTTTATGAACTATTTTAAATAATTCAATTCCTGTGAAAATTATTATTACTCATAAAAAAATTGAAAGTTTGCCAAGAATTTTATTAAATTCATTATTATTATTATTATTACATTTATTTTATGTGGAATTTCAGTAAAATTGTATAGATATTGAAGATCATTGATATCACGAAAAGTTCCTGGGAATAATTGAATCGTTTTAAAGAATTTTATTACATTTTTTAGATTTTTTTTTGTCATTTCAACTATCAGCGAATTTGAAGTGATGCAAATGTCCCCAGAAAAATAAAGAAAAAAGTAGCTTTTAGTGTATAATTTTCTTGTTTCAAACATTTTTAATCATTTCGCAGGTAACGACTTTACCATTCTTAGAAAAAGTTGTTTTGGAAACTCTCCGATTACATCCCACAGTTCCAACAATTGACAGAGTTGCAACAAAAGATGTTGTAATTCAAGAAACTGGCCTGCGCATTAAAAAGGGAACACCAATAATAATACCTATTACAGGTATTCATTATGACGAGCATTATTTTGAAAATCCGGAAATATTTAATCCGGACAATTTTGACTCGAAAAATTTGGCCTTCATGCCTTTTGGAATCGGTCCACGAAGTTGTATCGGTAAGTGAAATTTTTATTTAGAAAGAGAAACATTTTATTCTTTATTTTCTTTATCAACAATTTCGAAAGTTTTTCCCTTTTTTTGTTGTTGTAGCACTTCGTCAAGGTCTTAATCAAGCTAAATTTGGTATTATTTATTTCGTATCAAATTACATGATCAGATTATCGGACAAAAGTTCGGTACAAGTGGATCCAAAGGTATATTTTACAGCCGGCAAAGAAGGCTTATATCTTGAACTACAAAAAATATAAGTCAAATCCAAGTTCAATTTAAATTAGCCAAAGCAAACAGTTTTATAAACATTCATATAAAGGAAATATTTTTATAATAAATTCAATAAGTCTTTCGAATAAATAAAAAATTATTCTCTAGAATTGATTTTCGTTTCATTTTTTCATATTTCACTTCCATTTATCCAAATTAAGTATTTCAATTAACAATTTTCCTCGAATTTATAGAAAATCAAAAACTCACCTTGACCACCGGTGGCGAATCTTTTCCCATCCGGATGAATATCAATCGAAAATATCGGATTATCTATATACGATTTAAGATGAGAAGAAACAAAAATTGATTATTAAAGATCAAATACTTTTCTCTAAACAAAAATATTGTATATAATAATTAATAATGCGTAAAATTCTCACCATCATGAGTAACCCAATTTGGTTTTACCAATCTCATTTTTGAGCTTATTTTTTTAATCTTCCTTATAGAGAGAAATTTGCAATGAATCTTACGGAATTAGAGAGAACGATGCACATAGTGTATATAAAAATATTAATTACTTTATTTACATATATTAGAAAATGTTTAAGAAAAACCGGTCACAAATCCATGTGCAAATAGAGGGTAAATAATAAAAATACTGTAAACACAAATTTGAGGTTAGGAAACAGGGGTACACCCAGGGATGGGTAAAAGTGTTTTTTTCGGAGTTTTCTACGTATAATACATAAATGACGTATAATACGTAGAAAATTGTAGAAAACCTGGTATTATACATGTCCAGTTCTGCGCATGCGTACAAACCTCACAATAATAATAAAAATCATATGTTTGATTATTTTTTATTTGTTTCCTGGTTTTCATTACTAAATTGTTGCTAAAAATACCAAGAAAAAACCAAAAAAGGTTACATATAAGGTAAGTTTACAAAAAAATGCGTATAATATATATTTATTGATTTTTCATATGGTTTTTTACACACATTTTTTCATAACTTGTATTATATATTTATATAGAACAATTTTAAAAAGACACGTTAATTTATTATTTATTTGAAAATAAACGGGTTTCAAATAAACTTTTTCATACAAAAGTACTAAATTATTATTATAGCTGTATTTTGCAATGTTTTGTTGCAAATAGGACACAGGGCAACATTTTTCCCTTTATTATTTTTGGGAATAAAACACAATTCCTCCCAGGAATTGTGTTTCGGCCTTCCACCTCTTTTGTTAATTTTTTTTTATTTTAAAAAAAGCAATATTGTACAACAATCACTGACACATGGCCTGGCACATGGAGATGTATAACCTATAAATGGGTCTGGCGGCAGCAGACAACCTGACCTGACCACGAACAGTTAGAACTTTGTTTGTGTGCTATTTCTTTAAAACATAAATTTTAAAAAAACTTTTCAATGTTAATTAATAAATTTTTAAATTGAAATTATGTTTAAAATTTATTTAATATACTATTAAAATCACATGTTTCTTGTCTAAAATTTAAAAATCCCGCGCGTCACGCAATGTATGTAAAATACATGACATACGTAGAAAACTAAAGATGTATAATACCACGTATTATACGTGTAGAAAACCAGGTATAATACATCATGTATAATACGTACCCATCCCTGGGTACACCTTCCTTACTTAGGGAATTTTTTTTCATGTATCTAGGGTGGAAAATTGTCTTTATTTAAAAATATTAAATATAAATTTTCAACTTTTACAAAATCTCGTGGAAATAAAGAAATTTTATTGATTTAATCATTTATTTTTAATGTATATACCTAAAGAAGACATAAATGCCACTTAATAGAGTGTAAAATAATTTCAAAACGACTATTTTTTCATAAAATTGCAACCGGAGTTCTGCGGCTTCCTGGCGGCGTGAATTGTGGACTTAACCTAAAACGCAAGCATATGAACACAGCCTAACTATTTAAGGCACTTGTACAAGTACAACTTACCCGGTTTTTGCTTTATGTATATGTGACATCTCTGACATATTTTCAATAAAAATATTATTGCAAATATTTCTCGGAAAATATCTGGGGATATTTTAAGAAAGAGAATGTGAAGAATATGTGTATATAATTATTGTATATATGTATTTATGTTTATTGTATATTGTATATTATTATCATATGCGTATAGATGAAAAAATTTCACTATGAACTCCTAAAAGAGAAGTTAAATTTTAACATCAAAATTAAGTGCGATAAACGATAAAAGAATGCAGCGCAGGAGAAATTTTAAGAAGACGAAAATATTCTGATGGCAATTTTAAATATACAAGACTTAAGGTAATTAATCTTTCTTTCAATTAATAAGGTTAGGATATTGACATTCCATTCCACTGAATTGTCATCATCATCATTATTATCGCACATAAAAAAGTCTAATGACACTTGCTGACTCTTCTGCGAGAAATTACTATATAAAAAAGAAACTTAAGGCTTTTTGTTGTTATTTTATTCTTACAGAACAGTAACGAAAATCAAGCAGAAGAGTAGAAGTGTCACAATATAATTCTAATTTATTGAGGTTATGTTATAATTGTTGTGTCCCTTTTTTTAAAAAAAGAAAAGGAAAAAAAGACAAATTTCGTTCATAGTAAAATTTATTTTAAAAATTTATTTACAAACTTATTCAATATTTAAATATAAAAAAAATGCGTGCTGTGAAAATTCAATAAACCGATTTATTACAAAAATATACAGTTACGTCCTACTTTGTGAGCAGAAACGTGGAAGAAAATGCTCTCGCTCAAGTAGATAAGATTACAATTATTATTTAAAATCTATTTAGAAAAATATTTTCATACGAATATTTTTTTAAAGGTGAGTACTTTAAATATTCGAAAGGAAATTACTTTTTCAATGGGAAATTTCATAATAATTTATGGAGTTAAACATTCTACATTTTTATAAATAAAATTTTCTTTGTAATATTTTTCTTTGTTAAATCACGTCCATTTTATTGTAATTATTTATCTATATCTACATTTATTATTAAAATTTTGCATTTTGAACATAATTTTCAAAGAATATTTAAAACAAAAAATTGAAAATATAAAAATATTTATGTCGATTTTTCTATTTAATTACTTTATTATATTATTATTATATTATTACATATATAATAAATTATTTATTAATAAATGAAATAAAATATTCTAAAAACATTAAAATTAATATATTGTTTAATAATTATTTTGAGAAAAAAATTAAATTACAAAAGAATAGAAAATTTATTTCAGTTTTAGCAAAAAAGTATTTAAGCTTTTTGATTACAATCCCTTAAAAATGAAAAAATAACTTTGTCATTATTATTAAATATCATTTTATGAACTGATATTAATTTACGATAATTCTATTCTAGAGCGCATATACAAAGAATGATTTGATATTTGCAGTTATTTTTTTTCTCTTTTTGTCCGCACTCGTAGATAGTTTGATGTCAATAAGCTTTGTTTTAAAAAATCGTTAAAAAAATACTCGCTATTAAGAAGCACGTAGTCAATATCAGTCGCGAAAGAAATATTTTATATTTTTTTCTTTTTTTAATAAAATAAATAAAAATATTTCTCTAGTTTATATTAATAGTAAAATAATAAATATAGAAAAAATAGTTTTTAATTTTGAATTTCTTTCTGCAGGCTGAAGTAACGGATTATTTTGTAAAAAAAGGAAAATGAAGATGCCAACGAAGAATGTAACACAGTGGACATCGGAGGATGTATCGATATGGTTAAGAGAAATTGGCCAAGGAAGATTTTCCAATCTTTTTCACGAGATTCACGACATCGATGGAAAGGCACTTTTAACAATAAAGGAAGAAGACTTAAAATCAATGAATATCAATAAAATTGGCGACATTAAGAGGCTATATATCAGTATCAAACAATTGCAAAGAGATAATATTGCCCTTCTCTTTGAATTGGGTCACATAGACTTATTTTCAACGACTAATTTTTATTCACAACAGAGACCAGAGGTAAATAAATAATTAATTTTTGTGAAGTTGATAAAAATGTAAATTTTGAATTTTCTCCAGATTCCTAGTACAAGTGGTGGAAATAATGAGGGTTCGATGGAACATGAATTTTACTCAGCTTCCGTTTCGGAAGACGGTCACGCATCTCATCTACCTCCGGAAATATGGAAGGCGTTCATTAGTTTAGCATATTTATTTATTGTCACTTGGATTACTGCCTTTGTGATGGTGATTGTACATGATCGTGTGCCTGACATGAAGAAATATCCCCCTTTACCTGATATCTTCTTGGACAATGTGCCCCATATTCCATGGGCTTTCGATATGTGCGAAGTTACCGGAACGGTACTTTTTGCCATTTGGTTGATTGTTCTCATTTTTCACAAATATAGGCGAGTAAACAAATTCACGAATTTAGAAAAAAAAAGTTAACAAATTTATACAAAAAAAATTAAATTCGAATACTTTCATAAAAGAAATTAAATAATATTTAATTTTTTCAATTAAATTTAGAAAAGAAAAGAATTTAAATTAACAATATTTTTTATTATAGAATTTGAAATTATATTTTTTATTAAAAAAAATAAAATCTATATTAAAAATCTTTGTATTCCGGTAATCTTTGTATTCCGCAGTTTGAAATTAGTTGTTGTTTGCATTTTTGTTTCTTTTTTAATTAACTTTTTTAATAATTTTTCTTTTTAATATTTTCAATTTTAAAATTAATGTATTGAAAATCATTGAATTTTTACAAAAAATTCTACTATTTATAAAAATAATTGAATTCTTTCAAAGAATGTTTTTTTTTTCATTATTTATGAAAATAATTGAATTTTTGCGAAGAATTATATTAAAATTTTTCTAAATATAAACAATAATAATTAATTATTAAATTAATTAATTAATAATTGAATTTTTTAAAAGTTTGAATCTGAAATTATTGAAAAATTTATATTTGAAAATAAAAAATTTTGCAATTTGTATAATAATAAAAACTGCAATAATAAAAATTGAATATTACGTTTCGCGCGTAACATTTGTTAGTTATTAACAAAAATTAATTAAATAATTGTATAAAATTGTTTGGATAATTAATTTACTTTATTTTAATGAAATAATTGTTTTTTCAGGTTTATTTTATTGCGAAGGTTTTTCGCTCTTTCTGGCACAGTCTTCCTATTGAGATGTGTTACAATGCTTATCACTTCATTGTCAGTACCAGGTGCTCATTTGCAGTGTCATCCAAGAAGCACTCATGAAGAATGGAATTGGTATGTAAATAAAAAAACTTTCTGCTAATATTATTTTTCTTTTCGAAAACAAATCTTTTCAGTAAAGAAAATTTTTATTGATGACGAATATTATTCCTTATCAGCGGGAGACTTTGTATGTAAATTTTAAAAGCACAATTTTTTTATTGTCGGAAACTATAGTATTATTTTTAAACAGTTTCATTTTTAAATCAGTTTTAATAATTAATAATAATAATTATAATTATTATTATTTTAGTAAACTAAAAATGATAATGATAATAATAATTAGAATAATACAAAAAATATTTGTAGTAATAGAAAAATTAATAAAAATAGAAAAAATATTGATGAACCAATATTATTTTTTTTATTAATTATTAATTTTGTATTTTATAAATAAAATTTGAAAATTGTTTTTTAACAGGACTGCGTACGGAGAACTTTATAATAAAATAGCAATGGCATACGAAATTTGGAGAGGTGCTGGAATGTCAATTCAAGGAGTAAGAACTTGCGGTGATTACATGTTTAGCGGACACACTGTGGCATTAACTATGTTAAACTTTTTTATTACTGAATGTAAGTACAAGAATACTTTTTGTCCGATTTTAATTTACATTCAAATAGTTATTTTCTTTGAGTTTCTAAAAAATTTTAGTTTCATTAAATTAAATTTAACTTATTTGATTTTTAATTAAATTAAATTTTCTTTAAAGTTCGAAATATTAAATTTTGATTGACTTTTTTCAGATACACCGAGACAATTATATTTTCTTCATACATTCACGTGGATGCTCAATATGTTTGGTATATTTTTTATTCTAGCTGCACACGAGCATTATTCAATTGACGTGTTCGTTGCATTCTATATAACATCGCGATTATTTTTATATTATCATACATTGGCAAATAATCAGGCATTAATGCAACGCGATTCAAATCGAACGAGAATATGGTTTCCTTTGTTTAGCTTTTTTGAATCATCAGTCGATGGTATTGTACCAAATGAATATGAAAACCCGTCCGTGATAATTGTTAATTTAATATTTACAATTCGAGAAACGTGGAATTATTTTCTATTGAATTTATCAACTCGATGTCCACCATTAAAAGTCAATGGCGACGTGAAAACACCTAAAAAATCGAATTAAACGAATTCTTTCTCTCTGTCTCTCTCTCTCTTTCTGTCTATTCGAAAATCAAGATTTAAATATAGGATAATTTCTTTTTCAAAATCGGTATTATATTGAATACTATTTTTTTTCTCGTGGTGTTATTGTATGAAAATTAGTGCAATAATTTTATGATACTCAATGAGCATTATTTTTTTTTGAAAAATTGAAAAACTTGACGTAAAATAGTTTCGTTTTTCAATACATTTAATGCTCATTTTAGTTTTTTGTTCCTAAGAATTATTAAATTTTGTAGTTTTAACGATCTCTAACGATCAAAAATGACGATTATTGCAAGGTATTCAGCAATAATAATTGTTTGCCAAAATGTCCAATTAAAAAAAAAAGAAATTGGTCACTGATAAAAAAAAACTGTGCTCGAATTTAATTTTTCTACATAGGCATAAAAAGACAATTTTTTCATTGACCATATTATAATAAGAAAAAAGTATTAAAAGAAGAAAAAAATTTAGAAAAGAGATATATTTTAAAAATGGAAACTGAAATGACTGTAAAAAATATAAATTTTTTTTTCTTTTTTTTTAAATTAGTTATGAAGTTTATCGCTAACAAAGAACTGGATGTTATTAAAATATTGTTTTTATATTTTAAATATTGAAGCGTACGAAAGATAGTTAGAAAAAAAAATGCTGTTTCTTAATACTTGTTTTCTCCTGGCAAGAGCAGTTAATTACATTAATTACAATTGTTTGAATTGTATTAAAAAAACAAAAAATTAAGATTGTTCACCGGCTACAATTTTTCGCACAAGTTAATAATGAAAATTGAAGACTAAATAGGACGTTTTTTTAAGCGTAAAAATTTCAATTTATTATATAAATAAATTACATTCAATTTTGTTTCTATATTGTTTAAATAAAATATTGTTCAGTCGAAAAATATTATTTTGCTCTTATTAATTATATGTTTCGTTTAGAGTATAAAATTTTGGTAAAGAAAGTAATAAGGGAAACTTCCTTAATAGGTGAATTTCGATAAAAGAGCCATTTGGAAAATCGCACGAACGACTAAAATTTTACAAATGGTTTTCTTTTTTTTTTTGGAAAAAAGCTTTATGGTTGTCTTGTCATTAAGGATAGTAAATTTTTCAAGTTGTATATTAATAGGCAATTATATTACATTCGAGTTTTGAACGAAGCTAATGACAAAATAAATAAATACAAATTTTTATTTTGTTTTGTTTCTATTGTTTAATTGTGTGTGAATTTTAGAGAAATTAGAAATAACTCGAATGAAAAATAATTTCATCTACAAATATCTATTGTATTTTATACACTATTGTACATAAATTATATATAAATATTATATATATTTTATATATCGGCTGTTTTATTTAATACCATTTTCTTAAAAATTTTTTTTTATTATTTATTTTTTTATTCTATTATTATAATAATTAAAAAATTAAAGTAATTAAAATAATTAAAATTAAAAAATAAAAGTAATTTAAAAAATAAATAAAATTTGAATTATTTTATTATAAATAATAATAATAATTATTATTTCTTATTTTATTATTATTTATATTCAATAATAAATTTTTTAGTTATATATTATAATAAATAAATATAATATTTATTTCTTCACTGGATTTATTTAGTTTATTTACTTTTACGTCTGCTGGTATCTATTATAAATTTATATTTTAAATTTTGGAATTAGAAAATTATTAATTAATTTATAATTATGCAAAATATTTTGAAACGTTTTACTTTCAAAAATTTCAAATTAGCGCGCCAATTTTCACTAATGCATGCGCACTTGCAAAGTGTGAAGTAACCTTTATTTACTTTATTGAGATCAATTGAGATTGACATTTTGCATCGATCAATTGAGTTCTGAATTATTTTATCTTTTTTGCAGTTATTATAAATATTGATTTTATTATTGTGATAATGAATTAAAGTATTCAAGAATTGAAGAATGAAAAGAACTAAACACAGTTGAAAAACTTACTAAAAATAGTGGATTATTACGATATTTCCCAATTTGCAAATTTTGAGGTTAGGTTTCAGAAATTTGCGGCAACCCCGGCAAATCATCTTTTGCAATTAAAATAAAGTTCTGTAAGTAAAATTCTATAAAAAATATATTATTAAACTAGTTCTTAATTATGTTTACTGTAAATATAATTTTAAATCTTTTCCGTTCAATTTTCAAACGATTTTTCGAAACTTGACTATAACAACATTTTGCCCTATTTACTTGTTTAAAATTTCTGTTTAAGCCGTTTAAACATTTACAGGCCTCGAATATTATGACTTTTTCGACTTTTTTTAAAAATTACTACTTTTTCGACTTTTCTTCCAAATATTGCAATAATTTTTAGTATAAAATGCAACTTTTTTTTCTATTTTAAATCGACTTTTTTGCGCTTTAAAGTCGATCCGAGGCCTGCATTTAAACGTTTTTTTTTTTAAAGAAAAAAAAGAATTCTTTATAAACAGAAAAATTGTAAAACAAAAATTGAATAAAATTATTCGAAATGTAAAACTAAAAATGCAGATCTCCAGTCATCTTTATATTTAATTACGACATAATAACGTTACATTATTATTAGCAATTCATATAATTTTATATATATAGAAGCAGTTTCCGGTTAAGTAGGCCTAGATTGAAATAATTTCTCATTATTGTACATCATAATTTGAATTATTACATTTTTCTTCCTATATATAATATAATTTAACATAAAATTAATAGATTATTAAATTTCTACAATGAATACAATTTTTAGTACAATAAGTATCTTTGCTATACAATATTTTTTAAACGGTTCCTATCAGAAAAATTAAGGAACTTTTTTTTAATAAAGAAATTACACGTAGAGTAATATTATTTAAGAAATAAGAAAAAAAAGAAGAAAAGGAAAATCTTAATAAGAAATATTAATGAATTTATGTAATTTCGTTTTATTTATTATACCTAATTTTTTTTCTTTTTTTTTAATTACAACGTGGTTTCTTACATTGCTAAAACCCTATTAATCCGAACCTTACCACCTTTTAAGGCTCAAAAGGTCAATTCATTAGAATCTGGTGCTTTCAAATAAATATTAGCAATTTTTTTTTTGGTTTGTATGTATTTCTTATTAATAAAGGAGTCAATTATTCGTTTTTAAAGGATCAGTAGCAAAATTCTGATTATTATTAGTATTGGGAACTTTTACTACTTTTAATAAACAACTATATTTAAAATGAAAATTAAAATTAGAATCACTTTTTAAACTATAATATATTCTCTTTTTTTTTTTTTGCTATTTTAGCAATATTGTAATAATTAGTATATATCAATTATAATTTATCTTTCACATTTCGTTATAATAATATTTGAGTTGCTATAATAATTATTATTATTATTTCTATTTTTTTTCTTGCTTGATTTATAATAATCATGTATTAATAAGAATGTTATGATACATTGACGATTTATAATTCATCATATATACACGTACAATAATATACGTTTAGATACGTATATTTATGTACATCTAAAAGATGGACAATATTTTTTTTTCTTTTTAATAAATTGTCTGTCTGAGATGGACGCAAATTAATAATTTATTTCTTCAAAAATTTACACAATTCAAATTTTTTTTTAAATTCGAACAAAATTTTTTTTTCTCAGATTGATATTTAAATAAACAAAAAGAATTTTTTTAGACTTATTTTTTTCAATTAAAAAATTTTGTTTTCAATTTTGACAAAAATTTTCATGTTAAAATCAGAAGCGGAACAATTAGATGTATTTTGTAACCCCCCAACAATTATATTTATATATTTTTTTAGTATTTGCAAAAGTTGTGTGTTTTCTTATTTTTACTGGGATCTCTATGCAATGTTACACTATAATTTATTTATAATATATTCTGCAGCAGTTAAAAATTTGTTTACGTTATAAATGAATTTTCGGAAAAATTGTAAATTTTCTTTTTAACACTTAAATTTGTGTGTATTATTTTTATTTTTTCATTTAAGTGAATAAAAGTTATTATCATTAAAAATAAATAATAATTATAAAAAAAATAGTTTTGATCAATTGAATTAAATTTTAAATAATTTTAACGATTGTAATAAAAATGATTATTTACAATCGCTAAAATTATTAATATTATTATTAAAAATTTTTTTATTAATAATAATATTATTGTTAATGTTAATTTATAAATTATTATCAAATTAATTATTAACAATGGAAATTAATTTTAATATTAATTATAACAGTTAAAAAAAAAGTTTAAAAAATGGAAATGAAATTTTCAATTTAAATAAATTCTGTAATTTAAATAATTACAATTTTAAACATAAAAAATTTGTTTGAAAATAATGTAAACATTGATAGTAAAAAATTAATGTGAAACAAAAATAGAAAAAATTAATTTATGAACAAATTTTGGAGATCCCTGAGACCGAGGCGCAAATTTTTTTTTCTTGTCTTTTTTTTGAAGAATAATTAAAATTAGTTAATTCCAAAGAGGGAGGTTATTTATATATTTATTTTTTTCGACAATATTTTTCGTTGAGAAACGATTTTTTAGATAAAATTGCGAACTCCATGTGGGAGATTTGCAGCGTCGACCAAAGCAGCTGGTGCTGTTTGTGGAGGGCCACCAGCAGGAGCTGGTCCTGGTGGTGGTGGCGGTGGTGGATATTGGTACATTGGTGGCTGTGCAACTGGTGCCGAATCCGGTGTGAATTTAGCTGCAAATAACAAGAAAAATATTAATAATTTTTTCACGGGAGAAATTTTTTTCTTTTTTTAAATTCATTTCGATTTTTGAGATTTTTCCTTCTTTAATTATTTAATTTTTTTTAGTAGTATCTTTTTTTATATTTGCATTTTTTTATACAAACACATTATTTATGCATTTATATACATTTAACAAACTGGTAATGTAGATATTATTTTTTCTCATTGTTTTGTTTTTTTTTCTCACATAAGAAATGAATAAAGGCATTTTTTTAATAATAAATTTCCATTACTTTTTATAGATAAAAACTTATTAAAGAACAGTAGAAGAAATTAAAAATACTTCGGAGTAAAATTTACTTTGCAAAATAGTAAAAATTATTTTCCATTTTTTACATAAAGAAAAATACGAGAAAAAATAATATTACTATATACAAATTGTTTGTTACTTTTTTCGGTTTAATTTAAAAAAACATTGTTATAATAGAAATGATAAATAACACAAATTTACTAATTATTTAATACACCCACATTTTTAAAAAGTACTACAATTATTTATAAATATAAAAGGAAGCACAGAGTAGAAGTAACTAAGAACATTTAACAAAAAGTTTATAAACAAAGAAATGGATTTTTAAAATCCATTTTATTTGGAAACAAAACATCACAGAGATAATAAACATCTAAATAAAACATTTAAGAAACAAAAGTTCTGTTGTTTTTTTTTTGTAAAAAAAATAACTAAAGATGCGAGAAATATATATAAGAATAAAAATAAATGTCACATGAAATAAATTTTGTTGTGACATGTTTATCTTATGAAAAATTGTTTTGTAGTTCCTAATGGCATTGGTGATTTATTAAACGGTAAAAAAGTTTTTTTTTTGCTGAATAACTTTCTTTTGAGTATTGGCAAATTTCATGTATTCAGTAGCGCTGTGAGTTATTGTTTATTAACAAAAGAATTGATTTTCATTAATTTTCGTGTTATGTTATGTGTCTGTCTGACATTTTTCATGTTGTTGAAGAGTCACTGTAGGAAATAATTTTTATTTATTTTTTTTAGTAAAAAATCTCAATAATATATCATTGAGTCTTTTTTGTAAATTAAAAAAATAATTTATTTTTACAAAAGAAATTATTTTACCGAAAAGTTTATACTTTAGACACTCTTAATAATAAACATCAAATAGAATAAGAATATATCAAACATTACACACAATGATATTTAAAAAATTTTTTAATTTTCAAATTTTTAAGTATTAATCATTAATTAATAAAAATGCAAATAATCTATATAGTTGAATGTAAAAATCATGGGGAAAAATTAGAAAGTAACTTTTACTATTAACAAACTAATCTGAAATTTTTCTCAATTTAGTAAAAGTTACTTTTTTCTATTTTTCCGTGTTTAAAAAAAAGTAAAAAAAAAGTTAGGATAATTTTTTTCTACTATGGAATAAAGTGAAAAATTTATGAATAGTGTCATATAATAAAAAACAGATTAAAAAAGAATTTACAACATAATAATAGTTCAAAACAAAAATTTTTTCCATTCTCATTTAAACAAAAATGAAAATATTTTTGAAAGAGTTTGGAATTTGAAATATTTAAAAAATAGAATTTTTAAAGTACACATATAGGCAGAGATAAATTAGAAAAAGCCATATTCACATAAAATGAAAAATTATAGAACAAGATAGGAAACAGTTTGCAATAGTATTAAAAAATAAATAGTAATGAATAAAAATTTTAAGAAGTGGAGAATAAAAAACATGCAAAAATTTTATGAGAATAATAATTATGATCGGAATAATAATTATAATGATAATAATTATATTCGTAATGATTATAATGATAATAATTATAATCTCAATAATTATAATGACAATAATTATAATGACAATAATTATAATGATAATAATTATAATCTTAATAATAAATAGAATGATAATAATAAACATAATAATAATAATTATAATGATAATAATAATAAATATAAGAATAATAATTATAATGATAATAATAATAAGGATAATGATAATAATAATAATAATAATAATAATAATAATAATAATAATAATAATAATAATAATAATAATAATAATAATAATAGGACATGCACATTCATAGGTTTGCTTTATATAAATATTCTTACCTCAGTAAATTTTCAATCATTATTTGTGGATCGAAATATAAAAATTCCATCCAATATTAAATTGTTTAACATTCTTCTTTGACATTTTGTTAACGAAAAAATATTTTTATAATTATATTACAGATTGCATTATATATATACAATTATAAATATTATTATTACATTGTATATACGCTGAGAAATTTTTTTTAAAATTATAGAATATATCCTTATCAAAAATTAGATTAAATTAAAAACAGAATAAAATATAAATTTATTCATTGAATTGAAGACTGAAGGAATTTGTTCCTTGATTTGTTCTCAAACAGTTATTTTTGAAACTTGTTTAATTATTCACTTTGCTTATAATTTGTCTGATATAGTAAATTTTAAAATGATTTATGAAATTATTATAATTTAAAATTAATGATTAATAAGAAAAGAAAAATGATACTTTTTCGACGATATACATCATAATGAATTAAAATTACTTTTTTTTTAAATCGGCTCGTAGCCATCGTTTATTTCGTACATTGCGGATAATAATATTCAGGTTCAGGTGTGCTAATTTTACAGCCAATGACAGTGACATTTTTATTTTTCTAATAAACAATAATTATAATGATTACCTTAAACCGAGAATTTATATTCATTAGGACGCGTCTTATTTTTTTTTTAATAATTAATAATTAATAAATAATACAGATCTCAGTGTTTATGTTTGTTTATATGTGTATGTATGTGTTTTTTTTACAATCATCTACATTAATGCTTGCATGGATTGTGTTAGTAATTATCGTTTACCTGTATATTCGTCAAAGTGCAAGCCATTCTTGACATGACACTTTATTTTTTATATATTATTATTATCGTCTCTTAATTTTTTTTTTAATCATCATACCCTTATCGTCTCTTATTTCTCGTCAATTATTATTATTAACATGTAAATATATTCTATAACATTGGTAGATAATATTTAAGCCTTAAAACATATCTAGTTTTATGTATATGTATATATTTATATTTATATTTATATATATATATATATAATTGCTCAAACTTTTTTATACAAACTGTTCGTAAAAATACTAATTGAAAAATTGCTAATATAGTTTAATTTATTTGTTTACTTATATTTCTAGAATTTATATTAATTAAAATAATAGTAATAATTATTATAATTACAATAATAATTATTATAATTGTAATAACAATAATGATAACAATACTAATAATTCTAATAATGCAAATAATAATTGTCTACACTGGCGTTAACAATTTATATTAATTACTATTTATGTTACCATTCCGGAAAAATTATTTCGACGAGAAATCTTTTTCAAATTGTTTTTTACGAACACTTTGTATACCTTCTCTTTACAATTTTCCCTGTCATTTAATTTCCTTAGATTCGATCGAGAAGGGACAGTAACAATTGTCTGATATTGAAAGTTTCAGTGTATTGATTAGTGTCTCTTCTGTCATGAGAGCGAAGAAAAAATGTTTTGGAACACTTCTTTTTATCACAAAAAATAAATTTATTGTATAGATAAAAACTTATTAAAGAACAGTAGAAGAAATAAAATATTTTGTTAAAAAAATGTTTTGCAACATTTTCTAATTACAAATAATAATTTTTTTTTGGATAGGTAAAAACTTATTAAAGAACAGTAGAAGAAGAAAAAATATTTTGGAACATTTTTCTATCAGAAATAATAAATTTCTGTCTTTAGGTAAAAGCTTATTAAAGAAAAGTAGAAGATAAAACTATTTTGGAAAAAAAATGTTTTTGAACACTCTTTTATGACTTAAATAATAAACTTTGTTTCTTTATATAATTTAAAAAAATATTAAAAGAACAGTATAGAAGAAAAAACTATTGTAGTAAAGTAAATATAAATTAATTTTTCTATTAAATTATTAAATATAAATTGGTATAACAAATTATACTTTACCTAATTATTAATTATTAAGAATAATAATAATAGGTAAAAGTTAATTTTGTCACATTAAAAATTGTTGAGTTTCTTTTTTGAAAAAGTAATTTTTATTTAAGAAAAGAAAGCATTTTTGTAGGCATATTTTTGAAAAGAATAAATTTAATAGAAATTGATTCATTTATCTAAAATTGTGATTTTTTAGATCAATTTTACGAGACATTTAATTGTTTAAATTATATTATTTTGTGTCTTTCAATTAGAATTATTTTCTTTCTTTTATTAAAGAATTTTATTTATGTCAAAGAAAAATTTAAAAAAAAATAAAAATAGAATAGTCGATTGTGACTATAATTAACAAAAAGGAAACGAATTAAATAAAATAGTTCCAATACAATTTTTTTGCCTTTGCTATCGAGTCCGAGAAAATATTGTTTACAGTTATACAATATAATACAACTGTTATGTAAATAATTGTTATACATTGTGAATAGGACTGTTATATAACAATCCTATATTGGGTTTTTTTTAATTCAAAAGTCTCGAACCCACATCTGATCGAAGACATATTTTTGTGTAATTTAGAAATTATTTTTTCTATATTCGTATCGAATAGTAATCTTCAAAGTGAGAAATTTCGAATTTCCGTTTTAATAATGGTTTCTGTCTTTTGAACGGAAAAGATGTGTGGTTGTCTTTGGAAATGCAGAGAACTTGCGAACATTCAGGAGTAGAGGTCGTTTTATCAGGCTTTTCCGATAGTCACGCTGAATGAAATGAAATGAGATAAATTTTCCGAGAATAGGAGGATCAATTTTTTTACACAATATTGATCTAGATCGTTGTGCTGGCAAGATGTTTCTCGGCGAGACTTAAATGGAGGAAATTTTCTTGTTGTCAATATTATTTCTCAATTCTAATTTGCTTATTAATTTTA